AACTTCCTTCGACAATATAGTTAAAGATATGTATCTATATATATATATACACATAATAATTCCATGATATATATATATATACTAAATAATCTCAATATACATATAGATTCGTATATATATATATATGCATACTCTACCCAGCAATTGTGGGATATTGCGCTTTGGCTAGTGGTTGCCGAAGCATAATCGCTGCCCCTTGCTCAGCATATCTAGATCATTTGGTGGATTTTCCGCAAGGGTTCCTCCAAGATATTCTCTTCAACCAAAAGACTTCACTAATGACATTTCAATATGTTTCATATATATGTATATTCGTATATATATAGTTATCATGTTTAATAACTAGAACACCTATAATGACTAGAATTACTATAATAACTAGAACATAATTATCACAACTATATTGAACCCCCCCCTTCGATTCCCCCAAGGTCCGCCTCTAAAGCCGCGTTTGCAAGAAGTCACCCCGCGGGCCCACTTTTTGCACCAAGATTCCAGCACCAGGATAGCCCTAAGTCAGTTGCTTTGGGTACATGCTGGGGTCAAAACACCACGTTTGTGAATCCCACACTGTTCTACACATGTACACACCAGAATCAACCCCATCCGCGTTGCAACAATGTGCTGCCCCCAGTTACACGTTGCCTCGCAAACCCCATAACCTGATATTTATACATATATCTAACTATATGTATGTATTTATATATATATGTCTGTGTGTCTGTGTGTGTGTCGTGTCCCCCCTCCCTGAAACCTACCTTTTTGGTACCCGCCCTCGAGTCCAAGCCCAGAAGACTTTTTTCGATATCCGCCCCAACTCCACCCACGTCCGTCCGCAGCGGATATGCCTCGTTCCCTTGCTCTCTTCTCCTGTTCCAACCCACGCCTACCTTTCGATCTTTCACCCTTCCCTCTCAAGTGTCATCATCCCTTTCATGATTTTCATGTTATTTCTCTCCGTGCAGGGGCATAGATGGATTCTATTTTTGACACGTGTTTACGTTTTGTTTACGTGCTCCCAGTTCTAGTGCTTCCACTGCAAAAAGTATCAACTCTTCGAGAAGTGTCCGGCAACTGACAGGAGCTTCAACGACAGCGTGCTATGGCTGAGGCGGATCTTGCCTCGAGTGTCAATGTCAGAAAAATGTTTTGCAACTTTGGGGCAGCTCAAGTCTGATCAACACATATCAACATACCATACAAGTTTCCCCGCATTTCACCACAGCCTGCAACGTTTCCAGCAGGAAATCCTCGCCCGCATCGCTGCCAACATAGCACGTGCTGGTCGAAGGTGTGCTGGCAGGGTTGCAAGTTCCAACTGTTTTATCTAGTTTCATCTAGCTTCTATCTGTGGTGCCTACATCCTGTTCTCTCTTGTTTTTCCATGTTTTTCCTGCCAAAGCAACGATCTTTGGGATCGGGTAGGGTGTTGGGTCGTTGGGTCGCTGGGTCGGTTCGGTGGGTTTGCCCTGGCTGGATGAAGCTGGCAGGCCGCAGGAGTTCTTACGAGATTCTCGCGGAACACTGGCCCGTGGAGAGTGCCTTGGCGATCCATGGCCATCCTGCGTCACTATTACAAACATGTTTATGTATTTTATGTGCTTCAAGGACGGTCATCATTTTGAAGAGTACAAAGTCCACAAACAAAATGTGAGTTCTATTTTATGCATGCCAGCTGAGTGAGCAACACATCCTCTAAAGATCTCTGCACTGATTTGCTATAATTTTCGAACACTAAACATAAGCAAAAAACATAAGCAAGACACGTAGGTTTTTGAAAAAGCCCTGCTCCGCCACATGCCCATTTGATAGACGAGCACATTTATTTATTTATTTGTTTGTGTTTTTTTTAATGTATTTTTATGATTTTTGATTCTAACTCATTCCTCCTTGGATCCTGGGATCAGGGTGGAGCAGACTCTGTTCCGCTTTGAGCCACATCCTCAGAGTCAGCTGACCGTTGTTCTCCCCGGTCCACACTTGAAGCTCCATGGTTTTGCTCAAGAGCTGATTGCACATCAAGTTCGAGCATGTGGCATGATGGCGCTTGTTTGTTTCTATTCGATGTTGTAGACCTTTGGCAAAGGATATGAATGCAGAGGTCCAACCTGTCGGCCTATGAAAGGGACGCAATTGTTGCCCGACTGGGTGCTGACGGACACTTGGCTGCTCAAAGGGTGCAAAGTGTATTCGGGCAATCTCGAACCTCAAGCTTCAAGTCTTTTGTGCAGTCGTTCTTGAAGGTTTCCAAAGGCTACACCGTAACATATCGTAACATGGAATGACTTCCAAGACTGAAGATTGGTACTGGCACCATTTGCATCACACATTACATGGCTTGAAAACCGGACATTCCATGTAGCATCATGTTGGGCTATGTTGCGCTCTACTGCAGGATATGGAAATGTGAACGCTGCGGAGTTCTGTCGAATCCTAGGAGGCACTTTCACCCCAACCCCAGTGTTTCATGCGAGTAGTTCGAGTATTTATTGTATGTTTGGCTTTTGCCAGGAGACCTGACACAGATGGGGAACTCTTTGGCACCTCAACAGGAAATGTGCTGGTGAAAGCCGACGGTTGCAATGGCTTATAAACACTTGCAACATCTTGCAACTTATATATAACTTATATATTATATAACTGACTTTTTAGTTTAGCTCTCTGAGCTTATTAATATCATTGGGGAAAGATAAATGATGATAAATGACCTTGCATTGCAAGTCTTTGACTCCAAGGCTTACAGTAAGATACCATTGCTTGTCATTCTTTGTCAAGCTCAACCCGCTGACGGCCACAACAATGGTTGCAGCGCCAAATTCATGGCAATGCTATGTGTTTTGAGGAGAAGAAAGTTCCTCTAGTCTGATTCTAGTCTGAAGATTCTGAAGTTTGAAGACAGGATGTCCAACGGGTAACCTGAGGGGAGCTAGTGGGAGCGTCCTTGTGGGACAGTCGCTTGCGCTGCTATGTTTTGCAGAGACAGAGAGAGAGAGCTGTCGGCACCGAACCCTACGTTCGCCCATGGTCATCACATTCCCATTCTACTTGTCACTAGAGGATGAATGAAAACACTTGCTATACGCAGCGACTTAGACTTCCGGCTTTCAGGATATAGGGGTTTTGGGTTTTAGGATTTAGATGGATTTAGGGTTTTAGGGTTTTAGAGTTTAGGGCTGGGCTTCAGGATGCTTCAGGGTTTTGGGGTGTGTTGCTTAAAAGTGCTTGCCCTAGGCCCTAGACAAGTTTTTGAGCATGTCAAAGGATATGCGGGATTGGAGCATGGGCAAAGTAAAGTTTGTAGCGAAGATGTTCAAAGATGTTTAAAGCATTGTAAAGCCGACACCCTGCAAAACGAAGACCGACAAAACCCCAAACACAAGGCTCAAAAAAGCAAAGGATCTTTCGCAGTAGAGAGTGGAATGCTGATGGAGGAAGGTAGATTCAAGATGCTTCGAGATCCTATCTTATACTGCATTTCTATATATACGTATATTTCTATGCTAGCCTTCCCAGTGCTGGCCAAGACCTTAATTACCTGTTTGGCCTATGGGCACGGCAGATGCATCTCAGGTGCAACCTGCTGAAGTTCCTGTCGGCATGGCGCCGCAGGCCTGGTTCCCAGCTAGGTCCGAGCGGCAATGCAATGGAACGAGAGCAGGGCTGGACATGTAAAACTAATAAGAGGTATAAAAGGTGAGTGGAATCGCTCTGAAATCTAACTCCTTTGAGGATTTTCGACCCTGCTTCTGCATTCCACTTTGCAGGATTCTATTTGGATAATGTGATAGATGTGTATACATACATACATACATACATACATACATACATACATACATACATACATACATACATACATACATACATACATACATACATACATACATACATACATACATGTATATATATTTATAGACTATATAGATATAATATAATGCAGAATTGCAGCGTAATTAGTTGATTGATAGCCTCCGCTCAGCAAACAGTTCTGTGACCACTGTTGATGTAGATCCTGTGGCCGCAAGGGACCACATAATAGAAATATATGGAAATTAATCGCAACATTGTGCCTTAGTGTAGGGATATGTAGGGATAGTTGATAGTTGGATGATAGTTGGATGACATGATTGATCATAGATATCATAGACATAGAATGATATCATAGTATCAATTGCAGTGATTCAGGAGCACAAATTGTTTCCTCATTGTTTCCTCGTTTCAGGAGCTGCTGAAACAGGTAGCCACGGAGTTGCGCCGCAGCGGAGTGGGGAACCTGGAAATACAATACCCGGTGCGGGGGGCACAAAAGGCGGCGAGCAACTCATGAGGAGAGCAGTTTTGACAATAGGGAAAACATGGAAAAACAATAGGGCAACGATATGCAACGATGATAGGCTATATGGGCTGTAAAGATCCGTAAAGCACATCAAGAAAAGCAAGATTCCACTTGCTTGCTGCCATTGCTTCACTTGCCTCTGACGAAGGTCAATCAAGTTTAGCACATTCTAAACAACGTGTACTCAATAATACTTAATATTTTTCACCTTGTTTATGTCTAGAAGCAGGTAGTTACGCTTTCAAGAGCAACAAACTGAGTATGGAGCATTCCTACTAGTACTTGTACATCTCAACCACGGTTTGTTTCCAGGGACACGATCGGACAAGATAATCTTGGAGAATGGCTTTGGTTACTGCAATCAATTTGGATGCCTGTTCACCTCCGCAGAGTTGCCGTCATCAATTGAAGATTTTATTGTCGATATTTTAAACGAACACCAAGATGATTTATAGCTGAAGGGTTCCTCAAATTCTGTGCAGATAATGATAGCCATAATATTATACGATATGTGTGAGCCAGGTAATATTACTGCATGTAGCATGGTGCCTTCGCACCTCTAACCTCTCTACATCTACACACGAGCGTGGAGGCACCTAGCCCAGTAGGCATTGGATTCTGTTGTGTGGCAAGGGGCATGAGGTGGCCGCGCCTCTCATGACATTAAATGGGCTGCTGCGCGTCAGTCCCACCCATGCCCGACGAGATAGAGCCTGGAGACCCACTGCGAGCTTGCAGCATTTTCTATTTGGAGAGACTTGTTCTTGTTTATCCAAACATACGGATACACTAAAATGAGACCAACTACCGGTATATATATATAAGAGTGAGAAGGGATGCGGGAATGTGAAATTGAGGTGAAGTTAGGAGGGAGACCCTGCCATGTTTTGGAGTGAATAAAGTCATCAAAAGGATTTGAGACATTTGTTACACAGAATCCAGACTGGTTTCGTCACCTAAAGTCAGCTTGCCAAAGGACAGAGTTTTGCAAAGAAGTGGAGTCGATTGGGAAGACCCTGGCCTCTCACATCTATGAGTTAGACGAGCCACTTATTCGGGCCAAGGGTGCCAATATGATTTGCCCAAGGCGCATGGCGCATGGCGCATGGCGCATGGCACATATCGGGCGTATCGGTGCATTCGCCAGTTGACTTACTCCACTGATGGCAGATGGCAGTTTAGTCGCGCTTTTTTCCACCCCTGAACTTGTGCAGCTTGTGCAGGGATGGGCGCTTGGGTGCTGCCTTTGTGGACACGATCAGGGGAAAGGAGTCACGCCTGCACAGAAGCACGCTTGTTCGCCAGGGAACCAGAACAAATGGATTCAAATCTAGAGCTCACGGAAAAGAGGTAGGAAGGTGTTGTGCTCAATGCTGAAGGGAGGAAGCCATTGAGCATTAGCGAGCATTGACGGTTGTTAGACCTGGAGCAACCCAGCAGTCAAGCCTTTTCATCAAAGTGTGCCACTTGACTTAGCGAGGATTTCGTGGGACGCGCAAATCACATGCTGTCCTATACCTGGCAGTACACTGTAAACTGCATTTCCAGCTCCTTGGAAGCTTGGTGTTTGCAACACGCGAAGCAACCCCAGCAAACTTATGCCGCGATCTCAGAATGAGCGCACTACATGTTCCAAGTTTGCCAAGTAGATCCAAGTAGTAAGTGCGTTGATGAAACACTTGGTAACCTGGTGTCATTTGACTGTGGTGAAATGATGTGAAATGTGGTGCTGCAGTAGATCTTGGAAAGGTGTGGACATGCTTCATGGGCATCAATCAGCACCGAGTGCAGGCGGGAAAGTCCAGAGAGCAATTGCTAGCACTCTGCATCTCAAAGATGATGGATTTGTAGAAACAGTATGGAACAGTAGCAGGCCTGAAATACGGAAAGATCTCGAAGGCAATGCTTTGGAAAATGCATGCACCTTTATCATTTTTTACCGCCCTTGAAGGAAAGCAGATCTTCGGGATGTGATATTCCATTCGAGGAATTTGCTGCAGAGTTCAGCAGCCGCATCAGCCGCATTGGATGCTCGTTCGAAACCTGCTTCGCGCTGTGCGGCAGCTTGTGATTCTAAAACGCCGTCCAATTCTGGCTGATTTGGGGGGTGCATTTCGCAAGCCACAAAATGGCAGGAGCATAGTATGATATGGTATAGTATGCATTGCACCAGTGTGTAGGCAGAAAGCGTCAAAGAAGCACCGTCGCGGTTGTTTCATCTTGCATGAGCTGAAGAAGGGCCTGCCCAAATCTGTGTGTTGCTTGAACATGTTCACTATTTGTTCACTCATTTCACTCTGTCTCATCATTCAGAAACCTGGGTGTCAAGGCCATGTGATCGCTTTGATGGAACCTTGGCGTGCGCCAAAGTACTGCAGAAGGGCATGGTGTGTGTTCGAGCTGCATACGGCACTGCAGGCCATAGGGATCCATTGGCATGGACATTGACATAGATTCACTGTGACGGAGACATCTGGAGACTGTCAGAACTTCCACGCATTCCAGGTTATGTTGACATGTTGTGTGGCTAGGCGGGAGAGCTGGACATCGTGATGCCTCCTTGTGAGGCCTTTTGCATCCTTTTGCAATCTATCACGCGATGCGTTTTTTGCCTTGAGCCAGTGTGTGCCCGGCGTCATGTGACGCATTAAACTGCATGCACTACATACTATATCTACATACATGTCCCGTCACGTCCCACCATGTTCCGTTCTGAATGTCAAGGCGCAAGGCTTTGCCCAAGCAGTTTATGATGGTGATGGGCTGCAGGACCTTCCGCTAAGGGTTGGTCTAGCATAGTCTAGCTATGTCTAGCTGCATTTTTCGGATTCAGACAGAGTGACTAATCATGACTGAAAAGTTTGCGTGACCCTGGCTTGTAAATGGCTTCAGGAGCAATGGCGAACGCTCTCTGATACCAAGCTCCAGCAGGCAGCAAGCTGCAGGGCACTGCTTGGCTGTAACGGATCTGGCGGATCAAAGCCGCAAGATGTTTGGCCATGTCGTTCCCTTTCACCATCTTTCGCCCGATAGTTTCACGCAGTCTTTTCCATTTATTCCACAAACATCCCCAAACAGTGTGGCCACACTGAGGGGTTCTTACGGTAACAGTTAAGGCCCGGTGTTCAATCGAGGTGGTATCGGAAGCCTCCGGCATTTTCCCTGTAAATTTCTGCACAAAATGCGTCTTGTGACATGTCCATGTGCATTTCGACTGCGCAGGCTCGCACAAAACGGGTGTCGCGGGATACGGGTCCGGCATTTTCCCTGTAAATTACCGCACATATCCGCACATAATGCCTCTTGTGACATGTCCATGTGCATTTCGACTGCGCAGGCTTGCACAAAACGATGTCCCCGGAGGTGTCCCCGGTCGTTTTATTGTAAATTTCCATGCCAAATGGCTGTTGTACTTTGTCCATGTGCATTTCGACTGCGCAAGCTTGCACAAAACGATGTCCCCGGAGGTGTCCGTGGCCATTTTTCCTGTAAATTTCCCTACAACAGGCTCTTGTGCAATGTTCGTGACCTAAGTCGGGTGTTGCATGTCCGTACGTGTTATCGTGCTCCTTTCATGCCATGGCTTCTATGCACAATAAACTGTGCTCGTGCTTGGGGTTTGCTCTCCGGTTGGCGAAGAAGAACCATGTAGATCCAGAAGTGTGCGGCTACCTAGAGACTGCTTTGTTTGCCCTGACTGAAGGCCAGCGCAGAGAAAGGCGCTGGAAAGGAGAACAATATGCCTTGCTGAAAGCTTAGGTATCCAGAGTGCTCCTTCTGGTGGGACCTGCCTTGAGGAACCTTCATGCCGTATCTCTGAACTTTCTTCCAAATTGGCGACCATGAGATTGGAGTTTCAAGAGGGCCTTGCTGCTCTGAAGGGAAGCAGGGAAGCTATGAACTCCAGCAAGCAGAAGTCGCTTCCTTGCGCTCGGAACGCTCCCAGCTACACGGCCAGTATGTGGCAATGGCGCCAACGCGCAGCAAAGGAAACTCACACCAAAGTCTTTCAGCAGCTGGCAAGCAAATTGGCCCCAATGGTCGTTGATCATCATGTGGCTCCTGACGCTGACAGCTCAGATTGCAGAACCGGTGGGGCAAAACGATTAGTAGATCCAATTTACCCAGCTGAGGCCTCTTAGATGGTGCAGTTTCAGCATGTCGCATGTCTGTACAGCAGCGAACCGCTTGAATCCCACCAGTCAGGATTTGCCCGGGCCAAGTGAAATGGCTGGCTCGTGCATTGCTAGGCTCTCGTGTGGTTGATTGTAATTCGGCATTTTGTTTGTTTCGGTTTCAAGTCTTTGCTCTACTTCATGCCTATTTCCAGTCTATGCCAGTCTATGCCTCAATTTATGGCTTCGTTTTGGCTTGGCCACAAGCTCGCCTTCAGCCTGACGCTGAACCTCGGGATGGCAATTGAGAGAGAGAGAGAGAGGTCTTGGGATCGGTCTTCCTCTCAACATCCTCCTCCTCAACATCATCATCTTCCTCTCATCATCATCACCATCAGGTCACCATTATCATAATCATCATAATCATCATCATCATCATCACCATCATCATCATCATCATTATCGTCATCCTCGCCATCACCATCACCATCATCATCACCACCGTCATCCTCATCATCACCATCATCCTCATATATCCTCATCATCACCATCATGATGATCATCATCATCACTTTCACCAACATCACCATCATCATCATCATCACCATCACCATCATCAACATCATCATCAACATTCACCATCATCATCCACATTAACTAATTAACATCGTCACCAACATTATAATACATTATCCGTTTACTCCCCCCACACTGTTTGGGGTCTCTTGCCGGGATAATTTTTGAATATTGAGGAATGCGTCTGCGTTTCGCGCGGTTTCCGCGCGTTAAGCGCGTCTGCGTTTTGCGCGGGTTCCGCGCGTGTTCTTTGCGCGGGTTCCGCGCGTGTAGCCGCATTTAATTTTCTCGAAGAAGCTAATATATTACGATGAATATTACTACTATTGTAATTTAATAAATACTACGATTAGTATATCCTTTCTACTATACATCTACGATATTTTTACTACTACTACTACTGCTGCTACTACTATTACTACTACTACTACTACTACTACTACTAGTAGTACTAGTACTAGTACTAGAAGTAGTAACAGTACGCGCGGGTTCTGCGCGTCTGAATATTGAGGCCCAAGCTGCTGTCAATGTGGACAAGGAGAACATCTTCCGAATGGTCGAACAAAGCTGCGGATTTTCCCAGCTAAACAGCGACCTGGTTGCAATTCGACGTCACAAGTGGCAAACCACAACAAAATTGCGCTGATGGAAACTCTTCTATTTCAAGTCATGTTTCATTACTTCAAGACATGATTTTGGGTCTTCAATCTTGTGTGCGTGCCCTTCCCTGGTATTCCCGAAACTAGTCGGTCGATGTGAAAGTTTGTCACTAGCTGCCAATGTTGGCGGTCGCAGTACAGTACTGGACTGGGGTTGGATCAGAAAACAATGCTGCGACAGTTTGAGACACGCAAACTAATATTGCATGTAGCTTTCAGTCCCAAGGGCGGTCAAAAAAATACAGCATGCGAAAACATTTTTTGGGAAACCTTTGGTTCAGTAGGGGCAGCCGAGTGCTGAACATTAGCAGCCATCGTGTGAGGCAGCGTGGTGTTGGAACTACAACGCTGGTTTGCTGGAGTAGCCTTTGATCATGTAAAGACTCAGATGGCGGAGGAAACTTCAGCAAAGGTCGTGCGTGGATGCTTGCGGGTACGCAGACGGCACTTGAGCATCGTAGTCAAGCAATGAAACGAAATATTCAGTCTGGATCTACCCTAAGGACCTTCAATGTTTTCCATGTTGTTTTCCTTTTGCCAGTTAATAAGTCAGTTGAGAAATTCAAGTGCAAAGCAGGTGGCAGACTTGTTTCGTTCCCTCGGCCAGCTGGACAAAGCGGACAGCCTGCTGGAGCGACTCACCCGCAAGCGAGTTGCATAGTGTGCATAGCAGACCGCATGAATCATCAAGCATGGCAAGAGCATCAAGCATCTAGACCATGCAAGACAAAAAGCAGGAGGTGTCAGTTTGCCGGACCCGAGCCCACTGGCAATCATAGACTAAATATATATCATGAATATACACCCAATGACCAACAAAAAATGCATAATAATTCAAAATTTTAATGTAATAACAATACCATGACACATGCATGCATATAGATGTAATGTATTAATGTATAATGTAATATGCAGACGCCAGACGCCAATTATAGAATGGATTTGAATCGAATGCTGTACAAATTCAGCTTGCGATACCTGGAATGACCAAGGTCAGCATTTGAGATGTTAGAGAGGATGCAGGAGGAGCAGACGCCTTTGCATGCTTCACTTCTCGGGGCCATGGGCCATGTGAAGCGGGAAGCTGGGCTGGTAGATTGATCTTGATATGTTCCTGTCCGGAGCGATATCAATATACGAATATATACGTACAATAAATAAATAAATAGATAGATAGATATATATATATACACACCTATATAGATAGTCCTATATATATAATATGTTCATATGGTAAGGTCACAGGTTGCAATTTAACGCTTTTGGCTGGCTAGTTCTTTTGTCAATGTTTATGCATTGGTGCGGGGACCGTCGAGGAACGGGGAGACCTGGACGGAGCTTTGGCATTGCTACAAAAAGGCTACGGAATTTTGCAGCTCACAACCGTCAACTCTGAGGAAGGAGCTTTGCTCCTGACCCGGCTTGGCCACTGGGGTTTTAAACTTCGCTGCATGGCAAAATCGGAAATCGGCATTATTCATGTTCAAAGGGGTTTTAATGCGACAAAGCTTATCATAGTCCATCATTGTCGTTTCATTGTCGCTCACCATCATCCTCATCACCATCACCATCATCTTCATCATCATCAACATTGGATTTTGAACGACTCTTGCTTGTGTGGTGATACAATACAGCGCACTTGAAGACTACAAAAACCCTTTGGTGTTCCAGATACCGCATGCCTTAAGCCAAGATGATCTAAGTTGGTGATAAGCATCAAACACTGTCAAGGTGGAACATGTGAAGGATGTGCATTTAATCCTTGAAACCCTGTTCAGACATGTTCAGAACCTCTCAACGGATGGCATGCAAGGCCATGTGAAATTCCAGCAGAAAGACCTTGAAGCAGCCGATGGTCACTTCAGAGAGGCGTGTCATAAGGTACAAGCAGTCGTGAATCTTCAGGTTGGTCTCAGCCTCCCAGCTGAGGGTCATGAAATCATATGCAATCGAGTATGTAAGAGCGTGACAGTCAGCAGTGGACTGTTCGCCTTTCAGTTGTTGACTACTCATGGTTATTTCATGGTTGTGTGCAGTTTCCAGCAAATTTACTCGTATGCAAAGATATGCACAGTATGTATAATTGCTACACCGTTGAACCGGGTTTGGTTTCCACTTCGGCAGAGAAGGCACTCGAGGCGCACAATGTCTGCAGAAGTTTGTGCGGTTTCGATGGGGCCCAACTATTGCAGTTACTTTCCTGCGGTGTGAGTGGGCAAAGTGTTTTCAGAGCAAATCGTTGAGAAGGACGCGGGTTTCTCTTCAAATTGCAACGGTCAAAATAGTTCGAATTGTTTGCAGCGTGGTTCTTTTCTGTATGTGTTCCCTTGCTTCAGTTAAGCATTGTTTTTGTTTCTAATTATATACGCTGTTTTCGTTTTGAGGCTAGGATTGGGGCACTGAAGCGTCCGTCTAAAAAGCAATGTGTGACAATATAGTTAGTTTGATGTTAACGGATTGCTCTTAATGCAGTGTCGGCATGTGTCATCACTAGGCGGTATTTGTTTGCATTAATTTAGTCGTCTTATTGTCTCTATGTTCAGAGCATATACGTCCCACGCCCCGGGGGCCTTGGAAGTCGGACCCGACATCAAACATAATTGACCTGAAGCCCGACCGAACAGACATGTTCCATCATTTTCCTGCTTGACCTCAGTGTGCCCACATGTTGTTCTCTACCATAGTGCCTTTTTGATCCTTTTTGATCCTTTTTCGTTGGGGCAGACTGCAGACGTGGCAGCATTGATATGCATTGATCAGCGATTCAGGTCTCTTGGTCACGTTCAGCGTGAGCGCAAGGACTTGACCGGGGCCTTGTCAAGCTACCAGCAGGCGAGGCCATTGCAGATCAGCAAAAAGTGGCTTGCACGACATATCACGACGTGTTCGAGTGTTCCGTTACCCCAGTTCTCGCGATAGTTTTCTCACCACTTTGGATCTAGCAGTACAGTAAGAGGCCAAATCTCTGTGCTTTACACCTAAATCGACTTGGACTAGGAAGAGTTTCTGAAATAGAAGCCTGCCCCACAATATCGGCAACAATAACTACTACGCCAATTGAATTAGATTTGTGGCTTGCTATGCCCCCTGTGCGCCTGGGAGATCGCTTTGTGCACTGAGAAATACTGACAATATCGATGCCAACTTGCTTCAGTTTTCGGTCAGAATGATGTCTAGGAAATGAGGGTGCCGGAAATTGATATGGCTAGGCCCAAGAGATTTTGTGTGGCTGCGAGCTTCTTCAATCCCCTGCTGGAGCTGCACTCGTGGCTAGCATGGGGCACCTGCAGCGGGAGCAAGGCAACATGGAAGGACGCCAGATGCCCAAAACAATAACACGCTCACGCATATACAATGACTTACAATGTATTTTTTGCTGTGGCTGTGGCCGATAGGAGCTATGGAGCTCTACCTGGAGTCACGACAGGTATTGGTTTCTGAGCAAGTCTTGAAAGGTTTGTAATGTTTTACCCAGGGCGGGTTATGGTGAGTTTGCTTGGCCTGCTTCACCAAAGCTTCTGGTATTTGTTTACAGGTTTGACACGCGTGCAAGTGGCAGCAAAGTCTGATCACAGTGTGTATATATATATATATATTATAAATATTATTGATAATAATGAATAATGACAAGATGTGCAGCCTTGGGGCATTTTGACGTTCTTTGGGACTGACTGAGGAAGCTGTTGGATGCCTGCAAACAGCAAACGGTGCTACGCTTTTGGTGAACATTGGGCATGTGCAGCGGTCTATGGGTGATCCAGATGCTGCATTGGCTACTTACAAAGAAGCTCGTGGCCTCTTCAAAGTGTCTGGATCCTGGGAGACTCCTGCTGGTGCTGAATGCAGAAGGCTCATTGGAATGCTCTCCGCGTGACTCACCAGGTCATGAACCAAACCTGCACTTGAGGCTCCCTGCCTACAACAGATACACAGGATTGCTGTTGGCGGAACACCGGCGCTGAAAGTGCATGTACATAACAACCTTGAATCCAGTTTCTGCGAGTGTTTGATTGAATGATTTGAATGTTCAGTTTTCATGTGCATGCGTATTGGCAAAGCCTTTGTCACCGGAGCCACCAGGCAACATGATTAAATCATAGGCCTCGTGTGAGGAGCACAGTAAGTAGGCTCTCAGATTGGTTCGCGATTGGATGTGTTGAAGGGAACAGAACTTCAACCGAAAATCGAATTGCAACCCGCTGCCCTGATTTGGGAACGTGGGGTTTGATTTGGCCCAGCTTGAAAAAGTGGCAGCTTGAAGAAGTGCATGGGATGCTTCAATCATACTTTTGTATAGTTGTTTAATCCTCAGGCATAGTGGCATTGATTTGATGAGGAAGTCTGACTCAGTTGGCACGAGTAATCACCCCTTATCGAAACTTCACGATAATTCAGGCCAGTTGGTTTATTGAATTTTATTGACTGTTGCGAGCTCAAAATGGAGATTGACCTTCAACAGATGCATTTGCCAACATATGAGGACCCCTAGGCACAGCCAGCCACAAACAAACCCATCAGAGTTCAGCCAGATATGATGATGATGAGGAGGAGGAGGATGATGATGACGATGACGATGACGATGATGATGATAATCATGATGATGATGGTGGTGATGGGAATGGTGATGGTGATGATGAGAATGATGATGGTGATGATGGTGGTGATGATGATGATGATGGTGGTGGTGGTGGTAATGATGATGAGCTTGATGATGAGGATGATGATGATGACGATGATGATGATGATGGTGATGATGATGGTGATGGTGATGGTGATTGTGATGATGGTGGTGGTGAGAATGATGATGATGATGATGATGATGATGGTGAGAATGATTCTGAGAATGATGATGATGGTGATGGTGATGGTGATGGTGATGGTGATTGTGATGATGGTGGTGGTGAGAATGATGATGATGATGATGATGATGGTGAGAATGATTATGAGAATGATGATGATGATGATGGTGATGATGATGATGGTTATGGTGATGATTATTATTATTATGATGAGGATGAGGATGATGATGATGGTGATGATGATGGTGATGCTGATGGTGATTGTGATGATCGTGGTGGTGAGAATGATGATGATGATGGTGAAAATGATTATGAGAATGATGATGATGATGATGGTGATGATGATGATGATGGTTATGGTGATGATGATGATGATTACTATGATGATGACGATGATGATGATGCTGATGCTGATGCTGATGATGTTGATGATGATGATGGTGGTGATGGTGATGATGATGATGATGGTGGCGGTGATGATGATGGCGGTGGTGGTGATGGTGATGATGATGATGATGCTGATGGTGATGATGGTGATGATGATGATGCTGATGGTGATGATGGTGATGATGATGATGGGGGTGGTGCCGATGATGATGATGATGCTGGTGGTGGTGGTGAGTCTTGATGAGTCTTGTTAGTCTTGTTAGTTTTTTTGGTCGTGTTAGTTTTGTGACTCTTGTGACTCTTGTGAGTCTTGTGAGGCTGTTGCAAGTTTTCTCTCAGATGGAGCCCCATCAAAGCTCACTCACTCCCGGTGTGTCCTGAGCTAAGGTGGAGGCTGCCACCCTTTTCCGAAGCTTGGATGTTAGCGGTGCGAACCCTCCTTGCGTGCAAGCAGCCGGTATGAAACAGAAATGATATGAAAAGAAAGAAACATGACCGAAGTGGTCTTTGCAAAGTGATGGAATCACTATTTTTCCGCCCGCCAGCGTCCCTATTTTGTGCAGTTGATTGGCGAATGGCCAAGTCGACAGTTAAAAAAAACTTCTGGTTAGGATGAAAACAACTCGACATCAAAGTTTACAAAGGTCTTTGTATTTTACCACTTCTGTTGATGATAATCATGATTTGGTTTGAGCAGCGAACACATGGTATTTTGAGCCAAGTTTTGCACCCACACAACAATGCATGAACACAGCATACAACAACCTTGTAGCATCGTAGCGTATGGTGATTGGGACAGTGCTGAGTTTGCTTGCTTTGCTGGTAAGGGCCCTAGACATAAACTTCAATCCGGGTTCAGTGCGACGCGTCACGTTCGTCCCCTTGTTCTCCATCTAATGTTAATAACTGTTTCGCGATGGAGTTGACATTTGGAGAGTTATATAGGAGTTATAGCTACAGTAATGTTCGGCAATTTTTGTAGTTCCAGTTTCATCTTGGATTTTTGCCGAGATGTGTGTTTACGTTTTTTGCGTTAGGACTGAGGTTTGAACCTGCAAAAACCCGATCATTGTTGTTGGCAGCATTTTCCAACGGTGCCCACATTTGAGGTTTGCCTTGCATCTCTTCACCTGTCCCTCTTCACAGCTTGGTACTCTGGTTTCCGCAGAGCTTTCACTCGAGTGGAAAACGTCCACTTGAAGGAGCCTTGACGATCAGCACTCTGCTCAAATCTTGAAAAAAACATGGCAGTTTGGATACATTCTGTTCCGGCTTTATCGCAGAGCATGTGCGGTCTCGAAAATCGAGCCAGTATTTCAGGACATCAAGTTAGCCATCCAAATTGCAGAGGCGCTCCATTTCTTCAGTGTCGTTTCACGTTTGCTAACAATTTCCGCCTTGGCCTGGGTCAAAGCACAGGCGGGCCTTGAGCTATCAAAACATGGAAAGCAGAAGACGCAGTTGCAGGAGTCATTGCAAGTTGTGTACGTTGCAAATTATCCTTCTTCCAAACCCGTCTTGCCTCTTGGGACAGTCAAGCAAGTTCCCCTGGTTTTCAGCATGCTGATAGCGGTCCTTGCGTGAATCCATCCTGATACAGCTCTAGTCTATGTGTTGAGGTGGTTGTTGTTTTCAGCTCTAGAATCTAGATTCTAGATGAAGATGTCGCAGGAGAGGCGGCTTGCCTTGCTTTTTATGCTCAGAACGCATTTGGTTGAAATCGATGCATGGCGGAGGCACGCCCTGAGTCAAGAACTTCAGTAGGGTTTGTTCGGGATTTTATCATCAAGTGCCGTCTGTGTGCGATGCCTGTCAATTTGGCTCAAGACAAAAGGCTCAAGAGCACCCTTAGAAGATTTTGGATGCAAGAAATGGTTTTGGCCGTGGCAGACAGTGCTTCTGGCGATTCTGTGCACAATTGTTTGTTGTTTGTTTGACTGCTTCCTTTGCATGGACTGCTTTTCCACGACAACAGCAACACGGAACAGTCTTACCGCTTTGCTGCCTCGACTGAAAGACGGAAGTGACGGAAGTGAGAATATATTCGTTCGCCTCTGTGGCTGTGGGAGCAGGAGAGTGTCCTCGATCCCGTCAGTGCAGGGCATGATAGAAGAAGGTGAAGTATACGTCGAAGAACTCCGCAAGCACCTCCAGGCTGTGCGTCTCGAGGAACTTTTCCTTCCGCTGGTGAGTGAAGCCAGGTTGGTGGTGGTTGGGTTGTTGCCTCTTCTTGCTTTCCCATGGGCCACGTGCATCGCAGGAGCCCCTGTATTCCTCTATGTCTTGTGGTACGGTCAAAGGTCATGGAGTTCAAGATGCTAAATGATTTGGAGGTTAAGTGGGACGATTCTTTGCGCTTTAACTACCTCATGGGTGCCTTGGAACATTTGGATTGGTTGACAGACACAGTACTTGCAGTGCAAGTGCAAGTCTTCAAGTGCGACCCAGAACTGACCGACGCATGGGCGGCTGCTTTCGACGGCTCCTTGGGCTGGGCATGGGCGCCAATCATTCGCAAGTTGCACTTCTCTGGCGTTGTGACTTTGTTCTTGGTGTCAGCCATTGTAGCGCAGCAAGCAGCTGCTTTTTGGAGCATTAACTCTCTTCGCTTGAACGAGGACACCGAACATATGAAAGCTGCAGCTGCCATGGTTGCAGATACCGCGTGCTTCAGTGCAGTCGCAGCTCACTTTCAAAAGGATTTTGATAAGGTTGCTTTTGCCAGTGATTTGCCCATTCAAATTGTGGGACACCCAGCAGTCGTCATGCTTTTGTCAAAATTGTCCAAAGTCTTTTGGAGAAAAAGATCATTCCTCATGCAGATCTACTTGCAGTCCAGCTTTTACATGCTTTTACGGCATCATGTTCCACCATATCAGTGCTGAAGGCATCAAGATTCTTGGTGGCATGATCCTGGGCCTGCTGTCAGCTTCCAACAAGATCGGTGGATCCATTGCGAAACTGGTGACTCATCCTCAAACGGACCAGCACCGCTGGATCTGCGCTTGCTGCACTTGCTGCATCTACATCATCTACATACTCCCTTGCCTGGTCTTCCTGCTTTGGATCAGCCTAAAGCTTTGGTACGTTCACTTTTGCCCATCTCATCAGTGGAACTTATCCACTGGCTGTGTGGACTCCGCGCCGGAAGTTTGGTGAGTTTGGTGAGTGCAGTGGCATGGAAAGAGGGTTACATATGACACTGAGAGAACAACGCATTAATTTAAAGATTGCATGCATTCACATATATTTACATGATTTTACATGCATTTATATACTGTTACTCTGTTCCATGCGAAAAACGCATGTCATGGATGTAACAAATATAAACCTTAGTTTCAGTAGACCTTGATCCTTTGCATCAGGCGGAACCCTTGTCAAACAAGGGTACATGTATTCATCGCACAAACGAAGAGCGATGGAAAACAAAAACCAGGTCACAGTAGACCGTTGAGTCTTCCAGGAGGTTGTGAATCAGCGCGGCTTTCGTCTTGTTATGGCGCAACTCCAAAAGTATGGTAATCAACTTGCTCAATGTTGATAATGTTGCTTACATGAGACTATGCTAGGTGGTTACAGCCAGAAGGATTCGGCATGCCTCTGAGACTTGCGGCTGTGTTCGGTAACAGATCCAGAAGTCAGCAAGTAAGTGCGATGATATGAAGAGAAAACCGCAGCTTCATAGCCATTCTAAGGATTAGACGGACAGCCTTCGGTGTCATTGTTTTTTCATCTTGCAGATGGCTTGGAAGCAGCAGGTGGGCACGGTTCTCTATGTAATGCTTCAGGTACATACTGGTCGTTAGTTGATGATTTGTGTGTATATATATAGGCTTGGCACATTCAGGTGTTTGTGTACATGCTGTTTAAGATATTGTAAAATATGTTTATCTACGCCGGTAGCATTTCATTTGTTTGACAGGCCCTGAAGCCATAGCTGACCTGCAAGCACTCCCTGGGGCACGAGTGATACCTACTGCCTGGCATCCCAACAAATCAATGTGACTGGCAGGTCATTCAGCATTTGCTCGATGTGGTAGGTCACGCACGGACGACCTGATTCCTTTGTACCTCCTTCGTTCCCGATGTCAATTTGTGTAGCATTCTTTTGCTTCAAGAGTAGGGATGAGAAGGCTCACTTGAGCCAACATAACATCTTTATGGTTGCAACCAATTTGTGGCATACTTGTAGGCCTCTCGGCCACATAACAGGCCGTCAAATTTCATGTCTGTTTGTTGCGCAGTGAAGGGCAATCCCACGCAGTTCAACTTGGTGTCATGCACACTCCAACGCAAATTCAAAGAACTGAAATTGAATAAAACAAAGTGATACAAAGTGAGGGTACGGCAAGAGAGGAAGCAATCTGCAGGGGTTTTCGCCTCAAAATATGTCTCTGTCAGACCCAGAAGGAAGTGGCTTTTGGATGCTTATGGACAGTTGTGGGATGTTGATGGATGTTGTGGGTGCATTCGGCATACGGATATATTAATATGCGTATATATATAATACAGTCACTGGAGCTGAGATCAACATGCGATGGGCACAAAACATTCGACAGAACAGGAACGTGACTTTAACATGATCTTGCCTACAAAAGTGAGGTCTTGCGTGACGTGCCTTAAGAGGTTGCAGTAGTGCACGCAGCAGAACACAGGTTGGTGTTGAGTATGACGTAAATGAAACTTGCAAGATGATCAAGGCGTACTTAACGGTTGGTTATGGCATGTTATGGCATTGGATCAGAGTGTTTCAAGTATCCAAGAGGTTGGTTTTCTCAGATACGTGGATGTTGGAATGCTGACAGCTTAGGTGGCTACAGGATGGTGCGAATTGATGGCTGCAGAGGTCACCACAGACTGGAGAGGAAGAGTTGTGCCACAGTGGGATGCCATGACAAAAGCATGCCAAATCTGCTATGTAAGAGATTTATTAGGAATTTAGGATTTAAGCATTGTGTATGAGAGAGAAGTTCATTTTATATGTTTATTCAATTTTTGTTAATCATGATAATTCATCCGTATGTTTCGTTGTTTTCCAGGTGCCCCCAGTATCGCCGGCCTTGCAGTTCTGATCAGGTGGCACTTTTTCAAGCTGCTCTTCAGCACGAGCCAAGTGCAGAAATGCTGGTCCTTTTGCCCCATGACGTAGGAAGCTTGTTTCAGTCTTGTTGGTATGAGAATTTGTCATATTATATGTATACTCTTGAATGCTTTCTGCACTCCTCCCCACGCCAGGATTTGCACAGAACTGGACACTTCCAGTTTCAGAATTAAAACACGTATGTTCGCTCGTGTTTGTGCGATTTCGGCTCCAGACGAGCGCCTCCAATTCAGAACAGATCGACGTTGGCCAGATGAGTCAGAAGATTCATGCGCCAGTGGCAATGGACCTACAGCAGAACAGGAGCACTGACAGAAATTGCCCATTCAGTTTTCAACCTTATTTTGCTCCAACGCCTCAGATCACATTTTCCACTAAGTACCTCAAAAGAATCCCAACTTTGTGTTTTGCGAACAAGCTTGCAAACTTTTGCCGTTGTTTGATGTTTTTTTTGCAGGGCCTGCAGTATGGACAAATCATCTTCAAGTACGTTTCGCGGAAATGCCTCTTCCAGCGCACTTCGCGGTGGAGTTGCTGCAGTTCTGGTTCAAACAGCATGCGTGCCCACTTTCATGTGGATGTTCCTTGTTCCGCAATGAAGGGGCTCGTGACTTTCATTCCGATTCTGAACTCAAGTAGGAATCTCCTGCAAAGTTCTCCTTTAAAGTCATTTTCCTTGCATTCAGGTGTTGTCTCATTGCTTTCAGGTGTTATGTTTGCAGCAGGGCAACTGCAGGCAGTCATGTTCTGGATTTTGCACTCCTACTGTTTGAAAAGCTAAACATAGGTGAACTATGAACATGTTCAATCAAATAGATGATAATAGATGCCACTGATATGGATTATTTTCGGTTGGTGCTGTGTGTTTGTGCAACAGTTGGGATAATTGTGCTGTAATGATGGTGTTGGATTTGTTGCTATTGGTACTGCCAGGCTCAAACCATCTCAAACCACAACTTTTGCAAACAATGACGCTTATCACGCAACATAAACCGATAGAAAGATCGACTGACATGGCTTTCATGACCAAACAATCTCAAATTCAAACTTGGCTGAACGGTCTTTACACGGAGAACCGGTATGGGCAGCGCATGACTTCAAAGCATGTTCATCAGGGTGGCGTCCCCGCGTCCCGGCACCCGTGATGATAAAACGCAATCCAATCTTGCACCACCTTTGGCGCAGGGAACAATACTTCGCAGTCGGTCTTTCGTTAGTCAATCAAAACCAGACTTGCCAGCACATGATTCGGGCTCCTGCGGGTCTGTTTGCTTTATGATGTTCCTGCTGCTGCTTTTCCGGCAAAAATCCAAGACCTTTGGATTGATTTTTCTGCCATTCAAACTGCGGCTACTTCGTGAACCGATTTGCAAAAGCGTTTGCTTTGAACACTGTGTTTTTTTTGGAAAACGGCCAGTGTGTATTCCCCAGATATCATTTTGTCAAAATATCATTTTACCAAAGTATCGTGTTGCCAATTTTAAAATATCATTTTGCCAAAATATCATTTTGCCAAAGTATCATTTTGCCAAATATTGTTTTGCCAAAATATCCGAAGCTGTGTTTTGCCAAATATCAGTTTGCCACAATTTGTTTGCAAAATGATCAAAATGATAGGTCGAAAAGTTCGCAAAATAAGAATCTGGGTCGTCCCCAAACCCCACATTTTGCCCAATATCTAAGGGTGATGGTTCCACTGGAACCGTCGTCCCCTGTGATAGCTACCCGAACTTTTCGCAAATACCAATCTTAGCCTGGGGTGATGGTTCCACTGGAACCATCGTCCTTTTCAGCTTTGGACAGCTCTTTATTATAGTTTTTGTTTTTTTTGGAGATCCACTGACTCAAGCTGACCCTTAGCTTAGCCCTCGGTCGATCTTTCTATCGGTTTATGTTGCGTGATAAGCGTCATTGTTTGCAAAAGTTGTGGTTTGAGATGGTTTGAGCCTGGCAGTACCAATAGCAAACGATCCAACACCATCCACGGATTCGAATCCTTGCGCAAACACACAGTACCAATGCAATATAACCTTTAAAAACATCAATCTGGTTGAAAATTACATCTACGTTGTGCAACTTTGTTCAGCCTTTCAAACAGACAGTAGAACGCAAAATCCAGAACACGACTGTGTTGCAAAAATCAAGGAAACATGTATGCAGTTGCTTTGCTGCTGAGTCAAACCGCAAACGTAACACCTGAATATAATGAGACAACACCTGAATGCTAGGAGAATGACTTTTTACTTGACTTGATTTTGAGATGTCTCAAATTAGCATGCTTCCGCTTCGATTTGGCTGCAGGGACCACATGACTAGACAACATTATGCAGGAAGTGCGCATTAGCACCCCCTGGTTGCATGTCTTTAGAGGCCGCTTGAAACGTTCGAAATTGGCGCAGAAGCAAGTGCTGCGGCGGTAGATGTCGCAAGGTTTCGTTCAAGATTGAAGAGGAGATAATATAGAAAGAGATAGAGGCGCACACACAGATGGGAAATGCTGGGAACATGGCCAACCGTAAGGCTCAAACATCAGTATGCGACACAGCACTTCTTTGACATTTTTTCCTGCATGTGCATGTGCGCAGAGAGATATATATATATAAAATAATATATAATATAATATATCATTATACATGTATATTATTATATATATATACTAATTTATATAGCTGTATATATATATACACGTGCGCCAGAAGCCTTGTAGTCTCACCACAATGGACGGCAGCGAAGCCGCATGGATCGAATGGGAATGCAACGACAGCAGCTGGGACAACAGCCATTTGCACGAGAAGTTCAAGCCTTTTCTTGACAGCCTAAAGCCGGGTAACAAGGTTGCAGTTATCACAATGACTGGTTCCTGCTGTCCGATTACAAAAGCTCATTGTATGGCATTCGAGGTTGCACGTAGTCTCTTGAAGGATAGGGCTCCAGAGTACACGGAAGTCCTAGGTGCCCTGGCCTTAAACACTGATGGCCATGTTTCCAATAAGTTCCATGAGAAAGGGGAAGAGATCATAGAATGGACAAGTCGCGCCATGCTAGTTCGTCTGGCCACAGAAGAGACCTCTTGGCTGAGCGTCAGCCATTTGAAGGAAAGCCAGGTGGTTTGGGACTTGCAGCAGTCCTGGGAATGTATCGACTTTGTGCAATACCACCTCAATGGCGCGGACGACGTGTTGAAATACGAAAAGTGGACGTGGGCTGTGGATGAGAACAATCGTTTTATTGCCTTAGGGCGGCCCACATACACAGAACGTCTTAGAGAACTTGCACCAGAGACACCCTTTTTCCTGATTGGACCGGAACTCCCAGATATATCCTCCTCACAGGTGAGAGACGCTTTGTATGAAGAAGATTTCGAAGCCCTAGCTAAGCTGCTACACCCTGCTGTTGTAGCATGGTGTTTGCACCATTCTCCATACCGGAGATGCAAACGGCAGCGCCGGATTGCCCAGGACAGGCTGGAAGCGCAGAGGAAAAGGGCGCTTGCGTCGAATTGCTGCCTGCGATTCTTTCCCCAACGTTTGTTCAGAATATGGTTCAACACCCGCGAAGAACAAACGTACCTAAATCATAGTCGGTAAATTTGCCTGGTGGGATGAGATTTGGTTTTGTTGCACAGGATTATGTGCATACAACGAATCTGCAGTTGTCCGTAACAGTACATACAAATCATCATATTCAATCACGCTGAATGGCGTTGGGCTGAAGGATTTTGAAGTGTTAATCCTGGAGCTACACTAGTCTGGATACATTTGTGGGACTTACTGTAGGTTACTTTAAATTGTAAACTTAGACTGCAATTTCTGCTGCTAGCAGAATCCAAACAGCTGCGTGAAGTAAGCCGTGGATATCTATGGGATTTCCATGGGTTTCCAGATGCGCAAGTGAGGCACACAGTGACGAACTACCAGTATCGATATGGTGGTACTGCAATTGATGTCGTTCGCGCATTGTATGCCGAAGGGGGCCCTCGCCGCTTTTACAGAGGCCACTGGGATCCGCTGTCGCTCAGTTTTTTTGTGACCAAAACTGCGCTGAGTTGCTCGTTTCATCTCATTTCTACGCTTGGCTATGCAAGAATTGCCATGAGTTGCCTATCTTGCATCGTTATGCAACCCATTTGAGGCATAGTGCCAGCCCTATTGCAATCTGCAATACTGCGATTCGGTTGCTTGATTTGCAATCTGCAATAGCTGACGCATTGCACAACCTAACATGCCCTTGTGGAATGCATCACCATGAAAACGAGAGACAAGAAATATTGCCATTGTTTATCGACATCATCATCACCCTCATCGTCAGCAGCAGCAGGCAGGAAGTCGTTGAAGGGAAAGATGCTGTAGAAGAGAGAAGAGATCAAACACAAGCCAGCCCAAAATGCGAATTCTGCAAGGGGCGGAGAAAACGAAAAGAGTGGCAACCAACCATGGACACTCAACACAGAACCAAAAAATGTTCCCGCACAAACGAGTAAGGTGGTTTGGCCGTGAACGAGGGGCTCTTGGCAGCAACCGCCAGAAGCTCAATGGACGGAGCTTGTGTCGGATCAACATTATTGAGATATGTAGTATAGATATATGTCTATATATATATAGTATAGACATTTATATCGAGATATTTCCGGAAATGTTGAAATAAGATGAAAGAACCAAGAAAGAATGTGACTGAGACGGCCTGAGGCAAGCCATGGTTTGTCCTCCACGATGGCCGCGGCCACCAGTTCCTTAGCAACTAGTGTGTTGCGAGTCGTGCTGATGCCGCTGGATGCTTGGCAGACCGTTCCCTGGCAGCTATCAGCTAGACCCAAAGCAGATGGTTTTCAAATGTCTTGAAGATGGTTACAATTGGCTAACTGGAATTAAGTTGCTATACCAGATAGCAGAGATCTTCCGTGACGAAGCGAATATTTGAACTTTGCCTTTGCTTTCACTGCTTTCACTGCAGTTTCATGCAGTTTCCCCTAGTGGGGCTGGGCAATTTGCAAGGCAAAGCAGGTCAACGGAGAGCATGGCTTCAAGAGAGTTCTAGAGGAGGCGCGTAGCAGACCGTCAACACTCTGGCGAGGAACAGCAGGAGATCTTGCATATTGCTTGCTTTAGCGGAGATGTACCGTACATAATGGAATCATATTGGACAATTTTGTAGTAAGATGTTTCAATTTTCAAAGGGACATTGCAGTCGTTCTGAAACCCCGCGTCTTCAGGTGCTTCGGTGATCAATCCTAAAACCTCATTCCATGTCATTGCGCAGGAAGTGTTACATCAACCTGGGCCGGTTTCTATGCTTGGTGTTGGACCAACAACTGGCTGCACGAAGTACTTCCGAAATCTTCTTTTGGCGATTCCGAAACAGCCAGGACTCAGAGCTCGTTTGCATTATTTTGCTGTAATGTGTTCTTTGAACATAATAAATATATATATATATACATATAATTATATAGTTATAATATATATATATATTATATATATTATAGTTATTTATTTAGATCTGTTTGGTACAATTGTGCGCTTGGTGAGTCAATACCAGGGATCGTTTGACCAGTTTCCGATGTTTCCGAGTCACATGCATGTATTGCGGCATGATGCGACATGCATACTGGTAGCTTCTTAATGGAAACTATTTATATACCTGGTAAACCTTATAAACACCTTTTCTTATCCTTATGCCTAATTGTTTGCTTTTCATGGCATGGGATAACAATTCTTGTCCCTCAAGAGCAGGGACGTGAATATCCGTAATCCACAAAAGTAACAATTTTGGGCACCAAAATCACTTGAATTGCTATATATGTTGATATATACTGAAAGATGATGGCAGTAGAACCAACTCATCAGTAATACCACATATTAACTCCTTGAATGGACAAGTGAAGACTTGTTTGGATAAATTTCCCAACATATCACATCCATCCAACCTGGTCCAAATCCACCAAAATCCATCAGAGGCCACAAGTGGACGGCGCTCTTTTCATCCAGTGTGGCTCAATGATGCCAGCTACTATGTTTGGGAAATCATCATGAGCAAATCCCGGCCAATGAATTTGAGGAGATCACCTGATGTTTCAACGGTGTTGTTTTCATGTTTTCTTGTCTTTTCCATGTGGTACTAACATTCCTGCAGATCTACATTAGCAAATTTATTTGCTTGATGGAACATCACTGGTGGTGCTATGTAATCCAAAGTTAATTGCACCACAAAGCAACAAAACAATAAAAATACTGAGTTTCCTAATTCGATGCACTTGGGGGCCATGCTATTTGCAATGGCTATATGTGCCACTTCGCTGACTGAGCTGGCCAGGTTCCACTGGCTTGTTTATCTTTGGGAGCACCGGGATTCAAAGGTGAAACCTTGCACAATCTCATCGAAACATTCCCTTGTGTTTTTTTTGTGATGGCAATGCCAACTCCAATGAAGGAAATTGAAACCATGCCAAGTGGACTGTTGGTTGATGAATTTAATGGCACACATTGCTTCACGTCTTATAAAATCAAAGCAGTGTGAATTAAGTTGAACCTCATGGCACTTGAAAGTGTTGAGATTGCGGAATGTAGTTCACGTGAAAGCTTTGCTCATCTCATGTCCTGCACAAGCGCAGATGCAAGAAATTTTGGCTCTGAGATTTCAAAAAGGGCTTGAAACTTGGCCATGGCCATGGCTATGGCAAAGGAGGTTTGTCTTGGGGGTGGTGGCAATCCCAGTAGTGCTTCATCATCCCCAAAGTCTTCTACCAATACCGTTGTGGGTAACTTCTCATTGGAAGAGATTCCTGCTAAGTGGGATGACTTACCTGCCATCCGTGACCGAATGAGAAATGGGGAGTCCCTCATCATGAGATTTGATTCCACCGTTGGAAAAACGGAGGCTGCATCAGCTGTTGAAGCTACGGTGGAAAACTTGAAACTCAACACCCCAGTTCTATTGCCCATTATGGAGATTATGGCGATCAATGACTTGAGGCTTCCCTCAATCGAGGCTTTGATTGGGGCCATTGAGGACTTCTACCAACTTTGCAAGAAAACTGTGAGGCAGCCAGACTATGTTTACCAGGAAGCATGGTCTATCCGTCGGATGATTGGGAGAGCCAAGAAATTCATCTACAGGCCTCACCCTCCTCAGGACTGGCCATCAAAAAAACAAGTTAAGGTGAAGGTGAGTAAAGGCCACAATTTGAATCCCATACAATTATATTTATATAATTATATAAGTTATCACAATGCTACCAGCCACCCTCATGTTTTCTAAGTTCCTTTTTGGTGTTCCCCTGTCTCCTCCATCAGAAGCTTTGACTGCAGGATGCTTTGGTGGTAGACCTCATCACGGCCATGGGCGTTGACGTGAAGGATTTTTGGGGTTTGTGTGGGATGATAGTGGTGTGCCACATTTGAAATCCACTATGGAGTTCCATGCATCACTTAACTTTCACATGCAACATGGAGCGCTATACAAATCTCCAACCCAGTGGCAACCCATTTGAGCTGATACTCATTGAAAAACATGAGGTGGATAAATGAGTATAGTTTTTTTTGGACTGCATGAGTTGGTAACATATGATGAGAGAGAGTGCCCTGACACAACAATCCAAGTTAATTAGCAAATGAACAGGTTTAGAATTGGCATTGGCCACGTGTGGTCATATTATATCAAATCCAATTGCAAAATATATGTGATGCTTGACGCTATATGATCGATATTCCTTTTTGCTTTCCTTATAATGGATATATATACTGAATTGATCCGCTCTCATATAGCCACGTGCAATGCCATGAAAACTGATCTCAAGCATGCTTTGGCTGTGCAGGATTGGAAACCATCAGCACATTGCTCTGACAGCCAAGAGAACCAGGATACCCAAGATGAGGCAATTGGGAATCACGATATGGATTCTGTGGGGGAAGTGGAACCAGAACCTCTTGGGCAACCCCTCTTTCAGGATGAGCTGAATGAACTGTTCGCTGAGTTGGAACACAATCTTCCCCCAGTGCCTCTGCAAGGACCAGACCAACCACAGGTGCCATCCCCACCCAGGGATCCAGCTACCGGTGGGGGAAGTGCACAACCACCTGCTTTGCGCAAGGACAATGGGACGGTGGCTTTCGTTCCCGTGGCTACTCCATGCCGGGTTTCAACTTTAATACATGGTTGCAATGCAAAAGAAGGGAACCAGGCAGGGTTACATATATGAAAAGTTATATATACATGGTATACATGACTCAAAGCGGAAGTGGGAATCATGCCTGCACACCCCCTAAAATGATCTGGGGTACATCGCTTTAATTCAAGCATATATAGTCGGTTGTTCATGTTTAACTTTGACCACAAATTGGATTGAGAATTACAACATGAATCTCATGCACTCCAGCCCTGTTTCAAGGCGGCCATTGACATTCTCTCATCTGATGAGGAGGGCCCCAACTCAAATCATGGTGGATTGGATGGCATGACGGTATCAACACAAGAACTTACCGGCATTATCCAAGCACTTCTTGATTGCAAGCTGTTTTTTGGCTGCATGAAACCTCAATCCATTAAAGGTTTTCATTGCTGTCCATTCTAGGGGGTCTGCATATATATATATATGGATCCTCCATGTGTTTATTGGGGCACCAAAAGTCATCAAGTGATGATATATATAGGATTCGATTTGCTAGTGCCCTATTTATGGTACCATCCCATGACACCCAGGAATGGTGGATCTCCAGAGCAGGCTGCATTGCCTCCAGCTGATCAATCTGGGAAGCCCAACTTGCTTCCCGCTGATGAGCAAAGTGCCTGGCGTGAATCCATTTGGTTCAATTTTAACCCCATGTCAATTTCCAAAACGGAGTTTAAAGAGCCGACATAGGGTCAACAGCACCGCTATATGCCCAAAAATTCAAGAACCATAATCTTAGGTGTTGTTGCAAGTGCGGAAGCATCTACGGATCCCATCATGATTATCTCGGATTCTTTGCTACCCCCTGTGGCAGCGGCTGATGAAGTTGACACTTTGCAGATTTGCTCGCCCAGTCAACTACTCAACACGGATGTAGCGAAAGAAACTTTGAAGGATTTGGACATCCATGACAAATCTGTGGAAGTTCAGGTACAGGATTGTTCAAAAACCCTTTTCCCATGCATGCAATTGTTGCTGTGTTAACACTATTATGTTTTATATAACACTATATATAATCTTTTATAAAGTTTTCTTGCTTTCGGATCGATATTTTGATTATATATATGCCATGTATTTAACATGTATATATATTTTAACATGCACGTATTCACATCTTTCCTGCATGGTCAGCAGGTGGAGGAGACTGGAGAGAATGGAATCCATATTCCAGAACATGAGGTGATCACCAGACGGAGGCAATTTCGAATGAAAAAGGAGAGAACAGATAAGAAAAAGTCAGATCGAGATGAGAAGAAGATTGAAAAGCAAAAGAAAAAGGATGAGAAGAGCAAGAAGAAGGAAGAGAAGAACAAGAAGAAGGATGAGAGAGATGCCAAAAAGGCAGAGAAAGAAGCAGTGAAAGCTGCAAAAGCAGCCAAGAAAGACAAGACGAAGAAAGCTGGTCGTACCTCGGCTGAGAAGACCAAAGAGAGGAAAAAGAAGACATCGAAGAAACAGAAGAGTTCCAGCTCCAAGATGCATGGCATGGATAACACAGACCATCCATCAACAAGGCCTGTCCAGAGTCGCAAGATCCGTCGTTTGAGGGAGTACTCCCGGGCGTTGACATCTGCTGGCACATATGGGGAGTCAGTAGTCAAGAGAGGCCAAGTGGAAGAGATGAAGATCCCCAGCAAGAAAGGCCAAAAGAAGTCAACGGCCAAGAGGACTGCCAAGATCCAGACTGAGAAAAAGGCAAAGGAAAATCACACAGAGGAAATTGTGGTGGAAGGAAGTGAGAAGAAGATTGAGGAAAAGGCGATGGAGAAGACTCAGGAGGTTATGGATCAGATTGAGGAAACGGCGGAGGAGAAGACTGAGCCAAAGGCGGAGGACACCGAATCGAACCTTGCAGAAAAGGGAACAAAGCAGAAAGCATCCAGATCCAAGAACACCAGAGCTTCGGGATCACACAAGAAGACTGCTGCCAAATCGGCGGCAAAGCCCAAAGCAGCCTCTGGCAAAAAAGAGAAAGAGACGAAGAAGAAGAAGAACCATGGAAAGAAGGAGACTGAAGAACAGAAGATTCGACCAAAGAGATCTCTGTCTGGTGAGGTTGAGAAAGCAAAAACCAAGAGCAACAGAAAGACGAAGAATCATGTGCACGCAATGCCAGTTGAGGTGAACCGACTCGTTTGTGAGTGCGTCAAAGAGGTACTTAAGGAGTGTGAGGATTCCAAGTGCACCCATCCTACGTGGGAAAAGCCCAAGGATGATCTTGCGGATATCCAGCCCTACGCATCCCGCTGTGCTTGCGGCATCAAGGTTCCCAGGTCTTTTTTCCAGAATGATAAAGCCCAAGGGAAGGGAAAGGCCCATGTATGCTACTTCTCTTGCAAGACCTCATGCCTCTACACCAATTTGGTTCTTGGTGAAATGTGGGTTTCTTGATGGCACTTGCATTGGACTTTTATATACATATAACACACACACACATGCAAGTACCCCAGCCAAAACAACATAATCTTATATATAAAACTCCAGGGATGTAAATATATATATATAAAATGACCCATCACTTTATAGAATCTTTTGGCAATCCCTGCCCTGCCTAGGTCAAGGAGTGGAACCGCCAGAGCCGACCAGACCCATGCGGCGAGCACATGGCTTGGTATACTGATTGTCTCAAGGCCTCGCATGAGGCAGCGATCAAGGAGAGGGCTGAGCAGCAAGAGTGATCACTTGATTTCCAGGCCAAGATTCACTATATATCATGGCGATATCATGACGCAACCATGATCATTTTTTCATGTGGTTTGCACCAATGTTTGGTCTTAATTTGATATATCAACGTCATTGTTCAAAAAAATTTTGTTTTGGAGAAATGCCATGAGATGTGATGGGGCTCTATATATGTTGACAACACATTCCCCATAGACCCTGGTGTGCCAAATAAAGCTCCAACAAATCTATGCAGTCAATACCTGCTATATGTTTTGTTTTTTTGGAATACAGTAATTCCAATTTTGGTTCAATTGTATATAACTATTGCATGAAGATCATGGTTCTCCTGTATAACAGCAAGTTCTCAGCGCATAAGGGACGGGGAGTGGCCGTTGTGTGCATATCAATCCTAGGTTGGTCAAAGCTGGGTGGAACTGCCACCCCTTTGCTGTTGGCAATATGCTGACATTGGATCATCATGCACTGCTTGCATCGAGATCTAGATTCGCAAAGCATTCCCTAGTCTGCAGGCAGTCAAGAGCCTGTCTTTGATGGGGCAACCAAGACGGGAAAAAAATGTGGCACATCATGCATGTTAGGATATCTTTCTGGGTGCATATGTAATTGAGCAGTTCTTCATGTATATCGGGATCTGCATTATGATGGACATCCATGATTCCAAACATATTTCAATATATTATGTTCATGCAAGTTAAATGAACGATCAACATGCCATGTAAAAGCTAATCCCTTTTACGACCCAAGCTTGACGGCCTGAATGTGGCCATGCCAGGTGGATTGCTGATGCCTCGGCGGAAGGTCAGAAAGGTTGGGAAGTCATGCCGGAATTCCTCGAAGAGATCAACAATGAGTACAACTCCCAAAGGTTTTGATGGCTCGCTTAATCATGCATGTATGGGTGATGCAAATGGGAATCATTGGAACAAACGATGAATTATCGATCAGTTCTTTAAACTTGTTTCCAAAATTGAGTCCATGAATGTGCATGTGCATGCATGAGATAAAATCAAATTAATCAAAGCAACTCGAATTCACAATATTGAAATCAAATGAGCTGAAGATTTGAAACAGTGTTTGCTGAATGGATGCTTTTTGAGTCATGGGCAATTCTCCTTGCCAACTTCCGTTCGGCAATTTCCAGCATCAAATGTGGATTGTTACGTCAATTTATATATATATAGATGTATTATTCAGGGTAGCTTTGCCCAACTGCAAGTGATCATGCAGAAGCTTTTGAACTTTGAACCCAACTGCCTGCTCAGCCATGGTGACTGGAAGACAGTGTATTGACACTGTTGTCAAAAGGCTTTTGGCCATGAGTGTGCCCAAGGTTTCTTGCCTATAATAGCCGGAAAACAATCTCAAAAATATTATATATATATATAATCATATATATATAGATCGATATCTGATATATAGTATTGGATCTTTGCAGGGAAAAAGATGAGAAGAATCAATGGCTAGCATTGCATAGAAACACTTAAATTACCACAAAGCGGAATCCCTTATAAGAATGTGCACATGCATGTGCATTGCCCTTGAGGTGTTCATCATGCTCGTCATATATGTGGCCTTTTCCAAGAACTTCCACGAGTTCAACGAGGAGCTGATCACATATACCATGGGATCAGTCAATTGTGAAAAGCCAACAGGCCATGCAAATTGATCTTCATACATATATGGGTTTATGCATGCAATCTGACAATCAATCGGTATACCCTTTAATTGAGGTTCCCAGCCCAAGAAATCAAATCCAACCTGGCAACGCAGGAGATATGCTTTATCGAGTTTTTCTCTGGAGATGGTGAGGTATGGAGAGCTATACGCCTAGATGATGTCACTGCTGCAAGACTTGACATAAAGTTCATCGAGAGCATCCATGGTGATGGTGATAATCCCATGGATATCAACACGATGTCGGGTATGGGGTTCCCTATCTCAATGATAAAATGCAGATTGATTTGAATTGCCACCTAGTTGATTCATCATCAAAATTTGAGAGTCTAAGACCCATGGATACATGTGAATGCAAAATTCAATTGCCAAACCAACCGAGGCTCTACATACATATGATCTTGTCATGCAGGATGGGTGCCTTTAGCACAGCATGGGGGATCGTTTGTAGCTCATGGGTGCAAATGAATGTCTTTACGAGCTGCCGGTCTCTCATCAACCCCGATGGAGACTGCTCCAAGAAGTACGTGGAGCAGGCCAACAAGATGGTGTCACGGACCCTTTGCTACCAAATTGAATTTATCCAATCTTGTTGGTGGAGTGTGGGAATTAATGTTATATATAGTTTAACATATACATGCAAACAATTATAATATGCAGCCAAACCATGAAATCTGAGCAATACATTGTGAAATTCAGAGCTGATCTATATATAAAGATCTCAGTCTTCCTGATCCATTTTCATTTTTCTTTCTACTCCCACCCAGCCTGCTGAGGTGCGTGCTACTCATCTGCCTGGTCATTTGCTGTGAAGGAACCTTTTTCGTTGAGCAGCCCCGCTCGTCACTGATGATTGAATACCATCGCTTTCAATGGCTAACGCGCTTGGTGCAAGTAACTTGAGTAATTGGACATAGGTTGTTGGCCCTATATATGAAGTCATCCTGTATATAGATCCTCAATTGTTATAAAGATTCTATATATACCATGCAAACATGCATGCATGTGGCCCTGACTTTTTTGCATGCATTTATCCCGATGATTGCCACTCTATGGAATCCATGCAGATCCAACATGAATTAAAACAATATCGATCCACTTAATTTAGGGGTATTCAAAACACCATGGATCTTGAGTTTACATGGAATTCACAATCAATTTTCCCAGCCCCTGAGCACCTCAGGTATTCAAAGTCAAGTGGTACATGTGCCACTATGGGGCGCAAAGTGCCAAACCTGAGATTGGATTCTGCAACAACCGCTGGTGTTCTTTGCTGGACAAGGGCAAGCTGGATCGTTTACATTTTCAGGGGAAGACCAAGGTTGAAACTGTACGAAAGACTATTTCCAAACGTACGGGGAAGGCATCCTACAGTGGTACTCCAGCCCTGAAAGCCAGCCAGTCCCTAAACTTATTTGGTGTGCATGTAGTTTGAACTTATATATATATAATTATATATATAACATGTGCATGCATGCATTACATGCTGGTCTCTGTTAATCTTATATGGGTTAGCCCGGCCCAGGAGCTATCCTCCACGATTTGGCCAAGCAATCCGGACCCTTTTTCCCAAGTTGATTTCAGGGGCTGAGGGGTGCCCTGAAATCAATGATGCAGCACAAGCCTGCTCTGTGTTTGAAAATGCACCTTTCTCGACTTGGGATGAGGCTCACCTAGTGCCTGTCCTACGATATCTTCGTGGCAATAAGCATTTGATGCTACCGGAAGAGTGGCGGAGTGTCATGCCACCAGCTCTTGAGATTTTACATAATCTCGAGATGAGGCAGTTGGCCAAAGGGCAGGATCTTTAATTTGGCTGAAAAGCCAACATCCAGGCTGTGCCGACATGATGGCATGTTGAACACCCCAAAGAACCATGGTGAATTCGCTAGAATTGGCATTAACTTTTCCAAGAAGTAACCAAAATTTATGAAAATCATCAATTTCCCAAGAAAATTTTATGATTCCATTTTTTTGCAAAAATTACACATCTTACTAGGGACGTGAATAACCATGCTGTGGACGTGAATACCCGTAAACCGTTCGGATTACGTTCAGATTACGTTCAAATTACGTTCAAATTACGTTCAATTACGTTCAAGTTGCGCAAATATTACGTAATAATTACGTAAAATTTCAGGGTTTGTTTGAGCTCTTTTGGGTGCTGTCAAAAATTTTTAAAAATTTAGGAAATCCAACCAAAATTGTTTCAAAAGTGAGGGAACCCAACAAAAATTTTTGGATTTGAATGGATTTGGGGTGTTGCACATGCCTACTCACTATACCCTTTACAGGATCAGCGTGGTTTGACCCATGTTGTATATGAGACCAATGGTGGTGTGCAATTGAAAAAGAAGGACGTATAGCATGACTGCATGTACTTTCAAACGTTGCACTGGGTGGTACTGATCTTTTCAAAGAGTTACAGTATAAGTGATGCATGCACATGCAGATTACTGGATCAATTTACATATTTGATTCTGTTTGTAGCCATTTGGTACACAACCGAGGTTTGCTGAGGTTTAGCTGCCCCAAATATGTCCCGGGATTCCTCTGTGACTTCTCTCCCTGAAGCTGGATGGAGCTGCCAGACTTTACAGGATGGCATTAATGTTGCAGCAAAACATGCAGGGATTCCACTCAAGCCTGAAGACTATGCTAAGGCTAGGAAGGGCTGGGCCAGCTCTGTTGGGGGGGCATTTGCTTTTGTCCAATTTGAGTCATGATATAACTTGTATACCTGATTTCAATTATGTTTTCCATATATATAAAAGCAAGTCTGTGATGTGAGATCACATGCAGGTGGCGGAAGCAGTTGCACAAGCTTTGAAAGGAAAGGAAGCAGTTCTTTGGCTGCAAGTTCTCGCTTTACCCAGGGTCCACATTCATTTATGTCCCAGATAAAATCTGCTTGGAACATGTCAATGGTTGAAATTCCACAATTGCTGCATATAAACATTATAACGTTATAGTGATCCCAACATCCTTCCAAATTCTCAGGCTGCCAAGATGCCGATGGTTCGGGTCAAGATGGAGAAGCCCGATTTCGAGCATCCACCTTCGACTCCAGTGTCGCAGCAGGAGACCCGGGTATCTTGGAAAATATTTATATCATCATATCGAAACAAAACAAAAATATATATATATATATGGTTGTGAATTCAATAGCATGAAAGTTCCTGATGGCGCTAAACGAAGTAAGGTGCATCATGCAAGTTCTTCTCAAAGTGCTAGCCCTGAAGCTGACACAGTTCCAGCTGTTCCCTGGCTTTTGGTTCCATCCTTTGTTATTGGAATTTGCAGTCAATGAACCACTTTTTAGATCAATGAACCATTGACCATGTATATAGTGAAGCCTCTAAGGAGATTGAGAACCTATCGCCTGCAGTTGGTGGAAACCTTCACACGACTCCACCAGCATCTTCTTCGAAGATCATTCAAGAGCCCCAACAGTCTCAACAGGCCATGTTGTATATATACTTGATTCCATATATAGATATATATAGATCCTATATATTATTATATATATATATGTATTTTTGCCACCATTTTATTAACAATCTGGCCTGGCCTTGAAGGTATATCCACATGCATAGATTCCTGATGCAGGTTGCTTTGACTCAGCGGACTGTGGAGGTGGAAAAGATGAACACTGAGTTGAAAAACAGAATCGCGCAACTGGAACGTGAGGCGTTGGAAAGGGCAGAGAGGGAAATTCAAGCCAAACGGGCCAAAGAGTGCCATTTGGAGCTCATGTTGAAACAAACTTTGGAAAGGGTTACCCGGTTGGAGAGCAAGAAGAATGAAACACCAAAAGAACCTGAGGTACCTAAAGTGGCAGAAAAGGTGCCATCAAAACATGCACATGCACATGTGGAACAAGGGAAATCTGGTGGACATCGTCCTGCTGAGCCAAACAGTGGCAGCATGTCTTGTTCTTCGGATGAAGAGGATGAAGATGACCACATCACCACTCCCAATGGTGAGCGTGTTCCTTTCACTACATCACTAAAACCACAACCATGTGATACCATGTGCATCAGCTAATGAATTTAAATGATGAGACATGCAGTATCATATAAAATTATATATATATGAGGACAATAATATATAATTGTTTTCCATCATGGCCGCAGCCAAGGTTAACATAAGCGCAGACGCCCTACGCATGCGTTGCAGGAGACTGTGTGAAATGAAACCATCAGGAAAATGTGCGGTGGATGAAACCACTGCTTCGCAGTACCGTGGTGGCGGTGAGGGGCGTGAGTTGCTAGAAATGGCTTTGCTAGAGGCTTTGGCTCGCCATGGGACGAGCCGCAAATCCTACAAGAAAATCAAGGCTAGGAAACCATGCATATATATATATTACTCATTCGGCATGGGCTATGTAGCTTAAACTTTATATTTTTTCCATTGCCCCACAAAATGCTTTATATATATTTTTTTGGTTCTTTGGGGGTTGGCCCTGATCACCCTCATGTGGGCCCTGCCTCAATCTGTGCACAGGGTGACTTCTTGCAGAAGTGTCGCCTGATTCGTGAGCGTCTGGATTCCAGGGAGTCTGAGACACTGGGAAAATGGATGACAGAAGAGACGATGCGCAAGAGTGGTCTGTATTCCCCGACAACCATCAAGAGCATGATCTCATACTGTCGCAAATTCCCTGAAAGCCTGATGCGGCCACTTGTTTCAATTTGAAATGCCATAAGTTGATGGATCACTAAAACAAAACGATGCCCATGCATGATATGCTTGATCAGACCCAGATTCCATGTATGTATGTCACATCCATGCAGGCCTTGGCGGTACAATGACCAAGTTGATGAGTTCTACATCATCTACGAGGACAAGTCAAGCCACAAAAAGGCGGAGACCCTTCGAGAGCAAGATGAGACTGATCTAGGTGAATCTTGGCTACATGCATGATCTCGACCCTTTATAATCGGAATATATTTGGATTGATTTTTGGCATGGAACCCTTTATCATAATTCAATGCATGAATGGATCCAATAGTTTTGGCCCCATGATTGAAAACAATCCTAACCATCTCTGATGCGCCTCCAAGGAGAGGACTCTGAAGGATGCTCCTGAGGGGTTGCCGCAGAATCTTGTGAAAATCCCAGCTGAACAGCTTGCCCCAGAGGTGGTCGGAGCTAAGGACTGCATGGTCATTGCATGCATATGTCATTAAAATTCTATAAAGAGTCATGATATAAGTTCTTTGGGTTCCGTTTTGTGCAGCACATGCACTTTGTTTCCTGATCAGCCTGTTGCGGACTTGGAGCTCTACATGGTTAGCATGGAGAAGAAGAAAGAGTCCATTGAAAAGATGGTAAAGACTCTGAGTACTTCCAAAGAAGATGGACCTCAAAAGTCCTTTAACTGAATTTGATGATATGCATGTTCAAACCTGCAAGTCTATATGCACATATATATGTTTTATCCCAGGTTGATCTCAGAGCTGAAGCCTCTCGACGCCTCTATGAGTACATGTTATGAGCGCTTCTCCGCCTTTCTGACTGAGTTGAAGCTGGAGCATAAGGATGGCAAACTCCAGAGTGAACGGCTCAAGGAGTTGCTTGGTCCCTACAATTGGAGGAGTGCAAATCAAAATCAATTTAACTAATCTTTTTATAACCTTGCATTTTTGTTAGCCATTTTTGAGGGGTCAAACATGGCTGAACTTGGGTTTTCGTTTTGCCTATTTGATCCATGGATGGTGGCAACCATGATGACGCTGAAGAATGGCTTCAAGAACTTCTGAAGTACAACCGGGAGGCCCTTAACTGCATGCATGTGTGAACCCAATGCATTAAGTTCTATATATAAGTTGGAATTTGCCTCCTTCAAATCGATATATATACTTTTTTACCCTGGCCAGGCCAACAGTAGATCTTCCCAAATCCATGATGGTCCAGGCAAGGCTGTTTTTGAGTTGTGGGCCAAAAAATGGTAAACACATTGATCTTACCATGCGTTATGCAGTTTATATATATCTATATCTTTGAATGCATCCACCATTAATTGGATCTAGACCATGATTCTCCCACCTGCCAGTCCTCCAACCAGTTCAGCGAAAACGGCATCATTGGAAGGATGTCCTGGACGAAGCTACAGTGGCATTAGCCAGGACAGAAGAGTGTTTCCGAGACATTGAGGGTGACCCAGTTCTGGATTACAGGCTTCCACCCCGAAGGGGCATGTTGGCAGGAGGAATCCTGAAACATTGTTACTCAGCACTTGATTCGATCCTGATGGCCCAGTACCCATGTATCTTCAAGGTGGGGTACACCCACAATCCCACATGGAGGTTTCACAACAAGATCTATGGATATGGCAATGATGTTGCAAAATGGTCAAATATGGTTGTATTGTATGCTGCCTCCGAAACTATATCACCTTCGTATATTGAAGCTGCCCTGATCCAGCGCCACAAGGGACCCTTGAATGCAATTAGATTTGCCAAGCTTTCATGCACTGCCCTTTAAAATCTTATTTGAATTTATTTTTGGGACAGCATCAATGAATGATCCTCAAAAAGCGAACCCCCCTTGCTCAGGACAGTCGGGTTGCAGGAACACACGAGATGGAGGAGATTCTATTCATCCAGATCTCAACAGTTCTGGCCCTTTCTGTGTATATGTGGTATACCGGAGCTTCAAGAAACCTCCCAGCTAACATGAGAAGCGCCCACATTGATGGAAAAAAAAATCGATGTTTTGTGGGTTCATCCTTTTTTGTTCAAGAAACCAATGACTTTAATTTATACAAGTTGGCTCGGAATGTTGATATTTGTTTATATAGTCTCACCCAGGCTATTGACGGAAGTGGTTGATGAGAAGAATGAGGTCAGAAAACAGTGCCTTAGCTGTTATATATAAATGAATTGAGTGATACTGGCACCAGCTACCAAATTGAATCGCAAATCAAGGTGTGCGAAGCTTATTCCTTTGGAGTCCCGCTACAGGCAGGTTCTGTCCCATGTGTTTTCAATCAATTCATCGATATATATAGTTATATATAATTGTTTATATAGTTGTTTATATAATGAGTCAAACTGCACATGTTGATATATAGAGTCCTATATACACATGTCAATTAATGAGCCAACCCGCACTCAAAAAACGCCATTTGCAGGGTGCTGCAGAAAGAGCTTGGCTTGGAGGAAGGAAAGGCCAAGCCGAAGACCACGAAGGCAAAGAAGGACAAAGGTGCATCTGGGTCAAAGGCACCCAAGAGCAAAAAGGAGCCCAAGTCCAGTAAGGGCAACCGTACCAAAGGTGCACGTGCCACGAAGCCGAAAGGAACCAGACGCCAAAAGGGGAACGGTTCCGGCCCTGCTGAGCCCACTGAAGCTCCTGTTGCTGCTGAATCCAGCAAGCCCAAGGCCAAGCGAACCAGAAAGGCCTAGGCATCGATGTTGGATCCACTTGCCAATTCAAGTTCTGAATGGTATATTCTCCATGTCCATCATATATATATATCAAATTATATATATACAATTAATTCTATATATTGAACGGTTTCAATCAGTAAACCCAATTTCAAAGTGAAGATTGTGTGAACATGTTGTAGCAATTCTTTTGGTGGAACCAACATGTTCGAATGCCTGTTATGTTTTGGGATTTTTGACCATGTGATGAACACATGGGAGAGTCATGTCAAATTCCATGCACTTGTGAATATATGTCGGGGAAACAGGTTATGTTGCATGTGGCTTACCACAGCACATGCCTGGCGGGCCAAGTGCCACAAGCGTAGACCAACTTACAGCTGGTAAAATAGTTTGGGCCTTGAGGTGAATCCGAGAGCTTATATAAGAACCCAAGAACATATATGAATAAAAACAAAAAGTTCATGAATAAAACCATGCATTCTTGGGAGTCTACGTCTACGCAGCTTTGAAAACACACCCAATTCCCGCACAGCCAGGTCCCTCGCAAAAGGCGTGGCATCTCGCTTGGAAATATGGCAGGGGTGTGTCTTGGCAGCATACTTGAATTGGCATACCCTTGAAACATATATAACTCTTTTATTGGCTTTGGGGTCCACAAGTCAAGTTGTTCACCCTTGGAATTGGTGCCATATCAACACATGGAATTGATCCAGAAAACATGCATGATAAGTATTTGAAATGGAAAGGTGGTCCATGCATGTGTTAATTCAAATTAAAAGTTTAGTTTGTTCAGTGTTTGTGGTTTTGAGCCATACCAGCCCAGGAGAAAGGCTGCGAACTTATCGACTTTGCGGCAGCGGAGCTGCGTGATGTGAAGAGTGGGCACCATTCTGCAATGACATGTCCTGTCCTTTCTGCCCTAGCGGTTGCTGACCGACGAAAAGCTGACCCTGGGATTACTTGATCTATAAATGTGACATGAACTATTTACCCTGGATATATATTAAAAGGAGCAAAGCTAAAGGGGTTCCATCAACTTATATATAGAAAACGTCAATTCCATTTCATATACCACCACCAGCCACCAGCCACATAAGGAAGAAGCAGTTACTTCAGTGTTCCGCTTGAACAACTTCTACTATCCCGTCGAATTGACATGGGAAAAGGATGCGCCACTGTCTGGATTTGTGTGGATCAGACCCTCCAATTTTTTACAGGCAATGAGCAAAATGAATGACTTGGATCATGTACTGGGTGGAGTGTCTCTGAAAAATGCAGAGCTGAGATTGACAACGTTTTGGCAACGCTACAGAACTCTTTTTCCAAAACACCAAGTCTTTTCACACATGGATGCTGGTCGATTGCCCATGAACAGATGCATACCCTTGTTCCTGCATGGTGACGAAGGAGTTACCTACCGGAAGGATGGCCTTTTGGTGGTGTCATTCCAGGGTATTTTTGGCACTGGGACATCAAAAAAGCCACCCTCGGCTGACCACTACAAGAGCACCAGTGCTGGGATTCCACTCAATTTCTTGAGAACTGGCGTCCAGACTCGATTGCTGATTTGTGTATGCCCGAAGGATTGCGTTTTAGGGTTCAAATAGTTTTGGTTATATAGTTCATGCCTTGAAATCAATTTAGCTGACATGTATCAATCAGTTATATAGATTTAACATGTGTGCACGCATACATCCAGCCCTGAACAGGAACTTTATGCAGAAGATCCACGAGTTTGGAACGCGATCTTCGAACTGATTGTCCAAGACTTCAAGAAGTGCCAGCTGGATGGTGTGCCTGTTGGATCTTCCGGTGATAAGATTTTTCCAATTATCTTGGGAAACAAAGGTGATTGGAGCTACCTGGAAACTTGAAGGTGTTTTATCACATGCTTTGTTTTTATACATGAAGCCATGCATGTTGTATATATATCGAGGTTTTTTTTTTGTGTGTGTGTTTTGGACCATCTGCAGTTTCAAATCTATTGGTTCATTTTCTTGAGAATTTATTACTGTTGAGGATTTGCATGCATGATGCGCAACAAAGGTAGGAAGCGCTAACTTGGAGCGCTCATACAGGCGAGCGCCAAAAGGTGCTGGCCAAGGTGGCGATTTTCAAGTCGAAGGTGGAGGTGTTTGTCACCTATGTCTTTGCGGGCAAGGTACAGATTGGGAAAATCTGACACTTTAAGAATTACTATGCAGCATTTATTTCCATGAATGTTTGGTTTTTGCTTTTTGCCTTATTCTGTTTTTGGCTGCGGGTTATTCGAATCCACATGGTGTTGATCCCAAAAGGCACATGTTTAATTGGAAAAACTTCCATCCCTCAGGAAAGAAGCAGAAAAGGCCATGGATGAGGCATGTGAGGTCCCAATCCCAGTGCCCTGGAGTCGAGAGGGGCCAATGACAAGAGAACTTTTCCATGATGCTGCAGTCAACGGAAAGGCCAGGTTCCATCTGATTGATTTGTGGCACAGTGTGCATTTGGGAGTGGGAAAGACGTGGGTAGCAAGCGGAGTGATGATGCTGCAGCAACTATTGCCAGACACTGCTGTGGACCGGCGGGTGTTACTTCTTGGGGCAGACTACAAGGACTTTTGCCGTCGGATGAAAATGAACGCAATCCTGCGCAAAGTTGATCTGAGCACCTTTGGAACCACCAGTGAACCGATTGGGGCATGGAACAAAGCGGCCATCACATCCAACTTTTTCTTGTATCTCGAAGACTTCTGTGAGAGGCACCATGAGGAGATTCAAGTGGATGAACGCATGCGCATCTTTGTTTCTTGGAGATAGCTTAACACATGTTCAAACTATACAATTTGTTAAATTGGGGTGAACTCAAGTGATTTGATGTCTTGTTTGGAATGTTTGGGGGAACCTGCATTTAACTCATGGAGTTTAGACAGCCCAAGTTGTTTGGGGGTTAGCTTTGTTTGCCTTCAGGCAGCTGGGACAAAACGGCTCAACTTCTTTTGGCGTGGGGTCTACTCAAATGATGTCTTGGTGGAAAGTTCGCTGGGTGCATCTTTGGCCAGTGCACTTTACGACTTTGTCAAAGCGTATCTATGGCAGGCTCATGCAGCCTATGTCAGAGGTCTTTCCCACTTTGCTTTGTTCCCGAAACTTCATGCCATTCATGAAGTGGCTCATGAAATGAGGCGTCAGTCAAAAGCATCAGCTTGGATCGTAAATCCAGCGGCACATACGTGTTCCCTGGACGAGGATTTCATAGGCCGCACAGCGGCAGTGAGCCGCTGTGTGTCGCCGCGAGCAATCCCTTTAAGGTTGCTACAGCGGTACTTAACCCATATCCAGATCGCTTGGTCACGTGGTTACCAGGGAGAAGAAAGATAAAAAGCGCAGTGGAGGGTGAACTGGTGGCATGTAAGGTTGATGTAACCCAGCTATTGTTGATATATGCATGCAATATGGAGAACATATATATAAGCTAATTTTTATAAGGTATTGTGGATAAACAATCACAATATAGCAGAATATAGCAGAATTACATGAAAATGCATGATATATGCACAAACCATCAGGGACGTGAAAAACCGTTCAACCAATGCAAGGGGCGTGAAATACCGTTCAGGGTCGTGAATGTTGCCAAAATCACCCAAAAGCTTGCTTTTAGCATCTGGGTCAACAATTTGTATCTATCCAGGGTAGCAGGTAAGACTCTTTTGGGTTCCTTTGCATTCTAATCAAAATCCCCAATTTTGTATCACAAGCAGATCAAGCAGTGATTTTATGATGAAGGCAAGCCTGGAATTATATACCAATGTATTCCCATGGGATTGATATACTGTATGTGTATCGTGTGTGTGTGTGCGTGTGCGCATAGAAAACAATAGAAACAGAATCTATGGTTGCTATCGATTGTTATCGTACGTTCTTCGGCTGGAGGAGTGCGACAATTGGTTTTGCAGCCAATGTTGCGGGCGATGCTTCCAGCAATTTTCTCCGCGTCACTTGGTAGCACAGAAGGCGAGGTTTACGGCAGGGTCAGGGAGCTTCCAGTCCTTGAAAGAGCCCATTTTGTTCTATTCTAGGAAACCGAGGTGATTCTGATGTTTGACTGTCATGTTGTTGCGTTGAACGTGGTTCAGTGTTTTCAAACGGAATCAGATCATGATGGTTCATGATCCAATTATATATGTAATGGGTTGCACTCATAGAACCAGCTACTAGTATGTATTGATTCACAGTCAGTCAGAACTTGTGTGCAAGCAGAACGAAGCTCCCTTGTCATTCACGCCACGCCAAGGTGCTGAAAACATTGCAGCAGACTGCAGGGAGAGAAATGACTTACATGTCAGCAGCTAAAGAACTGCTCAGACAGGACGGAGTGCGAGGCTGGCAGGATGTAATGTGTGATACATACATATAAGTACAAGTGCGTGTGAGGGCGTCCCATTGTGATATGTGTGGATGTCAATGTTGATGGTGTTTGTAGCCGACCGAATCGCCACACTCACTGCAGGCTTGTTTGTGCGCGGCCTTCCAACAAAGGTGGCATCCAGCGGCTTTCAAGGCGCTGTTTGACACTCAGTCGTGGCTAAGAAGGCATATCACCATAAGTAATTACAGGAATATCATGGCTCCTCAGTGATGACCACTTTACACCAGTTTTTATTCACAGCATCTCAGAGTCGTGAGATGTTTGTCATACGAGATTGGCCTGGATCCCACTCACTATTTGGGGATTGTTGCCGCTGATGCAAACGTGCTGAGGTCTTTTTAATGGGCTACGACTTAGTGCTCAAGAAGTTGTCCTTTTGAAAAAACGACATGTGAAGAGTTGTGTTCGGAAGGTGCAGCGGCTGTGTGACAAAGTTCTTCGGCCAGGAGTTGTTCTCCCATGTGTTATGGTGTGTTTGTGTGTGTGTGTGTTTGTTTTGAATGCCCTCTGAATTCAAAGAATGTGCCCAAGGACTTGTCCAAGCAATCTTCCACCCACAGTATAGCTGCACAGGCACACAGCTCCGGCTAGTCTGGAGGTAAGATGCCTGATGTTTTGCTCCCTTGTTGCCTGTTGGGACAATTCAATAAAGAAGTGTGTTCAGAACATGGCAGCTGGCCAGGCAGGCCAGCAACTCCGGAATTGCACGTCAGCATTCACAGTTTGGGCGAACGCATCACCGATTTCAACGGCAGCAGAAACCATATCTTTTGATTTGCTTTGCTGTTATCACCTTTTTATCAGCTTTTGTTTTTCCTTTGGATCGAAATAAGACAAGAAAGGCAACCTCTCCTCGTGCAATTTTAAGAGTGCCTGCCGTGTGTGATGGCCCGCAGGCGGTCATCCACGTTATATATAACTCCGTAGGCTTGTTTGGCGTATGCTAAAGCCATGCAGCCGTAGGACGGAAGGAGACTCCGCGAAGAGCTTTCGAGCTGCCATCGAAGTATATATGGCATCTTGGACCTTTTGCATGGTGCTCCCATAGAAGTTTTTGTCTACAACGTAGACAAAACGTGAAAAACATGCAGGCCTTCCCTTTGCCCAACCTGTACAGTGGCCGGCTACACGGGCAAATTTGACAAGACCGCACTCAGTGTTCTGTGCTTCCCAAAGTTCTAGTCGCTGGAGTGCAGTCTGGCAGCCATCTGAGCCCATAGCTGTTGGGAGCCTTGCACTTTAAGTCCCTTGATTGTACCTTGTAAATACAGCTCAGTACATGTAGCACCACTGCAGCACCTTTGCTTGTTTGATGCTGCTTCAGGATACCTAAAGGGTACCTTTGTGCCCCGTCCCCTAAGTATCCTGAGCATAGGCTTTCCAAGTCCTGGCCGAAAAAAACACAGTAATATGGTGGGGTGAATGTTGGAAAGTATCGCGAGTCATTCCACCCTTTCCACATAGACTCAGACTCGTCATAAAGCTCGCTCAAAGTCTTGAATTATGTTTAATTCAGCACAAGCCACTTCAGGCACTTGCCTTTAGTCAAGGGACCCACAGGGGACAACCACTATCGAGTCAATACCAAGTCATTATTCAGAAGAGAACCCTCAAGGACTCGAACCACGCCTAGACAGCCGATTGGGATGCTCAAAGCGTTTGAATTGAACTTCGAGGGCATCTTGTTTTTTTTGCATCCCATGAGCCCGATAGCGGAAGTGTTGCAAGTTATGACTGCGCACCATTGACCTTATCAGTCAATATTGATCAATATTGCATGTTTAATATAGAGGTGCTCAATTGTAGCATGACGAGAGAAAAGTGGGCTCCAATGACCAAACAACCCTTTGTTGCAGCTGGTATGGTGCGGAATAGCTGAATCCCTGTAAATTGATATACCGCTCGTTTAAACATTTCCTAGTGACTGGGAATGGTTTGAAACATTTTGAAACGCATTTACGCGCAGCATTTGCGATACAAGTAATGAAGCAGCAGCAAACCGGCTTCATTTCATGACAGCTTCGCGGTTCCCGCCGAATTGTGTGAAAGGAAAATGGTACGAGAGCACCTGTGCAATTCCGGCCGGTGTACGAGCAACTGCGGCGTTGGCATGGCATGTGGGCGCAAACAGCGCATAGAATTCACGCTGAGGCTGTGCCGCTGCAGTCTCTTAGCCGGGCGCCTGATGCAACCAACTCTTGCACATAAGTCACATGATGTCACGACAGCGTGTTTGGAATTGATCAGCCTGGATCTCTGAGCTTTATGGAAGGCAGCCTCTTTTGCCAGCTTGGCAGATTTGGCAGGACAAGGTAATCCTTGTTCTTGAAGTCTTGAAATCTGCCATACTTTCGATTGCAAAACGGTTAGTGCAAAAACAGAAACCAGTCGGACCAGTCGTAGTCGTGTAGTGAGTGATGGGGAGGGAGAGAGCGAGAGAGAGACGGAGAGAGTGTCAGGCCAGGCAGTCACTAGTTTGAAGCTTGGTGACATGCCTTGCAGACCGGTTTTTGCATCAGGTCGTGTGCTGTCCTGCCCTAAGTCGCAGGTCGCGGCAAGTGTTGTGAGATTGAAAGGGGGGCTATAGAAAAGCGCCCAACGTTTTGTGGGACATCTTCAGACTGATCTCATGTAAAAAATTAAAAAGAACATTGAATACAAGAGACAGGAAATCATGACTTTCCAAGTCATCTCGAAACTCAGGACCTAGTTTAATATATGTTTTAGATATATATTGTTAGGATATTTTAGTCATTTTGTGCATGAAAGTGACTGGTTCTGGCTCACTCACTCTTCTTTTGCCAAGATATGTTCGGTAAGGAAAGCATTGTTGGACGGCAATGCGGGGGTGCCAGGGCCAAAGTCAAAGCTGGTAAAGTCTTAGTCACCGATCCAGCTTTAGCCAGAAGAGACGCCGACACGCGGCCAAGTTCCTTGTTGCATATTCCATGCCACCGCATGTGAGGTCGCGCATATGTCCCGCGGGTGTACGAGATATTGAGGTCCCTCATGATTGTGCTCATGGCATTTTGGTTGCACTTTGAGCATCTTTGAGCCGCCCTCTTGCAAAGGGGGTCAATATGTGTCAATGCAAACTTGTTTCCTGTGGTTTTTATGGCCGATGGATGCCAATGGTGAATGACAGAGAATGACAAGACCATTGTAACATATTGTAACTATGTCATTATCTTCTCAGTTCCCTCCTCTGGGAGTACAGCAAGACGAAGACAGGGACAAAAAAGTGAATTGATACGAATTGAATGATTGAAGATGGCATCAGGCCTTGCAATCGGCCGCAGTCCACTCCCGAGGCATTGAACCACATTGGGCAAGGCAAGACTCCAAGTACAACTCACGTGCATTTTTTGTGGGGAGCCTCACGATGTGCATAGTATAGCATATAGACATGTATAATCATGTATAGACCATCGTCAATCAAGAGGGCAAACCACATAATAGACATAAATAGATGATGTTCTCGCTTAAAGCTTCACATGACTTTACCTTTGTCGAAGCATTCACTTGGCATGCATGGTGTGACCCTTTTCTCTTCTGGCCACTATGGCCCAATCCCCAATTACAGGCCTTCAGCCAATCGCTACGTTCCCTGTGCGAAATGATGTGCTGATATGTGCTGACTGCGTTTTGCTGTGAACTCGCTGTCAGCCACTTCAGCATTCTCAGAGGCACCGGAGCTTGATTGCTTTCAAGGACCTTTGGCGCCGAGCCCAAACATCAAGCAGAATCAGTGACTGGATTTTGTGCGAAGAATTTTCAACTGATCCTTTTGCTGTTGATTTCACACCTGAAAGTTGAACAACGGTTTTCTGGGAACGACTGCATTTTGCAGTCGGTCAACTGGCTGACATATCCTTGAAGGGACGCTTGTCAGCATGGCCGAGGGGAACAATGAATCTAGTGGACAAGGTTCTTGGTATAGGGCCCCAACCTGGGATGGAAGCCCAGCTGCGTGGCGAGAATTTAGATGAGAAATGAGATGGTGACTTCACAGCCTGGATTTGCCAAGTACAATTTGGAAGCTCGATGGCTGATACGGCAGAGAGGAATAGTCAGGCAGCACGGGGAGGAGTTCAACCCTGACGAATTGGCTTACAAGCCAGCTGAGATGGGAAGGGATCCGGATACAGGTGCCGAAGTCCTGCTGACTACTTGTTTGGATTGAACAAGCTGCTGAATGCTCTGGAGTCCATTAATGGACGAACGCAGCTGGACAAGCGTGGAAAAGTTCGGCAGCAATTCTACGTGGATCTCCGTCGAAAAGCTGGTGAGCGTATCTCAGAGTTCTCAACCAGACTTCGCATTTTGGTTGCTGATTTGAAATCTGGGAGGCTTTTCAAGGACCTTCATCAGTCTGACCCACCTTTTTCGCAAAGCTCCTCAAGATGGTTTCAAGCCCAAGCTGACAGCGCGACGTATGTTTGATTTCAACAGGTCTGAGGGATCTTCAAGTACTCCATCCACGGCTTCGAGCAGATTCATGCCGAGCTCTACTGGGTCCTCTTGGAAGAGACCTTTGTCCTCTGCAGCCTCTTCGGTCAGCTCTCGAAGGGCCCTTGTGACTGAGGTTGAACAAGAGCCTGAAGCCGAAGCCGACGAAGTTTGTAAAACAACTGCGGTGGATGAAGATGCTCCTGAAGATCCTCCTGCCTTGGAGGAATACCTTCTCAACGAAGCCGAGGTGTCTGCAGCTGAGTTGAAAGATGCTGAAGAATGTGGCATCGATGCGCAAGTGCTTGCAGAGCTGGAGGCAGATTTCGAGCAAGCTGCCGAGACTTTGGGTAACCATGAAGGAAGCACGTTCAAGGTTGAATAAGATTCGAAAAGATCGTGGCTTCAACAAAAGTGGCCCTGGATCGACCAAAGGCAATCCCAACGTGCCGTCCTCAAAGAAAGCAAGCGGGAAACATCCCTGCTGTGACTGTGGGTTGCATGATAACTGGGCTGGTGACAAAGAATGTCAGCGTCCTGGTGCCGGTTTGGCGCGCAAGACTTCTCCTGTGGTGGCAAAACAAAAGCCACGTCAAGTTCGCTTCACCGAAGCTCGCCGTGCTGATCATCTTCCAGAAGTTTCTCATGAAGATGAGCCCACAGTTGCAGAAGTTGGTAAATTACATGGACTTCATGAAGCTTCAGTTGTTTCTCATGATGTTTTCTTGGCATGCCCCTTGACCAAGCTTTGTTTGCAACCACCCCTCCAAGAGAGCATTCGACTTTTGCATCTGCCACCACGCTGCAGGCCTTGGCAGATGACAAACACTTGGTGGGGGCACTTGGCTCCGCATGCAACAGGACTTGTGCTGGACCTCAATGGCTTGATGGCTACACGTCAGAGCTGCGCCACATGTCACCGTCATGGATTATGGATTTGGTTGAGTCTCATGACGAGCATGAGAGCTTCAGGTTTGGAAACGGCGGCCTGGTTACATCCAGCCGACATTGGAGGCTTCCAGCATTGGTCAGTGGCAAGTTGATTTTGGTTTGGATCAGCATTGTGCCTGTTGGAACCTTTGGATGCTTATTGGGACGTGTTTTTTGGATGCTGTTGGTGGTGTTTTGGATTTTGCTGCAAAGACATTGCAGCGCACTTTTCTTTCATCAGAAGCTCCTCCTCAAAGGTTGAACCAGATGAGCGCCGGGGCCCTTATCGGGCCGTTGGAGGAAATATGTGGACTTGATGGAATCATTGAGTTGCAGATGGCACCAGAACAGTGGTTGGACCGAAAGCTGTCATCTCGTGTTTCCAATAGCAGTGTTTGCAGTTACGATCAGATGTTAATTGAAGGTTGTGGGGCTGCAGGTGCAGTTCATGAAGTGTTGTCGGCTCACCATGATTGGTTCAAGACGTGACCGCTCCTGCTGATCGCGATTCTCCCCGTCAACATCCTCTCCGCGAAGTTTGCAATGCTGACTCCCGAGATTTTTTCCAAGTATGCCAACGAGGTAGCAGCTGTGCCATTCATATCTGTTCATTCCAGCATCCCAGCAGCAGAACCTGATGGAGCCCTGCAGGCTGGCATTTGCTCTGTACCGGTGGCGCCGGTTCATCATGCGGCTCATCGGAAGATACGCCTGGCTCAGTTTGCAGTTAAATTGTGGCTTTTGCGGTTCTTGCCCTTTCCATATACCCTTCAATTGCTTCGGTGGAGGATTGGAAATTTCAAGCCAAGACCATGGCCGACCAGCTGGTGATGGTCCCTTACCATTGGCAGCGAGGTCGGGGCAATTGAGCCTTCATCTCACAGAATCTGCTGGAGTTGCCCAAGTTCCGAGTGTGGGATGGAAGTTGGAGCTCATGAAGGGCTCCATTCTGAGTGGCTTGTTGGCTGCCAAAGCTTCCCGTGGAATCTCCATGAAGTTGAAGACAGCAGCCCTCGAAGAAGCTCGAGCTTCAGTGGAGAAGGAGAAGAAGCAAGGACATCAAAAACAGTTTCTCCAAGAGGCTGGCTGAACATTCTTTGCCGGAAAATTCTCCAAGTCTCGAACGACAGCTTGCAGTTCGACAGACAGCTCGTCTGGCCATGTTGAGGCTGCACTACAGTCGTGGGCTTCGTCAAGCCGAACTGGCACGCTCACGTGAGAGTACCTGGCGATTTGGTTTTCTTTTGAATTTGGCGAGCCCAAAACCAGTCAAGAAAGGATGGTGGTACTCCTGGCACTCCTTCGCGCCGTCGTCTCCAACTCAAGCGATGGCATGGTCCAGCACTCTTGTTGGCTCGTGGAGGGCGTGATGGTGATGAGTTCTCATCCAAATGTCTTGTCTCCTTCAATTGACCAAATGCCCAACTGAACATGTCAGAAAGGCGTCCTCCTTGGAAAGCATTGCTGCTGGTTCATGGGAAGCTGCAATTGATGAGGTGGTTCAAGCTGCCATTAGAGATGCATCTCACCACGAGCAACATTCCGTCAACCCTGGATCGGTACCCCCTGAGGATGGACTTGGATTTTAGTCCTCAGATGGGCTTGGCCTTGGACTTTCACGCCGGGGTACTTCTGGACTTTCTCCAGGAGAGGTTGTCGCAGCACCGCAACCTGCGGTGGAATCCAGTCTGAAGCATCTATGTCACCTTATTCTTCCTTGCAGTCAGCAGCACCCACCCCTCCTGGGAGCTCAGCCCGGAACTCCTGTTCCCGACGTGTTTTTGCAGGCATCTCAAACATCCAGGCCTAGCTCTTCTGCACCTTCCTTGCGCAGCACCACTCTGGCCAGAGCTTGACAGTTTGATGATGATGCTCGTGGACAGAAACGAGCTGCAGAAGATGTTCCGACACCAGGTCGGGTCTCTCCTACTGGTGGTGGTGAACACTCTCAAGCTTCTGAAGTTCCAGTGCGTGCAGATGGTCTTTGAAGTTTTTGCAGGTTTGACAATGACATATGACCAGATTCAAGCTTTGGCAGCTGAACGTACAGATGCGCATCCGTTGCTACAGCTTTCATGTTTGGCTGATCTGGACCGAAGAGATCCTCTTGAAGCTGAAGAACATGACTATGGCACATGGGATTTGCATAGCAGTACATATGTGGTCTTTGATTTCCGCCGATGTGAAAGCTGCATTTCTCAAGGGCGACCCCTATGTGAACCGCGAGCTCTATTTGACCAAGACCAATGAGAAGGTCTCTCTACCTTTGCCTATAAGGTCTGGCCAGCTATGTCGTGTGCTAAAAGGCATTTTTGGTTTGGCAGATGCGCCACCTGAGTGGTGCTTGAGGTTGTCGAGATCTATGCAAGGTCATGGCTGGCGCCAAAGCATTGTTGATGCAGCATGTTGGTTCTTTTCGGAACTTGTTGATGGTGCTGATCGACTGGCAGGCATGATTGTGGCCCATGTCGATGACTTGTTGTTTACCGGGAACACCCGTGCTGAACAATCTCGACTCTACATGCAATCGGTGCTGAACTCGGCTTTGAGTCGATGGATTCTGGCAGTTTTGCTTGTTGTGGAAAGCATATCCGACGTGCTGAAGACCATACTATTCGTTTGACCATGACTGCATATCATTCAAACTTGAGTGAAGTTGTGATTGCGAAGCATTGGAAGTCTGATGTCGATGCGGTGTTTGACAAGCATGAGCACAAGCAACTACATGCAGTTCTGGGAAGTCTTCAGTGGTTGGTGGCGCAGATTAGGTATACGACATGTCCTTCTGTGTTTCGCCTTTGCAAGGCGAAAGCCTCCAACAGTTGGAACCCTGATTCGAGCGAACGTTGCAGTACGTGAGTTCAAACGCACTGGTGGCTTCGAATTAGGTGTTCAGGTCGATTGACTACATGTCAGCAGGCATTTGCGTTGTTTCTGATGCAGCGCTTGGAAACGTCAAGCTGAATGGATCTTCGGTTGGAACTGCGACGGGACGTATTTACTCCCAAGCATGCTACTTTTGCCTGTTGTGCGAGGAGTCAATGCTTCGTGGAAAGCAATTAAGGAGCCTTCAACATTTTTGATGCTCGATCGCATCGAATTCCACGTGTCTGCAGGTCTATGTACAGTGCCGAAACCCTTGCTGCAGAAGAAGCGATGGATGTTGGACAATTGTGCAGAGGCATGATTGCAATGATCCGCCTGAAGGATCTGACTGAAAAGGAAGCCGATGCTGCTTCCAATGCCGTCAGTATGACAACTTTGGTGGATGCTAAAGATGTGCATGACAAAGGGAACTCAGACACAAGCAGTTTGGTTCTCAAAAGTCCTTGGCGTTTACCATTGCATGGATAAGAAGTGTTCTTCGCCGTCCAAACACAGCCTTGAAATGGACCGCAGCTGAGAACATGTGGGTTGATGCTGGAACGAAAGAGATGGACTTGAGTCATTTGCGTAAGATCATGGAGCTTGGATCATGGTGCTATGACCTACGCCCTGCAATTTGTCAAGCAAGTGTTCAAAGCCTGCTCTGCTAAGCCTTTGGTGAAGTCTTCCACATGCGTTGAGTTTCCTGGAGTGATGCTGGACGGTAATGATCCTGTTTTGCCATATACTGACTTGCAAAGCCTAAGATGCCTAAGCGACAAGCGTGGATGGCACATGCAAAATGGCGTAGGCATCCAAGTGGCTCACAATGCCAAGTTCTTTAGGTCTCCTGAACCTAGATTCTCCCTTTCAGAGCTGCCTCTTAGAAGTAGTTTTGGCCGATTCATCCATGCAGACGGTCAGATTGAATGGCGAAGGATCGAAGCTGGAACTGAATATGGAAAGCTTTCAAATCAGCATGCGTTGATTGGGATGTCAGTTCCTACTTTGATCACGACGTTTCATCGTACAGCTGAGCCACACCCATGCAAGCCAACAAAAGAATAAGGTGAATGTCCAAGCATTCACTTGGCATGCATGGTGTGACCCTTTTTATCTTCTGGCCACTATGGCCCAATCCCCAATTGCAGGCCTTCAGCCAATCGCTACGTTCCCTGTGCGAAAAGATGTGCTGACATGTGCTGATTGCGTTTTGCTGTGAACTCGCTGTCAGCCACTTCAGCATTCTCAACCTTTATATTGCATGCGTTTTGCTCAATGATGTAGGCGAAGAATTGGACTTCCATATTGGCTAGAATATGTCATGTGTAGATATGTGATGATATGTGTAGATGTATGCGTGCGGTGGGGTACCTTTGCTAGAGTTGTGCAAGGCCACCCACCCCCCTCAGCCATCTCCCCTCTCTGTGCTCTGTCTGGAAGTAAGTCCTGCCAGCCAATTTTGATAAAATACATGCAGACACAGCTGAAACTCAGGCTGAAACACATACAAACACAATTACTGAGCTTTGAACCAGTCACACTCGATTTGCGCTATTTTTGCTTGCGCCCATTCATGAAAAGAAAACCCAACAAACACGAAGAGAAGAATGAGAAATTGCACGAGATCAGCTGTCAAGTTACCACAGGTAGTTCCAGAAAGGATTTTAGCATGTTCGTCCATTTCAATTCATTTCATCTCATTTCCAGATTGGATCCACATTGGCGTTGCGTGGTGAGATGGAGCCTTGTGAGTTTTCACCACTGGTGAAGAAAGAAGGGCTACATCCCGACCCAGATAGGCAATTTTTTGCAACCAAACCATCAAAACCACTTACAGCCGCAAGCCCCGTTGGTCACGCTGCAGGTCCTTGATGCTGAAGCATCATCAGTGGCATCTTGTCTAAACACAACCCGTCGGTTCAATGTTTGACATGTACTTGTTGAATCTTTTCGACTGTTTTTGACTGGTTGAGTTCTGTGAAGAACGGAAAGGACAGTCATGCGACAATCAAGACAATCATTATATACTCGTAATTATTGTGGTTCCTGGGCGCAGTGTGCTGCAAAGCCCTGGGTGTTTTTTTTGCCAAGGATTGCGCTGAGTCGAAGACATGCAGCCCACCTCGTGCATCCGCAAGCCTTGGCAGCTGCGAATGGCATCTTCGAGTCTGAGTATTTGGGAGAGCCGCAGCTTGACAAAGACTGGCGAAGAGATGTGATGTAGGTAGGACTCAAACGGACTCAGCGTGATTCAATGAATTTTAAATGTATTTGCAGAACCCTCAACAGTTTGAGCGGATGACATCCTTGCTGCTACTTGCAGACACTGACATGCTCTCACAAGCCATTTTCCACTACACACATAGATCTGTAATGATTTATATCACGAAAGCTAGCTGCTAGCTTGCTAGCTGGCGTTGGATTTGCTCAATGAATTCTAGGGGCAGGCTGGACGCAGCTGCCATGATTTTTCTTGCCGAACTTGTTTTGGGCTCCCCCTCGGGCTCAAACCCCGCTGCTCATGCCGGCTCATGACCCAAACATGGCAACAGCATGCACAACACATACTGTACCAGGTGTGGGAATTGCCAGGAAGGGAAAAGGGCCATGGTGAAGCAAAAAGGAACAGACTGCCTGTGCGAGTCAATCCTCATGTCTCTAGAAAGGGACAGCAAAAAGAAGGAGTGCCCGGACGATGTGACTCGCACTCCGTGCAGAGCCAGCAAAAGCAAAAGGCCACCCCGGAAAAATAAAGGGATCCTGTATAGATGCCAACTGTTTGGCCTTAAGCTCAAACGAAGGCGAAAGGATACCTCCCCGAAGCGGAAAAAAAGGCGTTCACACATATACTACACAAGTTGATATTCGCCGTGAATGTTGTGAATGTAATGCAATTCAACGCAATATAACGCAATGTAATGCCGTACAGTACAATGTACAGTCACCGACAGAATTATGGAAAAAAAAATAAAACGTTTCAATTTACAGGCGCCGCCTGTCTATGATAGAAAAGTTACGAACCTTTTTTTTTCCATAATTATTGTTTCCATAATTATTTTTTCCCATAATTCTGTCGGTGACTGTATGTCCATCGATTCGCAATTTGAATGCATTTTAAGGGGGAATATTGAATTATAGAAAATATGTGTCTAAAGATCTGGTATATGCCCCTAAGTCTTCCATTGATATACATAATATCATGTGATGTTCGCAATTTGAATGCATTTTAAGGGGGAATATTGAACTATAGAAAATATGTGTCTAAAGATCTGGTATATGCCCCTAAAGCCTGCCATTGATATACATAATATCTGGATGTTTCCTTTTGCCAAGCCACCAATTGGGTTGATACTACATACTTGCATTTGGATGTTTCCTTTTGCCAAGCCACCAATTGGGTTGATACTACATACTTGCATTTGCATACATATTTCCATACCCCCAAAAAAAAACGGGTTTGAATTGTGGATCCATGACATGTCCAACAGGTGGAGCCCCAAACATTAATTATGGAAAAAATAATTATGGAAAAACCGGTCAATCTGCCCTAGCCCCCTGATTTCACAGGAAAAATCAATTATGGAAATAATGGCCACCTCCAAGAATTATGGAAAAAAAAAAGGTTCGGATCACTTCCGGGATATTTTGAACCCTTATGGGGAAAAATCCAATTATGGAAAAATCGGACGCAGGCGCCGCCTGTCTAAGTTGAACGTTTTATTTTTTCCATAATTCTGTCGGTGACCATAATCTAATCTAACCTAATCTAATCTAATCCACTAATATCCAATGTAATGGAATCTAAACTAGTGCAATGTAATGGAACTTAATGCAATGTAACGTAACCTAATGCAATGTAATATACTCTGATGGTAGTGTGAGGTAATGTAATGTAACGTAATGTAATGTTATGTAATTATATGTAATATTTATGTAATGTAACGTAATGTAGATGAGATGTAATGGGAGAACAACCACTTGGAGTCTTGCGTTCTATTTCCACAAGTCAAGATGTCTGCATGAAAACATGACCCTGTCTTGGCGAGGAATGGAACCTGCGCATCTCAAGATTCCCAAACATTTCTTGCTCAATGGATATATGCAGCTAAGTTATTTAAGTTACCAGATTCTAAGACTTGTTTTTTTTTTAATAGGGGATTATGTATGTGTGTGTAATTAAATATATGATAGAGATACTTAGACGTATTCATCATAGACATATGTATATATAATATTTCACGGACAGGAACAAGGCGGGAAAGGCCGGGGGAAAGAGGTTCAATCAGACGATTGCAAAGTGGCTCAACCGAAGCGCGTTCGGTTGGGGCACTTTGTATTTGGCAAATAGGGTGGTAGGAGCATAATGTTGACGGTCGTATGCTAGCATGTCAGGGGGGGATTGTGGAATGATGTCGCATGCGAACTAGAATATCATGAGACGCTGCTCTTGGCGTGTCAGCAACATCGACTGGTAGTTTATTTCAGGTCAAAAAATTACCTTCAAAAGGTCGCTCTACATTCTATCAGTACACAATAATAGTAATAATACACATCTCTCCTTGCCCAAGTAGCCTTCGTCCCCTTGACTTTGGCCTCGAGTCAGTAGTACTGCAGTTGCTAGTTGCCTTCAGGTTTAAGCTTTGTAACAGTCATGACATCCAGAACTCACTCCGTTTCACAAAGCGGGCGGTAATTATGCAGAAATGATGATCCTGCTGTCATCTCCAGCATGTCAACAACATTTGATGTGTGGACAATGGAATTCATCGGGCTTTGTCGGAAGTCTGTTTTTGCATCTTTTTTGCGAGACGGATGCCTGCCTCCGGGTGTGAACTGGATTGAATTGCCTGAGGCTGTGCTCGGATGAAGTGTTCCCTTTGCTTACCTTGGCACTGAAGGAGCACTCAGCAGACATCCCCCAACGAAAAATGAAGACAGCAGATCTCAAACATTTTTCAACGAATTACTTTAACACAAGAAGAATCTTCAAAACCCTTTCCGGTTTTCCAGACCATCGTTCCACCTGGAACTGAAGAAGTGGCAGGGGGGTTCGCGTCACAAATGCTCCACCCCGGAGTGGCACTGTACCCCAAACTATTCAAAACTGATGTAGAACAGGACGCGACATTAAATCGCAATTTGTATTGATTTATTATTAGGATATTTACGGTATGTTTGTGATCTATTGCAGTGATGTTTGCCTTAAGTTTTGGCGTGTTTCTGTTGGGCAGCAGAGTTTTTGGCAATGGCAGATTGGCAAACAGTTTGTGCCCAGGAGCAAGTGCTACAAGACAAAGTTCCTGCAGAACAAGCCTTGCTAACAGCCCAGGCTTAGAGGGGTCCACGCTCTGAATGCTAAGAATTAAGGCAAACCACCCTCAGGTTGAAACTCAATATATTTTGCCAGGATGATCTCTCGAACTTAATAGGCAGACTAAATACTGTAGGAGTTATCGGATAATGACTGAAGGTTTTTCAAATTAACATGTCAAGACTCAGTCTTGAATGGCAAGGATGTTGCTTGTGAGTTGTTGTCAGCTCTTTATTTGTTAGTTTATGCTGCTGTGCCTGAAACAATTTTGGATCAGCAAGGATCGGGGCTTCTGTGTGACAGGTCACAGGCAAAGTGCATACACCGAGAGACACACGTGCAGAGAGACAGAAGGACACACGCACAAACAAACAAGCAACAGCCAAACAAGCAAATGACGACAAGCACACAGACACGCGCACACACAGAGACAGCCAGACACAAAGACACAGAGACGCAAGTGCTGCCAGAAAGTTCTCAATGGATTCACTCCTCGTGTTCCTATTCCGTGCTGAAATCCATGAGATTTTCGGCAACACTTCTAGACAAACCCCAAGGCAAACTTCAGCCCTTAAAGCCCCTGAACAATTTTCAACGCTTTGCCTTCGTTCGTGGGCCATCAGGGCTCAAGGCCCCATGGAGTGCAAAGTTGTTCATTCGTGGGATGAGTTACTACAAGTTCTGCCACTTGGCTGAGTTTTCTAGCCAAGATGATAGGCAAAGGCTTGAGGTGGTCAAAGATTTGAACTTAATTATAACATATTATAACTTATAACATATTATAACTATTTATAACTTATTTTTTGCTGGCAACGATTCAGTTTGCAAAAAGAAATAGCTGAGGAGCGCCGGATCCCATGAAGGATGCGAAAACCTGCAGGTGGCTGCTAGGGGAGACATGCCGATACGGATGTCTCTGAGCCTGTCTGCTGCCTTCGCCATGCAGCTTGGTAATGAGCCACTGGAAATTTGTGAAATGAGTGAAGCTATCGTGACTGTCATGACTGAGTCATTACATTACTGTTCAACAATGTTGGAAACTGAGATGCGAGCACCGGACTGCACAGAATAGTATTCCTCTAAAATCGTGCATGAAAAATAAATGATTGGGCGGATGCAGGTCAAGGGGATGCTTGGGGTGTGAAGCACACCAGTGAGACATGCTAATTCAAGCCCAAGTCAGCCCTCACCGAAAGTGTTTCACAGTGAAATAAGACAAGGAACCGAAGTCTTTTGGAGTTGACACTGACAGTGGATGCCAGAGCAGCTTTGGGCCTTCAAGGCCTTGGACAAAACACCACCTTGTCACTCAGACAGACATTCAGTGAAGGGGTTTCATGATGTTTCATGCTTTTCAAACTTAGTTTGTGATAGTTTATGTGGAAGTCGTTTCCAGATGTTTCCAGCCCTTTTTTATCCTTTAGACCTGTGGTGGACGTTCAATTCAGCATGCTGGGCCATTCAAGGAGGCATTTAAGCTTGCACGTGCTCCATTGGGGTGCCTATGGCGAACTTGGACGAGCAGTTGCTGCAGTCCTCAAGCAGAACTCCTCCCTGCAATCGTTATGTTTGAAGGCAGATGGCACGAACCTTTCTGACAAGACTGGTGTTGTACTGGCGCAGGCGCTTACTCAAAACTCCTCCCTCTCAAGATGCTTGGTTGCAAGTGTGGACAGCTTGCCCCTGTCTCACCCAGGGCAGTCTTTCATATTGGTGTCCTTTGAGCTGGAGGGTGCGAGATGCGCGAGAGGTAGTTGGCTATTGATGTTGTTGGCTTCGGACTGCCATGTCCTGTGAATTCTTGTGATTGAGCGGTGACTGAGGTATGTCCTTCAGCACTCAAGAGACTAGTGTCGGTGATGAGACTGGGACCGCAATGGCAGAGGCCTTGTGGCTCAATGACATGCGGCACTTTTTATGGGCAGCTGGCAGAACGACAATAGGCGATGCAACTGGGCGGAGTTTGGCCCAGGCAGCGAAGCTTGGCTGACATAAATTGACACAATATTCTACTATATAATACTATATAATACTATATAATACTATATAATACTATATAATACTATATAATACTACGTACTACATAATACTATATAATACTATATAATACTATATAATACTATATAATACTATATAATACTACGTACTACATAATACTACATAATACTATATAATACTATATAATACTATATAATACTATATAATACTATAGAATACTATACAATACTATATAATACTATATAATACTATATAATACTATATAATACTATATATATATGTGATGCAAGATGTACACTGTCACACTACTCTCAAGCTAAAAGCTTGGTTTCAACATCTTTACCTTTTTTGTATGCCAACAGGATCGTCAACACAAACATAAAGCAGTTGTTTGATTTGTGTTTATCATGTTTATTAAACAACTTTCTTTCTTGGTCTCCGCTTGTCTAGAAGTAAGGCAGCAGAACTGCAACCTTCATTCATTCAATTTTTCAGCCAACGGGACAGAAGTTTCCGACGAAAGCGGCATAGCGCTGGCTTCTATTCTCAGCATGAACTCCGCACTTCAGAAATTCTCCTTCGAGGCCTGCAAGACAGAGATCAGCGACAGCACTGGGACTGCCATTGCTGGCTCTCTCTGCTCAAATTCATCCTTGCGGAGCTTTAGCTTTGTGGCAAATTCTTGCAATATCTCAGATGAGACTTGCCAGGCCATGGCAGAGAGTATTGGCAGCACATGCCTCACATCCGTTGATTTTGTCGCTCTTCATGTGTTTGTCAGCGAGAAGACCATCATGTGTCTACAGAACGCCTTGCATCGGAACAGAGGTCTGCAGTTTGTCAGGTTTGAGACGTCTCAAGATGGCAGTGCCTGTGTGACTGTGCGGGAAGTATTGGGGAAGGCAATGCATAAGGACCAAGTGAGGTGTGAACACAAGCAGAACCTTGGTTCTGCCTATACATCCTATCCCTGCTTTCAAGTGCCCTCGCTTGCACAGTGCCTTGGCCGAACCAAACAGCCATGCAGGAACGCGAAGGGAATCACATGGTGTTCCATAGGTGCGCTGAGAGTTTCACAACGGCGACAGAGTAAGAGAGTAGATTACAGAGAGGTTGAAGATTCCCTTCGAATGGTTAGATACGAGCACTTTCGGAGCCAAACAGCAAACGTTGCAAATCATTGGCGTGTGGACAATTGTTTGAGTTTTTGGGGTAGGTTGTTGAATCAGTTGTTGAAGCAAAATCCAGTCTCCGGTTCACTTCTCTCACAGAGGGTCAGCCAGATCGATTTTCGATGATGGTTTTTCACCTGCAAGCAGGAAGCATTTGCATAGTGATCCTGAGATTCTTGAAACAAACAACTTCGCAGCGTGGATTTCCTGCTAGCTGCCAGTAGGTCCTGATGAAATCGCCCATTTACTTATGCACTGGTTGACCACTCACACAATTGGAACAGCAAGGTCCTTCGGCAAGGATTTCTTGGAAACCTCTTTGTCGCATTCCAGCGATTGGGGCAGCGCTATTGCAGCCTGGTTTAAGTGCAACAGTTTTACTTCATTACTTTTGATTTCTGTGGTGCCTTATGTCCAAATTGCATCAAATTGCCTCGTGAAAAGTGCAACTATACACCATAGATGCAACTTGCAGGATGCCCCGTCATTGACATTACTGGATTTTTAATCTAAAGTTACCTTTGCACTGGACTCAGGTGATAGAGAGCGAACATGGTGAAGACATGGCGCTCAGAAGCGGCAAGTTGTCATGTGCAGATAGCTTGTCTGAGACTGATGTGGGTGACGCTGAAGCGGTCACCACGGCAAGTACAGAAGCTCCAATTTGGGAATCATTTGGAGTTTAAAACGTTGCAACACTTTGACTCGTGAAGATCTCCTTGAAGCCTGTCCGTGTGAACCATCTCTTGTTTGGAGCAGATGCATGCGTGCAAGGCTCATTGATACTACTGGATTATTAGGATTTCCCTGACACGTTTGTTCCCAATTCGTTCCCAGCACCATGCAGACACACAGTAGCATTGATAGAAACATGCTGCTGGAAGATTACTGTAGTTGGCAGCGGTTTCAGCTGTTCATGGTTTGAGGCATTTGGAGGCAAAGCATTTTTTCCCGTACTTGGCACTTGGGCTGAAAGATCCTATATACAATTCCAGGTTCAATCAAAAAGCAAATGATGCATTTTTTACAACCATTCAGACATTTCGGTGTCGACCTTTTACCTTCCCTCATCGTACTCTGGGTCCAGATACGTCCAACAAAATCCAATGAATACAAGTCGAGAGAGTTCCTGCTTCGATTGGCACATACAAACTAAATTGGTTGAGAGAGAGTACTCCTCGATTGCCGAAGCCTTGCATGGCATGGGTAATTAATCTTCAACTTTTAGTACAAGGGTGGACTCTGCCAAGCCACGGAAAGTGGTGGAAGGGCGTGGAGACACTTCTGCACTTCAGGGCGTTTGTGCCTGCTTGAGAAAAAGCCGCTTTTTGCCATGCAGCTTTGCTGTCTTGTCTCTATGCACTAGAATCAATCGATTATATAAAACATTCGAATACATGCTCTTGGCTGATAGAGGGGGTGTTTGGCAAACACATTTGCAATTGAACTTGCTACAAAGCATCTCCATGCATATAATTATACTATGGATAGATTGATGAGAACAAAAAGATGGTTGACACTTGTTGCAAGAGGCAAACGTTTATCTTGGTGCAGTTTCACTTGGCGCAGGCAGTGATCATCACAATAGACAGATCACCTGCTGTTCTTAGGTCGCAGCTGATGCTGTACGTGGCTGCGGCACGTGGAAACTTTGAACAGGGGCTGCGAGAGATGGATGCACGTGCTGAGTGCATTTTGTGCCCTCCGCTCGATCAGCTTACGGCACATCAAAGAAAGGTAACGCAGGCTGTTTGTTACACCTGTTTACACCGTGTTGGTGGGGCAGAAAATTGCTCGCGGCTAAACGGCTACCACTAACGACGCTGTCCACTCCTTTGTTTGATGCTTCCAAAATGGTCCACAATGTTTGTTGAAACAGTGGCAATGAACAGTATTATATGATATTATATACTCAGTTTCCAAAGTCTTTTGTTTTGTCCCCTTTTGCCTTTCAATCTAAACAAACATTGACTATTGTGTACTGCACATATATATATTATATATATATATATTATAACATTTATATACATTTTTCTATTTATATATGCATACTGCATACTGATTGACCATTTGTTGGAGGCATGCCATTGGAACTAGTGACTCTTAGTCTTAGTGCTTTGTCAAATTGTGCCACGTGCACTTTGTCCGCCCATCCTGCTTGATCGGGAAAGCAGGTATGCGCCCTGGCCTGGCTGTGGGTGCCCCAATGGATATGCAGCACACATGCTGAATGTGAACTCAACAGTATAATATGCGATATTGGTGTGCACTGTTAATATGCGATGCTTATAATTACTGCTGACTTATTATACTTTCATAGACGTAAACAGTTTCAGAAATCATGCCTTCAGGCTGCGACTTCAAGGTTGATTCATTTTAAATTGTCATACAGTCATACAGAGTCATACATTGTCTACTGAGAGTCTACTGAGCTACTGTATCTATGTTCGTATGTCTATGTCGTGTGGACTTGGACAAAATCCATCAAAATCACATGCAAGTGCTCGTTGGACAAGCCTTGGTCATGGATCGACTCAGGTGGTTCCAGTGACATCCCAAGCTTGAAACGGGTCTAAAGCTTAGCTTCGTTTGTTGCTGAGCATCCCCCGAGTGCGAGAAGTGTAGAGCACCATCCCCTTGCATTTGTTGGAGGCGAAGAGCCCCATTCTTGGCGGTGGAATGTCACCCACGGATCGGGATGGGCTGCTTCGTTCTCTTGCTAGCAGAGGTGTCGGCGCCCTAGGTCCTAGTGTGAGCATATGGATAGGAAATGAATGGAAATGATAGCAAATGAAACTTAGATGTACTCCCGCTTAGCGGGTAGCAACTAGCCATGACACAATCCAGTAATATCTGGTAATTATATAAAATGATATACCGTATAGTATACCCCAGGTATTAATTGTTTATCAACCAATAAAGAAGGGACGCACCCCCAGTTGCGAAACGATTGGAAATGTTGGAAGGAGTCTGAGATGTAAAATGAGAAGTGTCTTTTGGGGCAGGATGCATCAGATTACTTTTCTTTTTTTCCGGACACTCAGGTCCTTTTCGCTCGCAAACTTGGCCTTTACCAGGGGAATGTCAGTGGGCACATGGTTGGTACCTTAGTGGAACCCGAGTCCTTGGGCGTGGTGGGTTGTCAGCCCATCCAGGCGATGCTGGATTCAGGGGATTCCCATCCGAGGCGTGACGTGAATCAAATGCTGAATTCAGCTGCGTCACAACTGCGAAGTGATGTTCGATGATGTTCGTTTGTGGGCTGAACGGGCCGAACTTCTACACTGCTCAAGACGAGGACAGCTGCACCAGTTCGGCTTTTGCCTTTGCCTGCAGAGGACGGCCACATTTTGAGTGACTCCTTATCAAGAATGTCATGCTATGTCACGCTATTTGCATCAGTTTGTCAGTTTGAGCTTTGCACAGGATGTCAACTTAACTTGTGTCCATCATCTCTTGATCGTTTTTTCCAAGATGAGTGAAATCGTTCCAGGAGTGCTGCGGTCCGATAGTCATGGCTAGATGGGGCTTGGCCACTATCAAGGCTAGCACCTGAGCCACTATAAATGCAGAGCATTGTCATTGTCGGCATTGTCCAAGATAAGGTTTCATGCTGCTTGACCTATAACAATGGTCAGCAAGCACACAGATGGGGTGGGTTTTGGAATTGCAAAAACTTGGGTTGCTGAAGTATACTGACCACATTAGATGACATGCGTGCACACCGGTTTATTTGGACCCAATCAGCTTTTGAGGCCTGCTTGCCAGTCCCAATTCTTGTGGCAGCATCTGGCGGTTTGGCATGGGTTTCAGGCAATGCTGGACAGATATTGTACACTGTTCACCGCCAGTGGACGGGCGAGATAGTTCCTTCCAAGTCGAAAGCTGATGGCACTGATAGCATCTCAAATTCCTTGTGCATGGGATCATGTGTGATCCCTGTCTTTTGCTTTCTGATGCTTTTGGAAGGCAAGCTCGCCCTTGCAGGAGGCTTGAGTCAGAATCTCGTGCACACAAAATTCTGGCTTTTGGAATGCCCAAGGCCATCCAAGGCCTTTCCGATGCGTTCGATTCGCCATGACACACCGGCACACCTTGTCAGGACACACCTCATCAGGACTGCCAGGGACCAGCTTCCAGCGGCTCATTACAGTCTATGTCACAGGCCACCTTGCACGGACCTTGGTTGTTGATGGTTGTTGGAAGCATTGTCACGTTCCTTCCCGCGCAGTTGTGGTGAGTTTCTTGAATATATAATTGAATAGGCTTCGGTATTTCCAGAATTGAGGATGGCCATTGCGAAACCCACATGGCCCTAAGGCTGTCTTTTTGTTTTCAGTGTTGGCATTCCCTGAGTATTCCCTTCTAGAGCCGTCCAGAGCCAAGAGTGACTTGTTTGTGTTGATTTGTTCGAGAGCTGCGGAGACCGTACCATGTGTTACCCAGGTTTCGCAAAGCTGGTCTCCTCCAAAGACCGGAGCTTTAAAAAGAAGCTCCTGAGGAAGATCTTGACATATCTTGACGCATCGCTTGCGATTTGCCGTGCGCTTCATTTCGATGGGTGCACACAGCCCAAATTGTTAAAAGCTTCTTGATGCAGTTCCCCAGTGCCCTGGGCATGAAAGATCAATGAAATATAATGAAATAGTGAAAGAGTTCAATATATTATAATATATATAGATATATATAGTTCAATCATGTTCAATTTGCATCAATTTGCTTGAGCTTATTGAACCGCGGTACTGAGATGTGGCCAATATAGGTCAGCTCGAGCACCAAACAAAATTGTCCGAACGCTTGAGTTGGCTTTTTCCTTTGAGTGCCAAAAGTATCCTAAGAGGACATCTATGGACATCTCATATCATGTCTAGCTATGTCTAGCTGCATCAAATTCCATAGAATCATGAGAGCAACGAAAAAGTGCACCGGAAATTAATCAAGCACCAAACATCACCGGAAATTAACAAACACTTTATGAAGTGCCTCGCGCCCAACCCACAGTAGCTTGTGTCAAGATTTTGAAGCAGAACGCCCTTCATGGCGGGCAGCGGGCCATGCAGTGGTCGCGGTTTGGAAGATGGTCCGCAGTTTTGCTTGCCATCTTTGGAGGTACCGTTCAATGCTGAATCATGCTGAAGCGGACTTTAACGAGGACCTATATGCAGGTTGTTTCAGAATGCACGGTACAGGTATGCTTTGTTCCAACATCATGGGGAGATGCCATTCTAAGTCCACTTGATAGTCAAGGGAAGTTTGATGCTATTACATTGAAATTGGATACTCCAAGTGTAATTGTCCCAACAAAAATCTGGGATCAATCTGGTTGTGTCGTGTGCTGAGCGAATTTGAGGGAGAAGATGAGAGGATGACTTAGCCTTGGCGTTTGCAGGTCTCAGATAGCAGCTGTCAGCGCTTGGTGGAGGCGTCGCCTTTGCGTGGCCTCAGCCCTGACACACCTGGTGTGTCCAGCAGATCTTGGCAGGACGCGTACGGAGATGACTCGGAACCTACAGCAAAATGCAGCATGCATTGAGCAAAATATTCATTTTGCATAGATAACACTGCATTTCCTGCAGCACTTCAGGATCAAGTAGATATGACGAGCCGTAAATGTAGCACTGCCGCAGCCATGGAATCTCGTCCAGGTTGCCGCATTTTGGTGCTTAGTGCGTGTCTTCTCTTCGGGACCAGAAACACCTTCTGCCCTGGATATGGTCACTATAGTCTCCACAGCCTTGTTTCACGGACTTCTCGCTCTCAAGCGAAGTCCTTTGAAAGCCCCGTGGGTCTCTCAGAACCAAAACAGGTGCAGTCGGTGCAATCAACTCGTTCACAGCGAGGCAGGCTCGGTGCTTCTCCAGATGACAAGGGCTTCAGTGAGCTAAAAAAGCAGCTGAACATCAAAGCCGTTGGACAGGGGAGAGGCAGCTTCATCCTGGAAATGGGAGGAGTGAAGATTTTGGTAAATCCAAATCTTGAGGGTTCCAGAGTGAAACCTGAGACCGTTCATGAGGATTTTGATTACGTCTTCCTCACTTCCGAAGAGCCCGAATTCTTCCACCGTGAGACCGTGAACAAGATGAAGCTCACGAAGGTGAAGTTTGTAGCATCCGCCAAAGCCGGACAGGAACTCACAAAAATGATGGTGCGAAACCTGGCAGTTCTGCAAAATGGACCGGGCGGGCAATGCTCCTCATCTCAACAGATCTCAACAGATCTCAACAGTGCACTGATAACTAAGTTGAACAGAGTCTAACAGACATGCATGATTTCTAGAAGTTCAGTTCAAGCAGAATGGGGCCCGTTCCTTTCCTAAATTAATTTCATCCTCCGAAATTGGTTGAAGCAATTTTAACGGTAAGTTTTGGGCCATGACACAGCTGGTGTGCGCTTGACGTTCTTGACTTGTGAGCGTATTTCAAACATGACACATGTTTTTCCGCATGAAACTTTGAGTCAGAGGCTACTTGCAAAGCCGGGACAAGTCTGGTGCTGCTATTGGCATCCTGTCTGCGCCGGGCGCTGGTGGTATGCCGTGGGAGCGGCAGGCAGGGTTGCTGCATGGTATGCTGCATGCTTAAACATCTTTAAACAAAGCATTTGCAAATGCCACGAGCTCAATGCAGAACAAATCTTAGTTGTCAGGAGCAGGCCTTCGTCTTTGTGAATTTGGAGAACGGTGCAGCAGTGGCTTATGAAGCTTTCGGCCAATATCTCGGAAAAGGGGCCGCATCAAGCAAGCCCGGTATTCCTGAGGAAGCATACCAGGTGGATTATCTCATCACCCCGGATTTGCGAGAAGCTGCTGGAGTTGCCTCAGGACTTGCAGAGAAAGGTGCCAAACTAAAAGCAGTTCTGCGTCTTCCTGGTGAGGGTAACCCACTGGATGAGGACGTAAACCCTCTCACGGCCTTGGACCGAGCGTTTGGCATTGAGGACAAAGCAGAAGATTTTCAAGCCTTCTTGAAGGGCGAAAGCTCTCTTGCTGAAACAAATCTTGTTATGCTAAAGACTGATGAGGCATTTGACCTCAATTCTTCGGCGTGACTGGGTGCTCTAGATGCTCCCAGGATGCCCAACTCTAAAGCTGTCCTGCTATCTCTCGGAAAAGAGAGAGCGATGACCACTTGCAGCATCGGAAGCCATGGAGATGCAGCTGCATGATGCCGCACGCAGCATGCATGCAGCATCATTTAACGTCGAGGCATGTCGATACAAGAGAATATCGAGAATGATTTTGGGATGTTTCGGAATGTAGCGGGGAGATGCGGAGAGCCTCATTCCTCCTTTTCAATCCAGGAGCTCGCTGCTGTTGCAACTCAACTTCCAGATGTCCGCTGGCTGGGGCGGCAAGTCTTCATGTGGTGTGGCAATCCCAAAGAGGACCCCATTTTGAATGTTTTGAGATGTCTTGTTGAGAAGCCATTCCGGCAGAACTGAGGTCAGGTAACATTCTAATATAATCTATAGTATAGTATTGTATTGTATTATAGTAAATTCACGATTTACTCATGCATGTTGTAGCATGGAAGCTCAGAATGTCAAGACGTGACTTTCAACGCCTGGTGTCCATGCCAGTAGTGCGGCCATGTCCATAGGATTTGTGGAACGACTTCACAGCCCTCCACCAGAACGAGACGACCGACTTAGAGAAGCAGGAGCATCGCAACTATTTTGGCGAGATGCTAGGCTTTGCTTTCTACATCTTTCTACTGTAGGCACTTTGGGGATGTTCAGGTCTAGGTGGTGTGTGTGTGTGTGCTTTCGCTCAAACCAGATTTTTCTTTGCAGTACTAATTGCTGGCGCTGCACGACCACAAGAGAATCAATGACAATCAATGTGAATGCTGCCAGCCAACAGGCCAACAGGGTCAAGAAATGTCAAGAAGTTTTCTCCAAGGAAAGCCCTTCGATTTGGAGGTGTTGACATTGTCCTGCGCACCTTGGCGCTTTTCCGAGCAGACGAACGCGTCGGATACCACGGAGTTGTGTCTTTGTTCACCGAGCCTTTGCAGGGACGGGCACGATCGATGCTTGGTAAACGAAAGTGGTCTTATGGAGTTTGTTTCATCATCCTCCTAAGAATTTCCTTTAGAATGCGACAACCCGGGTTGTCGCTAAGAATGTTTTTTTTGGGGGAAAACGAGTGGGTTTTTCCACATGGCTAACCCGGACTCCCCATTTTTTGGAAGGGCATCCTGGGTCATGATTTTTTAGAGAGTGCATTTTGAGGGGCAATAGACATGATTTGAATTTTGGACATCTGCAAAAACTATCAAAAACTGCTGTTGTGCGCCGGCCATCGCTTATGTAATATATCATAAATAGGCGAGACTCGACTCAAGTAAGATTTTCGTTGCCCAGACTGCGGAAATCTATGTAAATCTGATTTATATGAGCTGAATTCTACTTGGTTTTGTCTCATGGTGGAAAGTGTGTGCATGCCTCGTGCTGTATGAATTGTATTAGCATCAGCGGTAAGAGAAAAGCGCTGGCATTTGCCCTTCGGAGAGCGCAAGCAAAGAAAATCAAAAAGGTTCAAAAAGAATATTACCTTCTCTGGCGTTGTATCGCATATGGAAATTCAGATTTGGAAATGATGAAATGCACAAAAGATCACAAAAGTATATATGCGCTGAATTGCACTGAGACTGATACCTGTTTTGTTCCCAGAACGTGTTTCTATCGCTTTTTATCAGAAAGGACACAATGCTGAAATGCACAGCTTCGTAGTTCTCTCAAGTGTATTTTGGCTCCAGATGCACATACGTGGTACATTTACATGCTACTCGTAGGATCTCGTAGGTGGCATTTGCATATAATTATTTGCATTGTCAATTTTCAGGTCGAAGGGTGAGTACCTACTATCGATGGTGGCACGCGTTACAGTTTTAGGTTGTGAAGGGCCAAATTGTGCAGTGGCTTGATGCACCCCATTTCGCCCAACATGTTTGACGCATTTTGATGCTAAGGATTCTGCACTACGCTGCACGTACGGCATTCTTTTTACAACGGGAGAACTTTTCCAAACACATTGCTCCCAGATTCGTCAGTTGCACCGGCAAAGATCCGGACAGATTGCAATTGACGCCTCAACAGACGCACGGCAGCATCAGCATGTTCACGCATTTTCATGCATGTTCCATATTGCGTAGACAGCATCGGCCATTATGTTCCACCATGGTTCCACTGTAAACACATGTAAACACGGCCTGACGGGGCAGAAGGAGTCAGAAGGCGTGTTCGCACTTGGCAGGCGTGTTTTAGACTTTTTTCCGTTGAAACGTAGAAGGATACCCGCAGTGTCGGACATTTCTTGTCTCTTCTTGTGTGGCTAGAATCTGCTAGAAAACAGTCAGACCACAAATGATCACTAGCTGCAATTGCTAAGGATTGCAAATACAATGTTTCCCGGCCGCAGGTTGACCAAACAACATTTTTTTCGCAGGACTAGGGGTCGCCCACTTTCAAAGGTCTCGGAGTCTTAAATAGCCTTGTAGCCCGGGAAGCCGAACTGATTATATACCGTATATACCTAAATGATCCTAAATATAGATTTTGATAGATTTTGCTGAACCTCACAAAGCAACAGAATGCAGCAGAGTAAGGCACGACCAGGCTCCTACTGTAGTCGAAGTTGAAAAAAATAACTGAAAAAAAATAGAGATAATATATATATATATACTGCACCTTGCTGCGCCTTCGCAAGGCTAGTCCTGGTGGCTCCGCCCCAAACGCCTCGGAAGCTGCAGGCCTTTCGCCTTGTAATGAATAGCACCTTGTCCCTGGAGGAAAGTGAGACGGAACGAGGATTGCGAGGAAACCAGGAGGAAATTGCAACCAGGTAAACTTGAAACGAAATGAGTTTGAGAAGCTGCGAGTTTTTCACCCTCTTGGAGAAACTCAGGATTTGGGGCCTTTTTGGCGACTTCTGTGGAAGACATGGCATGTAGTTGCTCACTTGAAACTTCAATTCAGCTGTCAGAGTGATTGATGTGATTGCGGGATAGATTGACAGCTGCAGGAGCTGTTATGAGCGTCCATTCCTTGCAATTGAACATGCACTCCGGGAAAGCCTTACCCACCTGACTAGCTGATGCTGACTGTATCATGTTAAATTCGGTTCATTTTATGTCTTGATTCCATGCGCATCACCAAGGTATTTGTGGCACATCAACTGGATGGGAGGAGGTCTTCTGCAATGCAGACATTCGTGGTGCAGCTCGAGTGCTGTGGCACTTGTGTGAGGACCTGTGTACCCTCTTGCGCTAGAATCATACGAATCATAGACACTCTGGGAATTGGTATCATTTCACGCACTCACGCACTCACGCAATCACTTTCGCATTGTGGTTTCATCAAACGATTGTATTTTATTGTATTAAATTTGATTGTATTATATTATATATATTGTACTATATATTATTGAATATGTTGTGCTATATTATTATTGCTGCTTTGTATTTTTGCTTGCCAAATTTGTCAGGACATGGGGCCTCCTTTTCCTCCAAGAGGACGAGGTTCCAGATGCCACGCGGAGATGCTCTTGGAGGCCAGACGTTTGTCAGCCAGGCAATGCCAAGTGATTCGAGCTGGGTTTGCACATGTGGGTTACAAGTTGTCATCGTGTGTCCAGTGTTGCATCTTTTTGTTTGGATTCTGCCATGCCGTGCACCCAAACTCCTGAGACTATGTGTGAAGAGTGTTTTTGCCAGATTTTTTCCAAACTCGTTCCACTGGTGTGTGGTACTGACTGTGTGTGGTTTTCTTTGATTTGGTATTGGAGGCCCAGCATCTACAGCTGGTTCGCCCATTGGACGCTTTTGAATTGGAGCTAGAGGGAGCCCATGCACAGGACAAAGACAAAGAATACAATGAGTATATGGGAAAGCCATGGACATACTATAATATATCAATTAGTCAAAATTAAGGATATCCTTGTCATGTCGTTCCTTGTCAGACATGTTTAAAATTCCCAAACCTGCTTTTCAGCGGAAAATGTCCTCACATATTCCTGGTATACCACTTCAATGAATGGGTCAGAACACGTCAGAACATTTTGGAGCAGATTGACTCTCCTTTGGACAGAGGACAGCTAATTCATCCAATTGACACCTGCTAGTCACCTAATTACTGATAGTCGTTTGCAGAAATTCCAATTGGTGCATGATGACTCGAAACGTCCTATTTTATCATGTCTTATCATTGTAGAAACTTGTTTTGCAAGAATTACGAGAGCTCGTTCAGGACCCTTTGGTGGAGGAGAACTACTCATTTCGCGAGCTTGTGCGGCCCTTTTTCATGCCATGCAAAATGCCATGCAATTTGCTTTCATGCATGTATATAGGATTTCATCGTTCAGGAACTTCTCGTCCTTCACTGTCATGTATTATATGTCATTATAATTCATTATATATGTCGCTGTATGTCATTCAATGTCACTGTTTCAGAGATCAACTGAGGTGCAACGGTGCGTTGCACGCCGTGCTTTTGAGAATTCTGGTCTAAAGCTTTTGTGCGAGGCTGGGCCTGTCCCAAGTCCCTGTAAATCGTTGCGTACCTTCCGAACTTTCTTGAAATAATCCCTTCCCCCTATTACTAAACCCCCCAAATAAATCCAAATAATAAAAATTAGGGTCCGTCTACAATTTTGGAAAATTTGAGGTTGGCCAATTTGATTTTTAACCGATCCGCTTTCGAAAACAAATTAAAAATGAAGGTCCCCCCTAATAACCCCTAAAAACTAGTCAACCCCAGGGTGTTTTTTATTAGGGTCCGTCTTTTAAGGTCGAACAAAAAAAATACTTTACTTTATTAAGGTTTTTAATTTAATATTAGGGGAAAGCTTCGACATATTTCGAAATCCAATTTTTGGCAATAGTTTGATTAGATTTTAAAAGGAATTCTAATCGATTTTGAAATAGAAAATTTTAGTTTTTTATAATTTATATTAGGGTTTTTAATTTAATATTAGGGGGAACCTTCGAAATATTTCGAAATCCAATTTTTGGCAATATTTTAATCTTATTTTTAAAAGGAAATCTAATCGATTTTGAAATAGAAAAAAATGATAATAATAAAAATATATATATATTAGGTCTTTAATTTAGTATTATTATATAGTGGAAAGCTTCGCACCCTAATACTGAATACCCCCTATAATAATAAAAACTACCTGAGGTTATTATTATTATTTGGGGGGTTTAGCATTAGAGGGAACGGATTAACCTTTCATCTTACTTTCAGATACTCTCAGATCTTTAAGGAACTTTGAGAGGTTCTTGCTGCATTGTGCAGTGATTACAGTGTTTGACCACGGGGCTTTGCCATTCCAAAGTATGCAATCGAATCGCTGTAAACCAGGCAGTGGGCATCGGCTTTCATCCGTTGCCAGAGGGCCCTGAAGAGGCCTGGAGCTGAGACAGAGCTGATGATTCAATGCCAGTCAGAATCCGAGAGCTGAAGCAACCTGAATGTTGTTGCGTTTTGTGCTTCATTGGCAATGGCAATTCACAAAATAAATGTGGCGACTTCCTAATCCGCTGAACTCTAGCCAGCGAGCAGCGCAGGAGGCTTTGAGAATGGCCGCCCAGCAGGACCATCAGGCAATTTTTGCCCTGAGTCTGGCGTGCACACACCTGGCGGAGGACAAGAGCACTGCAATCACACTGAGACACTGACCAATTGCTGTTTTGTCGGTTTCAAGCATCTGTGCTTTCAAAGTGGTTTCTTGCTGCATTGAGTGGACTTGTGATCGCGCAAAAGCAAAAGCACGCTTGCACTTTCTGACACCAGGATTTCCATGTGTCAAAGCGGAGCAGGGAGAGCTTGTGAGCAGCAAAAAAAGAAGTGGGGGTGCACCGTGTTTGCCCGGCAATCAAGAAACCTTGCGGCGGGAGCTGGCCAATGCTTGCCGGTTGCAGCTTGTGGGTAGCTGTGCAAGCTTTCCCAGCGAGGAAGCCTTAGTTAGTTGGTTCTTCAGACGATGTTCTTAGCCCACGCAGGCTCCGGCCATTTGACAGCGCAAGACTTGAGTGTGATGGCACAAACATTTTGGCCCCCGCCTTAAAAGTGGAGGCACGGGTGGTGTTAACAGGGCTCCGAGTGTAATGTTTGCTATTGGACCTTTTTTCATGTTTTAAGGGCTTGCTGGCAACAACTATATATCTAGAATGAATCACCAACAACGATGTGTGTTTTTTGATTGTTGTGTTTGTCAAGTGTGCAGCAACTTATCCTGGACCATAGCTTCAATAGGTAGATGAGCTGCAGTCTTTTAGAACATGAGATGTGCAAAACCCTGGCCGATTTGATCACGAAAGCTAGCGTCAGCTAGCTGGAGTCTTCTTGCTTTAGCAAGTATTCAGGGGGCTGCTCAAGGACATCACGTGATTTTTCACGTGAAAGGCCCCCCCCCCACCCCACCCCACCCCACCCCACACCCCACCACCACCACCACCACCACCACCATCATCATCATCATCATCATCCTCATCACCATCATCATCATCATCATCTCCACATCCTTAGCACCCTCGTCCTCATCATCATCCCGATCAGCTGCCGCAGCCTCATCATCATCATCATCATCATCATCATCGTCATCGTCATCGTCATCGTCATCATCGTCGTCATCATCATCATCTTCATCTTCATCATCATCAGTATCATCGTCATCATCATCATCATCATCATGAGCATCATCATCATCATCATCATCATCTTCATCTTCATCTTCATCATCATCATCATCATCATCATGAGCATCATCATCATCATCATCATCATCATCATCATCATCATCATCATCATCATCATCATCATCATCATGAGCATCATCATCATCATCATCATCATCATCATCATCATCATCATCATCAGCATCAGCATCAGCATCATCATGTTCTTTTCCTCATCCTGATCATCCTCCTCCTCATCATCATCCCGCTGGCATTGAAGATACGTCTTCCCTTCCTTCTTTCTCCTACCCCGCTAGCTTTCGTCATCCACCCCCGGCCTCAAGTTGCAGCTGAGGCCGGAGCTATCTCAAGACGAGCTACGAGACTTGTTTCAGAACGTTTGCCGCAACAGATCAGGCCATGTGCAAGCAACTGTGAGACAAATGGGGGGCTCCATGTAGCAGAACGCTTTGAACATCGAAGGACACCGAGTTCTCTTGACACCCGTTTTAGCTCCAGCGCACTTGGAAGGCTACATCCAAATGCATGAATTCTGTGCTGCGTTGGGGTTTGATGAGCGAAGCACAGTATCAGCAGCAGAGGCTTTGAGGCAAGGTGGTGCTGCGCAGATTACCTGTGGATGTCCAAATTTCTGGCATGCAAGGGTAGGGAACGACGTTCAGTTTTGCAGAGGGATGCTGATGTTTGGGGTGTTGCTTATGTTGCTTGGACATACTCATCACACTTATACATCTTATACTTGCACTACCTTGCAATATGCCCAGTAGAAAGCTTTAGCAGTGAAGGTTTCGAGATGTTTTAAGTCATTCTTTGAAGGTACATGAAAATTTCATGAAACGGTGTGTGAATATGTGTGAAACTCGTAAGGAAAACTGCTCACGCAGACACGAGCAGTCACGAGCACTGTCACTTGTGAGGTCCATCTCACAGCTGGATGGTGCGTTGCAAGTGCTCTTGGACCGCATTCGCATTTCCGTCCTGGAGGTGTGGTATTTCGTGTGGTATGGTGTGGTGCTTCTGCGTATTTCTGCGTTGTTTGGTCTAAATATGTCTGAATACAGAATGTCTAAAATCAGTTGACGCATGCCCGGAACAGGCATAAACTTCTAGGTGGATGTATGCAGTGGATGTGAAACACTAAGTTGCAAACAACCTGCAATCACTTCAATTCCAAGTGCCTTCAGTGTTATGAAAGCTAGCTCTTATTGAAAGTTGTTGTTGGCATGCTGGAGTATTACTCTCCCGCATTCGGCCGCCAAATGTCTTGAGGCAACCAATTTTTTGCAAAGACTGATCAACAGCTCTTTCGCATTCTTTCGCATTCTTTCACGGGAGCACATCATTTGCGATGAAGCCACCAGTTCAGGAACAGGCACCTACGTTTCTTTTCGACGGACAAATCATTGTACTTACGGAATCTTACGGATTTGGAGTCAACGTTGCCTTCAGGAGAGCCCTGTGAAGAAACATTGTGATTCATAATGCTTCGTAGGCTCGCAAGGCTCAATTGTGACGCTTGGGTGCGCAGACAGAGCTGCACTAACTACTCGACATCAGCCAACTTTGTGACCAGTACTGACAATGTTGATGAACTAAGGACCAGAAGACAAAACCCATTTGAAGCAAAGATATAAATGTATGCATGAATATGCATGATATATATATATATTGTAATTACAATTATATATACGTATAATTAAACGCCTCGCCTCTCACAAGTGCACCAATCAGCAAGTATAGTCAGTCAGTAAGATCTCAGTCAAATTGAAGAGTTCTTGAACTGTCAAATCTCAGGCACTGGGACAAGTAATGATCCTTGCATCGACCCTTTGCCATGGCTGACCTTTCATGGAGTTTGTTCTGATTGATTGTGCTGGGGAAGTTTGTCGTTATACCTGGAATGCAGATGTTGATGAAGCACAGGCGGCTTAGATTGTGCACCTTTTAATTGCTTGAGGGCTGCAACCTCTTTGTTCTGTTAGCATCGGCTCTGTATTTGCACTTCTGGTTTCTTTTCATGATGTGCTGTACAGCTTCGATTGATTGAAATGGAGAGACATTAGCGCAAAGACTGAGGCCATTGTGTTATACAACGCGGTGAATGCCAAGCTCGGTCTCGGTCTCAAGCAGAATGAGCGGAATGTTGAATTCTCATGAATTCTTCAGTTTTTTTCCTCCAAAATGCCTCACACTATTCGGAACTTACGATTAAGTTTGAATGGTTTGGATGTTTAGAGGCCATAGGCCGCTTGAGGTTCCTTAGCATTGTGCATAGCTGATTCACAACAATTCACAACCTAGGCCGTTCATGCCGCCTTTTCCATGGCCACAGGGAGCTGATGCTCAATTGCAGATACCACAATGGAATACAATAGATGCATTTCCTGCAATCCAATAGAATCCAGAATGGAATCCAGAATGGAAATGTTGAAACGTTTCACATGACAGTTCTTCGAGACTCAGCGCGAAACTCATGGCAGTCTTCAAGTATTGGATTTGGATTCATTTCTCACCGTTGTGGCTTTTGGCCCGTCCATTTTTAATCATTTTTACACAGGAAGCCGTACCACCACTTGAACAGCATCAATGCTGAACTGGGCCGCATCGCTGCAAATTGATCTCAGCTGCGTTGTCCTTAAGGTCCTTAACTCAAAGGTACTGTACTCTGAGTAGCAAGGTACGGCCATGTACGGCCCATGAGTTGGACAAAGAGAGGTGCGATGTGGCTATACGCCTGCAACCAATCATAGGCGAAGGGGATTGCCAGTCAGTTTCTGACTTTCCAGATGATGTCTTTCGCTTATTGCTTTAGTGTCCATGTGCAATATAAATCAACACAACATATCCATTGATGTTTATAGCGATGGCTGCTTGAGGAAAACTCCTACAGTATTGTATCACGCTGTGAGCGCCTAGTCATGGAACTGGCACGGATCCAGATGCCAAGGTTTGAGGATCCAAGTGATTTGGACAGGAACCAGCAATGCTCAGAGTGTGCGCCACGAACGTGCATTCGCAGCTCTCAAGCGTCTCAGCTGATTGGTTCAGAAGGTGACAGGAGACATAGCTCCTATGCTCCTAAGCCACAATTCTTTGAAGAGCACATGGTTGCATCATGTTGCATCATGGTAGCTAAGGTCAGATATTGATGGCATAGTGGTGACCTGGGGTGACAGAGAATGGGGAGGAGATTCTTCCAAAGTTCAGCAACGCCTGAAGAACGGAGCAACCCAGGTGGCTGCATGCAAGTCAAGTTTTTTGCTGCCCGAAAAACTTGTTATATAATTTATATTAATTTGTAAATCATGCAAAGTGTTTCATCTTTTAGTCCTGGCACAAGCCTTTGCTTCATGATTTCTTGTCATTTCTTGTGCTTTGCACTGACAACATTCCAAACAAAGCAGACGGTGCTGGAAGGTATTTGGCACGTTTGGTGCTTTCGAGGTCGCCAACGAGGACAGACGAAACAAAGAGCAACATCAATTTGCTGAGGATTACAATTTGAAGAAAGCGGATCACATTCATGATATTCAGTGATTACATTCATTTACATCCAGTAAAGCTGGCTTATGGGACCAGATGTGCAATGATGAAGGGTCACTCAAGCTCCACATACCTTCCAAAAAAAAAACACAACTAGTCATGGATCCACTTTGCAATCATTTGCACCCAGAAGCACACTGGACCTGGTGGGTAGTCAAAGTCAATCGAATGTCAATGGCATCTAAGTGCCCTGCAGCACCCTATAAGATTGTAAGCGTTGAGATTTGCATTTGCCCGAAGGATGACATTGACTGCGGTAGGGGGGCATTTGCAGCGACCAAGGCCGGATGTTGAACCACCGCAGATTGCTGAAACTTATGTAGAGAGAGAGAGAGAAGAGGAAAAAAGAAAAACGTTTACCGTGCACCATGATACACATACTTATTTTATTTTATGTTAAAATTTACATATAGGCTATGAGAAGGATCCTGGTTTGGCTAAGCGTATGCGTTCAGAACATTTCAGAACCAGTTGATCATTATTATTATTATTATATTATATTATATTATATTATTATTATTGTTATTATTATTATATTGTTATTATTATATATATATATGTGTGTGTGTGTTACGTATATTTATAATAATATAGTTATATACATATGATATGGTGTGATGGAAATACTTATACATTGTATTTATATATTATATGCATGTATACATGTGCGTGTCTGTGTTGGTTTGTATGATTCGGTATGTATTTATATGAATATACATACGCACTCACCGTTTTATGTTGCCGGTTGGGACATGTGCATGTCGCGTCGCTCTGAAAGGCCAATGGATCTGTGGTCACATGGGGAGATCAAGACTTTGGAGGCGATTCCTCGTCAATTGCCTCGCAGCTGCGCAGCGGGGTCACGCATGTTTGCTCTACATACGCTGCTTTCGCTGCAACGAAGGCAGGGAGCGAAGTGTAAAGCCGGTCCATGGGCACCTCAAACTTCCTTCAAGCTGCTGTTGGTACTACGACACGGGTCCTTAAGAGGAAAGTGTTTGGAGGGAGACTTCGCAATATTCGGACTCAAGCGAACCAACTCCGGACTCTGTTTGTTCATCCCCCAGCTCCAAGGCAGATGGATCTGTCGTGGTTTGGGGTCACCCAGACTACGGTGGAAATTCTTCCAAAGTCAATTCGAGGCTGATGGAAGGTGTTGTCGCGTGTCATGGCTGGAAGATTGAATGATATTGAATGCATGTCCCCAAAATGGGCCATGGCAGGTATGTACAAACACACAAGGCGCCCTAGCGCTGCTCACGTGTGCCGAATGCTCCACTGGTATCTGATGAACTTGTCATTTAAAAGTTTGCCTACCTGCAGACATCTTTGGAAGCTGTGGACCAGCTCTGTTGCTTAGGCTCAGCACGACCCAGGCTGCCTTTAGTGTACTTTGGTTTAGCTTAGTTTGCTGATCTCCGCCTTGCTACTGTGAAACAGCTTTGTGTTCCACTGTTTATTTAGCGGTTATGAGCTGCAGTAAACTTGAATGTTGTTGGGTACTTGCATTGTTGGAGCAATGAAGTAGCAACGAATGAGTTTGAAGAGGTTCGTCCTTGCGAACATAGATGAGGCCTTGAAAGCTGATGGATCTGTGGTTACCTGGGGTGACGGAGATTACGGTGGTGATGCTCAAGAGGCATATCCGGCCCAAAGTGGATGGAGCTCGGACAGACTCGTCAGCTTGGAGGTCTCACATAAGCTATATATAATATATAATATATAATATATAATATATATTATAATCAATTAGCATTACTTAACTAACTGATCCGGGCCGTTGTGAGTAGAAACTGGCCAGCAGTTTTGCCCAGTGTCAGGCCTTGCCCTCCTTGCAATCTGGTGTGAAACTGCTCGCAGCGACATATGGAGCCTTTTCGGCCGCAGCCTGGATGGAATGCAGGTATTTGATTGAAATAAGTTGAAACCAGAAATCTCTTAAACTTTTGCTCTTCCAGTTTCCCTTTGATCCATGGGCTACCCACTCGAGGTGAAAGAAGACGGATCCGTGGTTAGCTGGGGCCACAAAGAGATGGGTGGAAGGCAGATGGGATGTGGAAGCCGGCTGCAACAAGGACTGGCTGTGGGAGGCACAGATCGAGGAACTTCAATGGTCCAGCCAGGGTAGTGTCAAGACCAGTCTGTACAAAGTCCTTGCTGCCTTGGCTTTGCCACCTTAGAACTGACGGGGGCATTTGCATTCCACTGTGCCAGCGTGGCAATTCCACATAGAGGTATGTAGCCACTCTTGCATCAGGAGTTTGTCATGTTTGCGGCACATATGGAGCATTCGCTGCCACCAGAGAAGATGGATCCGTCGTAGTGTGGGGTGTCCTGGCTGATCATGAAGTATTGCCCGGTCAGATGTGACGATTCACTGGAAGGAGCAAGTTGAAGACTAGAGTTTGACACAAAGTGGCAAAGTGGGGTGAGCAGGTCAGGTGCATTCGTTGCCCAACAGGTGTGAAGTGCCAAGATGTGCCAAGTGGAAGGTGAGACATGTTTGCACGAGAATCGCCGGTGTTACAGGGCCACACTTTCTCGCCCAGTCCAGCCCGAGGTGATGCAAAGTGTGGAGGCGACGCATTTGATGTTGACCTTCAAAACATTGCGAGACTAGTCAGCACTTCGCAGTATGTTCCACTTTGTTCTCTCTGGCCTCATGGCCTCATCCCAACTTTACTGGCTTCCCACTCTAATGCCGTTTCTTTCCTCTTTTTAGTCATACAGGTGCCATCATTTGCACGTGTCTCCTGACAGTCGAATGTATAGTATGGTAAAGATTGGTAAAGCATATCATACGCTTTATGATTATGAATGATTGGTTTGATACGTATTCACCTCTTGCAATGAACAATCTCAATTCGATGAGAGTCATTGACATCACGGCTTCAACCAAGGCAGATTTGTGCTACTTACAGCGCTTTTGCGGCGCTCTCAACAGCTGGTTCGGTAATTGCCTGGGGCGACCCAGACTGGGGTGGCGATGCTTCAAGTGTGGCAAATGACTTGCGCCAGGGTGTGGTGCAGGTACCTTGTGGTCTTCGAGTTTCCACAGTCAAGAAATGGGAACATGGAATTCGCATGAATTTGCGACATGATTTGCATAGAACTCTGGCAATACTGGACCGCTTGTCCGTTTTGCATCGTTTTGTTGCATGACATGGTGCAACATGGAACGAAAAGAGCCGAATATAACATGGAGTTGACTGCACTGTAGCCATCCACAACTATTTTTCGGTCAATTCGTATCAACTAACCTATGCACCACATAGATCCACATATATAGAAGGTCCCTAGCTGGCGGGTTGATCAATCAAAACATCAGAGATGTTTGACAATGAACATGAATGAACTCCCAAGTTCGATCAAGCTCGCAGGTTTGCAGCACCTACGGGGCGTTTGCCGCACTGACCCTTTGGCAAAAGGGTGGCTTCATGCAAGCAAAACCTAGAAGATAGATGAAGATAGTATAGATATGTATAGATTAGATAACGATAAATACGTACATAGTATATACATATATATATATATTATGTGTGTGTGTGTGCGTGTGTGTGTGTGTCATCATATGTCTGAGGAACTTAGAGCAAGTGAACCTCCGGGATGGCGATGTAGAGAGAGAGAGAGAGAGAATTGAATTTGTCATGGCCTGGGAAGGCTCAGCGCCTACTCAAGTATGGTGCCTTGTATCTCAGGAAGGAGGACGGCTCCGTGGTCACTTGGGGCGATCCATCTTGTGGCGGTGATTCATCCACAGTCGCAAGCAGGAGCATCTCTGACGGAGTCTGGAAGTGGACAGGTACACAGGTACTTCGTTCACAACGCTCTTTCATATCTTTCTCCTTACTATGGTAACCTAATGCAACCCAGTGCTGCAGCAGGATCAGAAAGCGTGTCTTTCAGCTCTGCAGCACATATGGTGCTTTTGCAGCAACGAAAGCAGCTCCTGGGCAGACAATACGCAAATTCATGCAGATGGTAATTTTCATCAAGATTGAGGAGTGCAGTGCTTGGATAGGAGAGAGAGAGGGATAAACAAAGAGAAGAGAAGAGAGATGAAGAGATTCAAACAGGGATGCAGAGAAAGGGACAGAAATAGAGACGCGGGAGAGGCGCGCTTCTCTCCATAGCATTTTTATGCATTTTTTTGCATGTTGTCGCTAAAGAATCCAAAGCTGCTCCGAGGATGGATCGGTGGTGACCTGGGGAGATGCAGATTGGGGAGGAGATTCCACTGCAGTGCAGGATCAGCTCTACATGGTCGCATTTGTTTGTGGAACATCCCGTGCATTTTTGGAACTGCGCAGCAACGGCACTTTCTTTCTTGGAGATGATGCATCTTGGTGGGGAAAATGTGCAGCTTGACAGATTGCAACTGAGTTTTGACAATCCAAGGGTTTCAGATTTGGTTTTCGCTGAGTTTCGCTGTGCCATGCTGTACCAAGGCCTTCGACAGTAGTGACGAGGGCTATGATGGTCTTTTGGTTGGTGTGGTTGCTGTAAGCGGTACTGGTGGAGCATTTGCAGCAAGGAAGGCAAGGATGCGAAATGACGTGGCAGGGTGAGTCGCATACCGATTGACATAGCACTCCCATCCGGCTTTTTGCAAAGAACCGCTCCCCTCTTTGACTGATGGATTGTTGGATATTGTTGGTCAACTCAACTTGGAGACTGTGAATTTTGAGAGGTGGATGGCTCCGTGGTGACTTGGGGAGACCCAACGTCGGGTGGGAAGTCGTCTAAAGTGGCACAAGAACTGAAAGCGGGCGTGAGCTCAGAGACTCTGTCGCGAATAAGATGTTTTTGTGGAGAGAGAGAGATCCATTTTTTGTTTGTGGATGTTTGATGATGTTTGTGGGTGGTTGAGCCCTGTGCAGATTCAAAAGCCACTTGCTGATCAGGGAATGCTGAGGAACAATGGGCGCAGCCCAGTGTGGATAGTGTGACCATATGTGACCCAAGGTATCCCATACAGCAGGGGCCTTTGCTGCAGTCAAGGCAGATGGATCCGCGAGAAGCTCAGGAAAGTGCCATGTGCGATTGCTGGTGCATCATTGTGCAATCTGTCACAATGCAAGAGGAACAGCAAGAGGAACAAACCTGAAGAGAAGTGAACAGAACATGGTAAACATTCTTAAAAGAATTTGGATATTTGTTCATTTTGAGGAGGTTCCCAGGGTCGTCAGGGTGACATGCCGAGTGATGCCAAGCTCAGGTTGTTGCATGGGGCGATCCAGCATGTGGGGGCGATACTCTTGTCGTTTCAAAGCAATTGAGCACCTTGGTTTGTGGCTCATGTGGTCATGTGGCTGCCTTTGTGTTTGTGTGCGTGTTCTTGGGTATCATTGAAATTGTGTCAACCAGCAGGTCAAGTCAAGAGTCCTTTCTTGCCATTGCATGTTGAACTCCTGATCCGGATTGTTGCGGCCTGTCACTACTATGAGTTGCGTTGAGGAGAAGGTGTTGCACAAGTTCTTGGACGCTCAGATGCTTCAAACTGATGAGTTGATTGTGTTTGATCGAATATTGGATTGTTCTTGCAGCAAGCGCAGTTTGATATTGGCCTTCGAATGATTTTGATGCATGTTGTTATCAAATGTTTTTCTCTACAGATGCTGGCAACAAGGATTGTACAAGGTTTTCGCCGCTATCAAGCTGGATGGAACCTTCCATGCAATCAGATGTTTGAAGCTTTTTGGTTAGTGCGATCGATTTTTCCCGTTCTTTGACAGCTGGTTTCCAGACTGTTTGAGTTGCTGGAGCTTCCCAGATTCTAGTTTCTAGACAGTGTTGGTCTGCTGGGTTTACTTTTCATGTGTTTGTTCGCATGTTTCCCCCACCTGCCTGGTGAGGGTCTCTAGATTTTAACAAGACATCCCGCTACACGACTAACGAACGAACCTGGCTACCACCCACACACCGCAACATGATCGCCAGCTTGTTTGCCAGCCTCCTCGCCTCCACACAGCCACTCTTTAGCGAGCTCGCCAGCTCTGCTATGGTTAGCTCGGCAGCTCTCTTTGGGCTCCACCGGCGGCACCGGACCCGAACCCTATGCCCTATGGATAAAAGGTGATATTGAATGCCAGGATATGCCAGGTAAAAGGTCAGATAGATTCAGATAATATGCCAGATAGAACGCCAGAAAGAATGTCAGATAGAACGTCAAATAGAATGCCAGAGTTTACGTCAAATAAAAATGCCAGATAGAATATATATAACCAATATATAGAATCCCACATATCATGTGAGAATATGTGAGAATATATTTCAGAATATTTCAGATATAGAATATTGAGAAGGACATACTTTTATATATTTTTGCCAGAAAGAATGCCAGATAAAATGTCAGAATTTATGCCAGATAGTATGTTAGAAGATTTGATAGAATGTCGGATAAGGCCTCAGAATATCACAAAACACATGTTAGATAAAATGTCACAATATATCAGATCAAATGGAGAGAGACAGAGAGATAGAGACGGACGGACGGACGGACAGACGGACAGACGGACAGACAGACGGACGGACGGACAGAGAGAGACAGAGAGAGACAGAGAGAGAGAGAGACAGAGAGAGACAGAGAGAGACAGAGAGACAGACAGACAGACACACACAGAGAGAGACAGAGAGAGACAGACAGACAGAACAGAACAGAACGGAACAGAACAGAACAGAACGGAACAGAACAGAACAGAACATACATAACATACATAACATACATAACATACATAACATACATAACATACATAACATACATAACATACATAACATACATAACATACATAACATACATAACATACATAACATACATTACATACATTACATACATTACATACATTACATACATTACATACATTACATACATTACATACATTACATACATTACATACATTACATACATTACATACATAACACACATAACACACATAACACACATAACACACATAACACACATAACACACATAACACACATAACACACATAACACACATAACATACATAACATACATAACATACATAACATACATAACATACATAACATACATAACATACATAACATACATAACATACATAACATACATACATACATTACATACATACATACATACATCAATACAATACAATACAATACCATACGATACGATACCATACATACATACATACATACATATCATGACGATGTGTTCAAGTAGCAATGTATGCATATATGTAATATGTTTGTCGATGAAAGTGATTCTCTTTAAAACGCTGGTGTTTACTGTATGTATGTATATATATATATGATATATGTGTGCGTGTGTGTGATTTGTGTGTGCGAGTGGTTTTTTGATTTTATTTACAACATATGCATAGATCAACGGTATTGGTGTGGACAATATGTGGCAGGCAGTAATCTAGGATTACCTTCACAAAATCAGAGTGTTTGCGCCAGCTGATATGATCGGAACATATCGGAACTCTGCCGTGGCCACAACCGTCTTAAGCAACCAAGTGACCCAGCACTTGCTGCCTAAGAATTGAAATATGTTGAAATTATTGTAAATTATTCAAATAGTATCACACTAAATCATTTGCATATAATAAATTATATACTGTATACATACATGCATGCGCGTGTGAAATCGTGCAACTTGTCTCAAAGTGACAAGATATCATGTAAAGAGTTGCATCGCGCAATGCGCAACAGGAACTCTGGTCATTTGGGGTGACGAAAAGCTTGCTGCTGCAGATGCTTTGCAGCGAATTCAGTGGTGTGGTCAAGACAAACCAGTTGGAGCATCACTCCGTCTTCTATCTTTGTGGAAAAGTTTTTTTGAGATTTCATGGTTTTTTTTGTTCTTTTGGTATTTGATTTTCTCCTCTCGCTTGCAACGCTGCAAGGATACATATGATCGTCACCAGCAGCTCATCCACATCACGTCTGTGTGTGGCACGTCTCGGTCCTGTGCCGCACCTTGGCCGCCTAGTTGCTTGCACCACCCATATCGACTTGTAAACATCATGGGGAAATTGTAGATTTGGTATAAATGATTGTCTCATTTTGGACTCTGTAAATTTCTAGCTGTAGTGCACACCGTTGGAAGGCCCAGCAACAAGAAACGGCACGCATAAATTTCTTGATAATCAGCCTGATCACCGCTTACCCTTTCCCACTCGTTTGCACTGACACTGTGTTGGCCTCATGATTGTATGCACACAGATCAGCGGTTCATGTGATAAACCTGACATGTCTTGCACCAAGGGTTATTGTTTGTTTGATTGATTCTCTTGCGCATGCATAGCAAGTGTTGGGTGTTCATCTCTAAGATATGACAGATCCATTTAGGCTTGTCATTGCTTAAGCCAGGCTTTGAGATCAGATGGTCACGCTCCTTGACCGCAACAGGAGCGAGTGAAAAATTGCAATTGGTAAAACTGCATGGCGACAAGCAGGCATAGAAGAAGCTGTTTGCTACAGTAATCACACATGAAGCTACCTATATGTTCTTAAAATTTCTTAAATATAATCCACTTCCACGGTAAGCAACCATATGCGGAAAACAGCAGCTGGATCAGTCGTGGGTTGGTGACCAATATTGACTGGTCACAGTGCAAGGTGCTGACCTGGGGCGAAGGTCCATGGGGTGGTGATTCAGCAGATGTCGCTCACCAGCTTGAGGACTTTGCAATGTTTCACACGTGTTTATCGAAGAGGATCCAACAGCACAGGTCATCACCGGTCATATTGCAGAGATGCACCGGCTGGGTCTCAAATGACATCTCCGACATCTCAAACTCATGCCAGGATGTAGCCCAACTTTGTGCAACTGGTGGTGCGTTTGCAGCAAGAACCAAGGAAGGTGTTTCTTGGTTCCAGGGCAAGCCTGTATTGATGGAAGTGGGCAGAAGACAATGCCAACATGTCCAAGCACTTGCCAAAAGTTCAGCCTTCACCGCATTTCACCGCATAGGTTGTAGTCACCTGGGGTGACGAGAATAGTGGTGGCAATTCTCTGGAAGTTTGGGACCAACTTTCTGCTGGAGTGGTGGATTTGTGTCACACCAGCGGGGCTTTTGCCGCGCGGAAGAGCGATGGTTCTGTTGTGTTCTGAGCTTAGCTGCACATGTTCATGACAAGAAGCCCAGTCCAGAGGTGTTTATTGCCAGGTTGCCCAAGTTATCACACTGAAAACGCATGAGCATGCACGCTGCTGCCCATCGGTGACTCTAACTGCAAATACTATGTATACAAGTCAAAATTCTTTGTCACTCCTGAGCCATTGTGAAATCCACATGGGTGACACATGTCCCAATGACAGCACATCTGTATAATTACCAAAAAGATCCAAAAAGATTGTTGCACTAATTATGCCAGCCCAGCGCTTCAGAAGTGCTGAAATAAGCCTGACACATCCTTGTTCATCGTCCTTGTTTGAAAGAATGTCGCACTAGTATGCACAACCGCCCCGTGACTCCTGACAACATATTCTAAACTCTTTCAAAGTAGCAAAAGATATTACAGTAAGAGTTTTCAAGGCTTGCACGAAATCACAGCATGCTCTGTGGTGCCACTGTGCCACCAAATCAATCCAAGCATATTCGGCACAGAAAATTTGGCATCAGTAAAGATGCCACAAATGGATACGATTGGCCCTACTCTTTTCCAATGCAATTGTATACCTATGCAGTCTTAGAATGCGAAATGCAGAAACGAAACCCAATAAAAGCATGCAAACGGAACCGGCTTTACGTCCTTCCATGTACTTTTTGCCCGAGCGGACCAAGGACATGGGGTGACGAAGAGCTTGGAGGGAATTCCTTTGGGCCTTTCGATTGCGATGTTTTGTCAAAGATCGTCTAGTACCATTGTTGAAGACTAGTAAACTATGCAACTAAAACGGCTGCATTGTGTATCATTATGCTGCTTTCATTCTGCTGGGGTCAAATCCAAGCGCATAGGAACTGCTATGCCAAAAATCGCAATCATGTGTCATCCCTTTAGCAAACACACCTCCACGCTCAGTTTGGACTTTGACTTGCAGAATGTAACGCAGCTTTGCGGAAACGGCTACGCTTTTGCTGCTGTTCGGAGAGATGGCAGGGCGCCTTCTTTGCAGATACAGGTGGTAAGTCCATGACGTCCACGCTTTAAGGTGAGGGATGGAAGAAAAACCCCTCTATCTTTCTGCCATGCCTCATTTAAGAATTCTGGCATAAGATGGCCTCAGTTCTGACTACCTCTCTGAAATACAGAGCTTTGCATAGTTCTGTATGTTGGGATGCCGTGACAGGGTTGTGAGGTTGAATCCGGCAGATTTTCTTATTGTGAGGGCATTCGGGTGCAGCGCTCTGCGACAAGAAGTTGGATTGGAGATGATTGGGGATGATTGGAGTACCGTCATAGCAGACCTGAAAAGGTGGGGGTGTCTCGTGTGCTTTGACCTTGCCTTAGGTAATCACATGGGGCGACCCGAACGCTGGCGGGGATTCCAGCTCTGTGTCGGTTCAGCTCACAGATGTCCGTCGAGTGTTCAGCACGTATCGCGCATTTGCTGCAGTGAAGGACCTTAGAGCCTTAGAGCGTCCAACCAGAGCCTGATTTCCTTTACCGAAGGAAGTTTAGAAGTCAAACTTCCGACAATATGGACAGATGGAAAAGCAGAGGTGGGAAGAGTCAGAGAGGAGAAGAAGAGAAAGAGCGAGAAGAAAGAAGATGCAGGTGCGCGAAAGGTAGGAAAGTCGCGATTCATTATGTGTTTCCAATGATTTGTGGCTCCGGAGACTGGAACAGGAGGCTCGCTAAAGCGGCGGGTGCGGAGCCATCTGGGAAGATGAGAGATGAAAAATTGCATACCTTTGTGGTGCGAGGCACATTTCGAAGGCAAAATGTACAAAACACACCATTCTCGGACCACTTTGGGATCGAAAAAGTGCACGCAGCTGTGGCGCGAAGCACATGTCCAAGTCAAAATGTACAAAAAACACCATGCTCGGACCACGTTTGGAAGTTGAGATGTCGAAAAAGTGTACGCCGTTTTGGCGTGAAGCACGTTTCCAAGTCAAAATGTACAAAACACACCATGCTTGGACCACTTAAGATGTGATGTCGAAAAAGTGCACGCTGTTGTGGCGCGAAGCACATTTCCAAATCAAAATGTTAAAAAAAAACACAACATGTTCGGACCACTTTTGGACGTTCAAAAATCGCAAAACGTATTGGTACGAGGCTGTCAGCTCTGCATTCAACTATCCATTTTTGAAGGAAGTCTCGCAGAATTGCTTCGTTTTTGATGTTGTCAACTTCGAAAATTGAGGAAGTCTCGCAGAATTGTTTCGTTTTTTACGTTGTCAAGTTCAAAAATTGAGGAAGTCTCGCAGAATTGCTGCGTTTTTGATGTTGCCAAGTTCAAAAACTGAAGAAGTGTCGCAGAATAGCCTCGTTTTCAAGCTTGCAGATACACAGACAGATAGATAGACAACTACCACTACCACTACCACTACCACTAGCACTACACTAAAACGACAACTACAACTACATTACACTACATTACACTACACTACTACTGCTGCTGCTGCTGCTACTACTTCTACGACTACAACTACTACAACTACTACAACTACTACAACTACAGTACACAACACTACATTACACCAATTACACTACACTACGCTACAAATACAACTACACGACACAACACGACACTACAACTACAACTGCGCTACTTCACACTACACAACACTAGACTACACTACACTTCACTACACTACAGTACACAAAACGACAGCACACTACACTACAGTACACTACACTACATTACACTACACTACATTACAACTACAACTACAACTACAACTGCAACTACACCTGCAACTACAACTGCAACTACAACTGCACTACACCACAGAGTACCACTGCAACCATTGCAGCCATGTCAAAAAACACAACTCCAACCACCCTTTCGGTCCATCAGTGGATTTGCTCTGCCATCCGTGATTCACAACAACCAACCTCTCCTATAGGTTTCCTATCTTTGAAACTTCCGCCACCGCCTTGCGCGGTACTACTGGCAAAATGATAGTTTTGATCGTTGTAAATATTGTAAACTGCTTCTTTAAGATACATGGAAAAAGGTGCTTTAACTCGTGCATTCTTGTATGATAACATGTGGGTTTCCTATCGCAATCTCGGAGTTTATGACGATGCTTCACCATGAAGCATGTATGTTCAAAAGGCCAAAGAATGGTGTATGGGAGGTGCCAGAATTATAGGACGGAAGTTGAGGAGTACGAAGATACGGTTATTTACCGTACCCTGTTGTTCTATAATTCCGTTTTCCTCAAAAGGTTTGGAAACAGTTTACCTCAATTTACTCCTAGTTTGTTTCGTCGTTCTATAATTCTTGTTTGTTCTATAATTGTGTTTCCCCCCATATTTCTCTCATTTACCAATTCTGTCCTACAATTGTTCTATAATTAATTCTGCGGAAAGTCCGTTCTATAATTCTGGTTTCTATGTCACTTTTTTCCGGGGCCCCAGAAAGATTCATAAAATGATGCAAATTCTATGTAAGTATGTAAGTAACCATCTTTCGGGGCCCCAGGGTGTTACATAAAATGATGCAAATATATGCAAGTAACCTCCAAGACTCATACAACCTGCGTGTTTCTGGTGGTGTCAATGAGAATTTGAGGACCGAGGTATGTACTGCACCATACATGTATATTCTTTAGGGTATGTATGCATGGCAATATTTCCTTACATAGACCAAGTTTGGTGCAGCCCCTTCTGTGCCGACTGTCGAAGAAGCAGAAGGGAAGCAGTCAGAAATATGCACATAGCATAAACACATTGTGGGGCTTTCCCGGAAGGGCATGATTATATATACGTATATATATATATCATATATATTATACAGTATATAAAATAGATTTTTTCATAATATATAATTTAAAACATTTGATATTTAATATTATATATATATATTTTATAGGTATATAATATGAAATGTTTAACAAATGATATTTAATATTTAATTTATGATATTTATTTTTTCATATTTAACTAATAGTATAGAATATTTAATAGTTAGTGTATAATATATAGTATTTTTTAATATATAACATATAATATTTAATTTTAATATGTAATATATAATATGTAATATTTACTTTATTATATATAGTATATAATATATAATATTTATTTTTATATAATATTGAATTTATAATATTTTAATATATGCTATTTAATTTATTATATTTATTTTTCAAAATATTATATATATGTAATATTCCATTTAATATTTAACATGTGATATAAAATATTTTTGTGTAGCTAATCCACCATTTATAATTTAATATTAAATAATATTAATACCATTTGATAAATTATATTTAATAGTTGATATTTAATATTTAATAATATATAGTGTAAAATATATATATATATTATTTGTAATATTTATGGGAGATGCCAGAATTATAGAACGGAAGTTGAGGAGTACGGATTAATTATAGAACAGCCAGAACATTAATTATAGAACAGGATCCGAATTTCCCCCAAATCGAAATCCGGAGGAGTAAGAAGGTACGGTATTTTACCGTACTTTTGTACTCCTAATTCTGTTCTATAATTCTGGCACCTCTTGTAGGACTCGAAATGCAGTATTAGCCCGAGAAACTTCAAAGACCCAGAGCAAATCCTACAACTTTCCGCAGGATCGCGGAGCAGTGGTCACCTGGGGTGATCCCGCCTGTGGTGGTGACTCTTCAAGTGTTCATGCAGCTCTCACTCAGGGTGTGCCTCTACTGCAACAGGTTCAACCGAAAAGGGGCTTGACTTGGCTTGACCTGATGACATGCAAGGTCACGGAAAGCCGCTTGCTTAACGATCGTAACGCTCGTTTCTTTAGTGTGTTGCTCAGTTCTACATCATTTTGCCTGCAATTTCCTCCACCAAGTTGTACCCTAATCCGAGGTTGCATCAATTTGCGGAACCTATGGTTCCTTCGCAGCAGTAAAAAAAGAGGGAACAGTTGTGACTTGGGGCGATGCAAAGACTGGGGGCGACTCCTCATCGGTTCAGCCGGTGTTCATTCCTGACAGCGACGGTTGAAACACGTGAAAGCTGAAGTTCCACCTCCTGGAAGCATTTCAAAGCTACGGGGCTAGCCTTTCCGTGATGCAGATGAAGTATCAAGAGTCAAGAGCATCCAAGAGACGGATTCGAAGCTCTATACTACCTTCCCCTCCTACCTTCTGTAGAGCATACAAGGGGGATGCATTTTGCCACGGCCACAATTGGCCCCGCACGCCATTTGGCTGCAATCTTGTTGTCAAAGATTTTTGTGGGTGGTGGGGCATCCTGCAGATTGTTTCCTTCTATTTCACTACTTTCATCTACACATGTTTGAGTGTGCAAGTGTGTTTGTGATGCGTGTAATATTAATATGCGTGTGTGTGTGTGCACAGTACACATGCTTATACATGTTACTTCTATAAGCACTGAGAAACGATTACATAAATTCAGTGAGCAAGTGAGCAGGTGGTTCATGTTCCTCGGACTTCCTTTCATGCAGGACCGACCCCTGGACGTCGACGTTTGCCTAGGTTTTATGATGTGTTTGATGTATGTAGATCCCCGCCAAACCTTCCACTGATCAATATGCTCTCAGGGTGAAGACCTTTCCTTGCAAGCTTGGTTTGCTGCACTTCAAATGCAGATTCGGAGCCGAAGACACGCAGCATAGCCGTTATTATCATTCGAACGGCTGCAGATACTGCAGATGGAACTTCAGAGCAAGGGATCCCCCCATGCGCCTGTCATTGCTTGCCTGCGGCAGCTGCAATGTGACAGAGGGAGTGGAAGTGGAAAAAAGGGAAGCTTGCCATGCGGCGATAGGGGCAGAGGGTAGACTCTCCAGTGTGAATTTGAGACAAGTCAAGATCTGGAGAGGCTGGCATTGACGTCTCTGATCTCTTCAACAAGCTTGACAGTGGTTTGGGTTACCTGAGGCAAGCTGGCTTGCGCCATGCGACAAAATTATGAATTCACAGGAAGCCACAGACAGCACGGCCGTGTGTAGAAGTGCCATTCACTAGCTCACTTGTCCAAGAGAAGTGCGAGTTTGCTGGGTAGTTTGCTGATTGTAATATATTGTTGTAATATATTGTAATCATCGGCTGCTTCAATTGAAGGATCTAAAGAAAAATCGTGTGACTATGTGTGACTTTTCAATGCTTTTGATGTCGGATGCCGAAAGCAAAGTGAAAGGTATGAGGAGATCAATGTCATGGCCCGTACCTTCGATCCAGCATTGACAGGTCAACAGTTCTAACCTGAGATAATAACAATTGACACGTCAATGATGTGACTTTGTGAATTTGATGTGAATTATCGAGAAAGATTGAGACAGGGAATTGTGCAGCGCCAAGAGGATTTGGGTCTTTATGTCCAGAAATGGATGCCGAGAGCATGCAAGAACTTAGGTTGGAAGGTTTGTTTCGGCATTTTGATCCACGAGCATCCGGAATCGTGGACTTTGAAGGCTTGGTTTTAGATGGTTTTGGTTTTGCTATGTTCTCGTATCTTCGCACCCTGCAACCTTTCAGATTGTGAACTGCAACCCATGGCCCGAAAGGCTTTAAGCGTGGCTTGGGCTTCATGGCAAGCGCCAGCGATCAGAAAGCGATTGTGGATCAGGCCTTTTGCTTCTGAAATTAGATGGAACGCCATGCAACTCCAATAGGTTGACTATGTTGACTTTTGTACACGCACGGACTGAAGTTAGCAACATGACATGTGTACTTGATTGTGCTTCCCTATGCTTTTTCAAGTTTCACCATCCCTTTTCGTATTGAGTGAACAGAGACATCGAAATCCCGTTGGCCGGAAAAGCTGCATGGGCAGTAATCCATCAAGTGATTTGTCCAAGTCTTCTCAAAGTTTGAGAGTTTGATTGCAGATGATTGCAGCTTGGTTAATCTTGGTTCAAGGCAGTGATTGCACGGATTGCGCAAGCTGCACAAAGTCTGTACGCAAGAGGCCACCTGCAAAGCATATCAATGGGATGTATATGGATGTAATATGGATGTAATATGGATGTATAACAGGTACTACACAGGTACTATAATTTCATCATATTTCATCCCTGGGGTGATGCCCAGGGCGCCCAATCTATATCAATCTATATGACTGTGAAGATATTACGGGAGGATATTTTAGAAGGATGCGGCCAGTATATGCCAGTATGGGGTGATTTTTTGTGAGCTGCTGGCCACCTGCCTTTCCTTGCCGGATAGGATCGTGAGAAAGTTTCGTTCTCCAGCTTACACCTTGGCCTTCTTACGCAGCATTTCAAAACCGTAGTAGTAGATGCATATCATAGATGCATATGGTTACGCTTAGTAGAAGTTAGTAGCATGCTGTAGCAGTGTGACTCTGAGACCTTTGGCGCTGGCCAGGGTGCAGCGTGCAAGATGCATTTGCAATTTTCGATTACAACCGCACCTTGGCTGACTTCTGACATCTTATGACTTGTGACTTATGACCTACAGCGACGATTCAGGGAATTTTCTGCTGGTTCTACTGATGGACGCCGGGCCACCAATGAAAGCACTGGACAGGTAATGGCTACTTGGACCAGACAGAGTTCTACAGGTTCTTGGTCGCCTGCGATTGCAGAGCCGGGCCCGTAGCTGCAGAATTGAATGCCCGCATATGCCCGTCCAGGGTAAATTGGGACTGTTTGAAATCCGTTGTACCTTCATGTATCCTTCATGTAAGCTCAGGAAACGGGAAGATATTGACTAGGTCAAAACCACCTTCACCCCAGGTAGTAGAAGTGAAGCTGTACATTGGTGCTTGCCAATCGGGGACAGATGTAGAGCAAATGTTATGTCTAGGTCACTCAGCATGAAAGCGACCTGATCTTTGCAGAGGCCGTTGCTGGAAAATATTAGCAAGCCAGTTTGACGTAGAAAGTTTGTAAGATGCCCTTGGCTGCTTCATAAGAATTTAAGCTGAGAAGCAGGTTTCCCACTGCAGCGTCAGGGCTGGGATGATTAGGGCGGGGGGAAGTTGGAGAAGTGGCTTCTCAGCGTTTGGGCCTCGAAATTGTTTGTTCCCTTTGATTCCTCTGCGCATCGAAAGACACCTATGCTCTATAGTGATCTATAGTGATCTATAGTGTAGGAATCCTTACCTCAGCCTGGATTGATTGGATTGTCTGTGAGTTGCCGCGAGAGTGAATTCTTTGGTGCAGGTGTCAAAGAACAGCGGAAGATTGGATATCAATGGCTTCGCGCAGGCCTTGATTGTGTTTGTGGTTAAGTCGCACATGTTTGTATGGCTCCGTTCGGCAGCCGCCAGCAGGCCTTCGCCATCAGCCCAGGCCCTGCAGCGTTTGCTTCTCAGAGCTCAAAGGATTAGGATGATTAGGTGATGGATTGTGTATTGGAGAGTGCTGTGCTGTGCCAAAGAATGAGGATTTGTATGGATTTGTTCTATGTCGACTCTTGAAGGATGATTGTGTGATATATTATATTGTGCGGATGATCCAACAAACAGTTTTCCAAGTGGCATCAAGCAGCCTGGGCTTCAAGATTTTGCTTGCATTACCGGATTGCCGGCTGCAGTTGTCCCAGGAAGATTGGGAAGTTTTATTGTTTAACACTGTGCGTTCTGTGCGCAACACAGACTTCTTTTCTGCAAGCTACTGCACCGTACGGCACTTCAATACACTTCATGGGGGTTGCATTAGCAATGTCCACAACCATGGCACATGTCCTCATGCCGAAGATCACCAGTTGTTGCAAGACTGGTGCCTTAGCAGAATACATACTAGCATGCGGGGTCCAGCACGAAATGTGCAGGGATGTGCCAGGCTTGAAGGCAAAAACGCCCTGTAAATGTGTGGGAATCACCCAATGGCGGAAGGAGGTAAGACTCTGAATAAAACTACGCAGAAAGATGCTTGAGTTGATCTTGAACAGCTCTTGGTTGCCTTTCTGGTGCCGCTCAGGAGCGTTCAGGAGACGTTCATGAGCGTTTTCTTCAAGCAGCATTCACCCAGGTTGCAAGAAACGTTGATGATTTTGATTTGAGAAGTCTTGCAAACTTGGTATGGGCACTGGCTGTCTCTGGCACACACCCGGAGCGGCTACTTCACACCATCTCTTCCGCAGCTGCTCGACGAATGGGGAAAGTGTTTTGTTAAATTATATACAACTTTTGAATGTGTTTGAACATGTGTAAGGCCACTTGTAAACAAGGAAGTGGAGGGTTAGTTCCGCTGCCGATGCTCTCAGCTTTTCTTTCTTCTTGCGTTCAGTATCATGACACTGGTCGCTTGTGTGTGTGTGCGTTTGGTGTTTTCATACTGTGCAGTACGATATTGTACATCATGCCCTGGGCTTTGCGGCTATGCTGATCATGTGTCTATCAGCCCCAAGTTGCGTTGGTCCTTGAGCGTGGCAGTGAATTGACCCATGATGACCCATGTCATTTGACTAGTGACTACTGTCACTACTGTTACTGGTAGTATTGACTTGGTTAGGAGTCAGGAGGAGTCAGGAGCATTTCTGAATATTAAATATTTATGCGGCGGTTCCTGAGGCTCAGGCAGCTCTGAAGCGTCAGCTACCTGAATTGTCCAGCGAATCTGAAGCACACTCCTTGATTTTCAGTCTTTTGGCTTTGGCATGGGCCTTGAAATTTCACTCTTCTTTGAGCCGCGATCTGGAGTCAGAGATTGGTGATGGACTTCATCGCATAGCCCACTTTCTGGAGAGACGCGGATCGTGTGCCTCAGTGAAGCCCTACATGTCTTCTCTCATTCCGTCCAATCTGCTGGAGTTTCCGGAGCAGAAGCCGAGAATCTTGGTGCAGCCTGCAGGAATGCTTGTGGCACTGAAGCCACCTGGTTGGGAAGTAGATACCACGATTGCAGAATCAGAAGCTCTGAGTCTCTCAGCTTTTCTGCAAAGCCACCTCTTTGCAGAGGACGAACGTGTAGCAGTATGTTGCTTTCTTGCTGTCATTAAAAAGTAGAAAGGAGAAGGGCACTTACTTTTACATGAGAAAATTGTACGGCTCGATTTGTTCTGACATGCATGATTATGCATGATTCAGATTGATTCAGCAGGAAAGCCCTTTGCTGTTTGACTTCAAGTACAGCTACGGTTTTATACATCGTCTTGATGTAGCTAGTTCTGGCCTCATCTTGGCAGCGCGGACACATCATGGGTTGATTTGCCTCCAGCTGCAGAAGGCATTGTGTGCTATTGACAGCTTCTTGGCTCATCTTGGCCAATGAAATCCTAGGACCGTGGATTGAAATTCAATGTTTGAGCTGAGCAGCATACATGGATTCATCGAGAGCTCATTTCACCTCATTTCTAGTATGCGAGGGCCGGTATGGTCTAGTGGATAAGACGCATCCCTCATGCGTCAGACATGGGTTCAATACCCGGGCGCAACACTAGGTTGAGAGGCAAGCCGACACTACCCTAGGCCCTACCCCTGTAGTTAAGGGGATGAGCTAGGGCGTAGTCCGTAAACACACTCTCATTTCTAGCATGCCAATATGCAGTATCAGTATCAGTAAAAGGTGTAAAAGTTATCGGCCAAAACACTCACAGACCCCTCCCAAACCCCTGTTTTGCCCACGACAGCCACCTCCCGAAGAAATCTAGGATATTGGATGGCCTCCAGTGCCTTCGACACTGAGGAGAGTACATTGTGATGTGTGAGGGCACTGGAGGCTTGAATTCTGCACTTCAACGAGTTGTTACTGTGGAAGTCGCAACGCGCGGGCTCAATTTCGACAAGAACTCCAGGATCATGCACACCTACAGTGCCAAATGCTTTATATAGACATCTTTAGACGGCAGTCCGAAAGCAGTTCAGATTCATTCAGATTCTTTATTGTCGTTTTGTTTGGTTTTTGATGGCTTTTGTCTCCAGCAAACAATCACCACTTTTGCACTAACGATGGCCAGGACTCTCACACAAGATTCTGGTATGCCAGCAGAAACCCGCCTCAGAATTGTGGCTCACCTTTCATGCAATGAAGGCAGATGCCTGAGACGCCATGTCATCACAGAATAAAGCGGCCGTGTTGTGATTATATTGAACTGTGCATTGTACTACCTACCGACCGTACTAATTAGACTAGAGAGAGAGAGAGGGACGGAGCCCTTCAAGATACGCACCACCAGAAAACGTAATTTGTTCAGATGCAAGCAGTGGTATTGCGATACTGCATTTGCACGCGTGTTCAGCAAAAATTAGCAGATATTGGCAGGCATGTCAAACGTGTCCTTGGCCGCCATTCAGATTTACACGGGTCGACGACACCAAATCCGGGCACACACTCGTTTCATTGGGTCGCCCAGCTCAATGCTGAATCAGCGGGTAGCACGAGTCAACGATGAGCACTTGTATGCATTTGTTACATTTGGTTACCTGTGTTGTGCTGTCTGAACCCTGTCGCTTTGAGCTACTAAGCTACACTAGCTTCAAACTACAAGTTCAAGATGGCCAATTATTAGGCATTTGCGATGAGTTGGCACGGTTGATTCTGCAGAAGAAAGCTTTAGAAGGGTAGATTGGCTACGGCTTCAAGGCTTGCTTTGCCACCGATCCCAAGGCATCCGACTGTTTGCGATGCTTGGTATGCACCCAGCTCCGTCCACCTTTCGATGAAGGACATGCTTGGTCCACCGCCAGCAAGATGCTGGGTGCGCACACCCAGGTGCAGATGTGTGCAGAAGTTACTTTGACTCAACTGGATGTGGTTCAGCAATTCGTGATATTCATGACGTGTCATGCATTTCAAATGCATTTCGATGTCCTTCAATATCCTTCGATTTTGTAGAGGAGAGAAGTCTTGAGTCCACAGTCGCGCAGGTGGGTTGGAGAACTTCCAGCTCCTCCACAGGACCGAGACACAAAAAAGACAGAATAAATAACAATCGGATATAATCGACAATAATATACACAATATCCAACTCTTCGGCGTTCAAACGGAAAACAATGGTTCGACAGCTTGCAGCAACTTGGCTCGTGGGACTTTGAGCCTCGATTCTGTGTTTCTTGCTCTCAAGGACATGGTGAACTTGGTAGGCACCGGCTTTACCACGGTGGAGTAGGATTTCAAAATCATCAACCTGATTGGACACAGTGCAGCGAAAAATGCGTGCGTCGCAGTGCAAAATGCAGCAAGTTGCGTTCCGGGAATAATCTCGGTGGTTCAGTGGCAGTTGGTTGCGGTTTGTGCAACTGTGGTTCTGAGGCGTGTCATTCCTCGTCAGCAGCAGGCCCTTCTATGATACGACATATTCGGATAGCCTTATATAATCTTATATAAATTAGATTAAGCAGATTTAGTCCTCGAAGTTATGAAACAGAGAGAGAGAGAGAGAGAGATTGTGCAATGTGACCAGACTTGGTATCTGACAGCTTTTCCCAGTGGCTAGGTGGACCAACGGCGGCAATTCCAAGCAGCGCAGATTTGTAGTTGGCACGGCGCCTAGCAACAAGCTTCGCGATCCTAACACCCAAAGATAGCACTCATTGCCAAATTGCAGTCTTCGATCTTAAGATACCTTTGTAGTCCTTGATCAATCTTTGACGTAAAGGGTTCTTCGCGTTTGCTGTGAAGAGCAGGAGGAATTTAGCCAGCATGAGCATCATGAGCCAGTCGATCTTCCAATCTGAAGTCCGACAATGATGTCCTCAGCTTATGCCATGTTGCAAGATCAATTCTGCAGGCTTGAACCAGCTTTGCTCTCACAGAATCTGACGCTGGCTGGGCGTTCCTAGCTTAGAACGTCTTAGAACATAGTCACTATATGTCACTATAGATATCGTGAATCTTCACCCCATCGTCTCCAGAGTGTGATACCATGAACATCCTTGAGTCACCATGAGCATGTGAGCGCTGGAGACATGTGCTTTGCAGAATGCCTGTTGCAGGTGATTGTTTGAATCGGGCTGACTTCGACCGTTTGGCTTGGCATCTCAGAGGATATTGAGTCTTTGCCCCATATGAATCATTATGATTCCATATGATGTATGTGTGGATTGTTGGCCAATGTGATTTGCATCCTACATTGTTCCGTACAAGTAGTGAGCGCATAATGATGCAAAATGATGATGCATTTGTGGTCCCATGTTCGGATCAGTTGCCAGAACCATTGGATGCAGGAGTGCAGGTGTGTACTTTTGGAATCTAAGTCTGTCGCAGCATGGGTTGACGATCAAATCCAAATTTCAAATGTATCCAGATGTGGCACTGCTGCTCCATGTCATGAGAGGGATTCTGTCCTGCAGCGTTTGCACAAGTGTATAGAACGAGCGCTGCAACAGTCGCTGCGCTCACTTTGCAATGGAAAATCAGGCAGGTACCACCGGACACATATCCGAAACTTTGTGAAGGTTTCCATTTGTGAGTATATAGATTGTTTCAGCATTGGGCAGCAAAGTGACAATTTCCAACCTTGACGAGCCTGGCATCAAGCAGCAGAGTTGACTTCGAAGGAGTCTGTGCGAGATTTGCCACAGTCTCCTTCCGAAGAGGTGCCAGCGGCTTTTGAAACTTGAACCGGAAACATGAACGATGAATGAACGATGAGTTCCACAATGTTCCACAAGAAGGGCCAATAGGAAGGGACAAGAAGAGTGTTTCCTGCACGCCCCCTTCATCATCTTCATCGCCATAAGCGTCCAACTGATCAACTGATAAAGCCCAGGGCGAGCCATCAGTAATATATACATGATTATACATATATAGAATAGAGGATGATGCCCAGGCATGCATGAGCAAGCAGCAAAGGCTTCGATTGTGATGGAAGAACATTGGAGAACTCTTCCGACCTATTGCATGCGTTGTATCTGGAATCAATATGGAACAATTATACAATATTATATCATACAGAATGCATTGTATATATAGCCTCGTCCGCGCTTCTGGAACTGCGCACACCCCGAATTAGGTTGGTAAAACTTGTCAATTCCGGGACGAAATTTCGTCCCGGAATTGACAAGTTTCATTAGGGTCATCATCATCATCATCATCATCATCATTATCATCATCTGCAAGTTCACATGAACGTTAATATCCCACCCCATCCCCCCCCCCCACCCCACCCCGCGTGTGCGTTGCATCAACTGCTTCTGCAAGTTCACATGAACGTTAACATCCCACCCCATCCCCCCCCCACCCCACCCCGCGTGTGCGTAGCATCAACTGCTTCTGCAAGTTCACATGAACGTTAACATCCCACCCCACCCCCCCACCCCATCGTATGTAGTTCCAGGAGGTGGGACGAGCCTATATATACTTCTCGTGGAGACGCCCTTAGCGATCTCTCTGACTGGTTTCTCAGCCTCGCTTCCTGCCTGCCTAAGATCACAATATTTAACGTAAATTACCCAAATATTATCCTTATTTAATTAACGTACCTCTACCCCCATTTATCCCGACGGCATGGCCAACAGGGTCGTAGTTCCGGTTGCAGCATGGACTCGAATTGGGTAGGTCTGCGCTTTCGTTAACAATGGCTTGCTATGTTCATTTGAAATTATGATGTCTGTATGATGATGTATGGTTTCGCGTCTATCAAGCGTGTGTGTGTGTGTGTCTTCTTTCAATGTCTTGGGCTGAATCTGGCAGGTCGCGAGAGGAGGAAGCAACTTCTTGCTGTACAACTTATTTGATACCATCTCTCAGGCAGGCAAAGACAGAAGAGGACTTCCACTTGCCATCACAATTGGTGTCAGATTGAACGAAAGGAAGATTCCTTACTTAGCTCTTTTTTCAAGCTCACCTGAAAGGCAGTAACCTTCGGCTTTGCATGTCCACAAACGTATGGCACAGACCGGGTCCCTTGGTGCGGTGCTCTTTCGTTGTTTCCACCATGCAACAAGATGTGATCACCTGATCACCCGGCAGCCGCAGGCATCATCAGAGGTCTCATGGCGCTTTCGCTCTAATCGCTCGGTGGATGCTTTGCATGCAGCGTTGCCAGGTGGCTTTTCGGCCGGTTGGGTGGAGATGCGCAAAGAAAAGTGAACTGATGACGAAATAGCACGAAACGACTTTTTGCGTCCAGTATCTACCAGTTGTTTTCTAGGAAGCAACATGCCGCTTGAATCCAATTGATTAGTTAATATCTTTCCACCTTTGCATTAAACTAATTCTAATTCATCTCTTGTCCAAACAACATATAATCATATTCAACGGTATTCTGTTTGTGTGGGAGCGGATCAGCGAAACATGCTATTATGTGACCGCATGACCATGCCATGGAAATTTAGTAGGCCAGTAGGCATGATAAAATTGTAGATACTTGTAGTGTCTGGAACCTGGACAAAGCTCAGGCTGGAGCTTTGGATTTTTGCTTTTCTTATCTGGATTTATGCTTGACTTGCCAGCAAGATATGGAGTCATACAGCCACTAGCACGTGTGCAACTCTTGACAATTTGCCTTCGGCAAGTCCTTTTCCTGCTCTGAGTGAGGAGGATTGAGTTCGAACAATACTGAACAATATTGTACTTAGAGCGCTCGATGATACTTGAATCATGTGTATTTATTTGTATATTCCTTTAGTGTTTTTCAATGTTCTTAGGGAAATAGATTCAATCTCTTTGTGCCACCGCCTCGACCGCTCGCAGAAGAGCAGCTGCGAATGTGGTCACAAAGATACCGCTGTCCACCGCGAGCAGCAAGCCTGGAGAACTTGCCCCGCCTGCGAACAATGAAACCTGAGGTGGCGGAAGCTTAGCTGCAACTTCTATGCCTCTTTCATATTCTTTCATCAATTTTGCACATTTTATATACATGTATAAAAATAAATTGATTTGGCCTGGCCTTCCCATGGCCCCAGGCTTACTTGCATGATATGTCATGATCCTCCTGAAACCTTTCTTGCCATGAGTCGCGACATGTCACACCAAAGGACAGGGAGCTAGCCTTCGTGATGCAGGCAGGTGAGCTTGCACTGGAGAAGCCAAGATTTCCTTCCAAGCGCAAGTGCCAGGACTGTCGGACAATCAGATTCAATATGATTCAATCTCACTGATAGATATCGACAGATTATGACAGATTATGACAGATTCATATTTCAATCGGCTTCAGGTAGGTTTCGACGATTTGGATAGTTCTGGGTTGGGTGTAAAACGGGCAAATCAAATTCAGGTTTAGTAGTAGGAAGTGCGCCTTGTAAAAAAAATGCACTGTGCAGGATTTGCGTTGGCTGATCCTCCTGGGCTTTGTGCTGGCATTTGTAGTGCTTTGGATGCACATCGGTCATTCATAGTGAGAGCTGCAAGTGCAATCGGAACCCAAACTTTAACAAACACAGCGTGGACGACTCCCTTCCGTGTCATGGCTGTTTGCATCACTGCGTTGGCCCATCCATGGATGTTCGATGCAGGGAGTTTGACCTCTCCGCGACATGGAAACATTGATGCTTTGTGTTGGAACACGTTGGAACCAAGTTGGAACTATTAATTGCTGCCAGAATAACTGCCCAGGGCCTATTTGCACCTTGGGTTCATCCTGGTCCTAGGCGATGTATTGTGTCATGGTGTTTCAGCAAGCAGAGCTAGATGTCATTCAGCAGCCAGCGCCCAAGTTGTTTCCGCGTGCGAATCCATGAGCAAAAAGAGTGAATATGTGATGTCATGCGCTTGCACCTGGAGACATCCTGAAATTCTTCTAGTGTGTGCTTCCTGTTTGAATTGCTCATGTAGGTAGTGGTTCAACAGAGATTGTTGTGGATTTCATGCTGATTCGAGCAACAACCAGAGGTACTGTCTCAATCTTGCGCCAAATGCATTGGAATTCCAACAGCAAACTTCGGTATCTTCAGTATCTTCAGTCATTGTTCGTCCAGTGGCTTTCCGCCTTTTGCAAATCTGCCAAGTTCAGGCTCCTGCACAATGGCATGCTGATCGCCAGCTCAGCTGGATGCCTTGCAGGGATGGTCCTATCTACGCTATTCATGTTGATGACGCGATGCTTTCCAAATTTCATGGTGCTTTGCTGAGTTGTATCACAATGTAGGATGCAGTAGGGGAGTTCTCTGAAAGACTATTGCAGACCAAAATATGCGTGATTGATCGGGATTGCCTGAATGAAAGAAGGATGAAGCTAAACATCATCAAAGTGCCAGGCTATATTCTTGCAGCATGATTGATTTCTGAGCAAGTGTGTGTGTGTGTCTGTGTGTGCATGTAACTGAGCCAAGGTGAGACTGCTTGTGTTGGGCAGCCCCATCGTCATGATCGTTTCAGGGTCTGTCTACACCACCTTCCATTGCATGACTGCAGGATGTGTCTTCCTGGCTGTCGGAATCACTCTTCTCATGGTGCTTTTCTTTGGTTTCTTGAATGTTCCATATGGGAAGCCAGCAAACACTCCTGAGATTCGAAGAATACTGCATGTCGCATCTAGTTGCACCATGTCGCGACAGAGGCAAAAGCAATCAAGAGAGCATGTATGTTTGTTGTAGTGGAAGCTTGGTAGTTTGTTTGGTCTCAGAGTTTGGCACATTGAAAGCTGGCGCTCGCCACTGTACGCAATATGTTTCGATGCATTTCGTGGAACCAAAAGGTGGAAGTAGCAGGGGCAGAAGCACAGGAATGCGTTCACTGTTCAACATGCTCCAGACAGTTCCAGGTCATGTTACAAGCTGCAACTTTGACAAGTTCACCCGTCCTCATGTGACAGGAGCAGAGTAAG